ATCTTTACCGTCTTTGATCGTCTCCAACGCTCTAAACATCGTATCTTCCACCGAGTGAAAAACTTTTATCACCATGGTATCAATCTCCGAAAGAGGAGTTCGATTATCTCATTCTATACTGTACGGTCTCACATTATTAGCATCCATCATAGCTCTTGCTATCAGTGCAGCTTTGGTTAAATATTATAATGATAATGGTTATCCACCCGCACATCATGAAGCTTATAAAGCTAGAATAAGGATATTGTTAGTTGCAAGTGTTTGGACTGTGGTTTTTGGACGTGAGTCGATCTGAACTTCGTTTCTCTCTTTTAATCATTCATAAAAAAATTCCGATCCCTCAATCGGGGTCAAGCTGATGATGTGAATATCAGAGGTTGATGGTTTTTTTAAAGATTTTGAGACAATAACATGATATGTTAAAATGAGTCGTTTAATGGGGTTGATCATCGTTCTCTGGTCTTATGATGATGTTTGTCACCACGAAGTTGGTTTCAGGATGGAGCAAGTTGTTCCACTTTGGATTCTTTGAATGGAAGAAGCAGTATCAATTAGATCAATTTGAACATAAATACCCAGAGGTATTTATGAGGTATTTAAAGAAGGAATCAGCCACACTTCAGAGGAATAAATATAAAGTGCATAAACAAGACTATAAACTTACTCACAGTCATTTTTTTAATAGGGTTCAACACTATAGGTAGACACGTAGCAATGGGTATTTTAACACATTTGGTTCCGACAGCCATCGGGTTTATCTTATTCCTCATCGGAGTCAGTTCTTTAACGGCTTTAACGGATAAAGTAGATTGTGGTAATTCCGGTCAATCATTCAAGAGGTGTGATATAGTGAAAGGATTAGTAGTTATCAGTTGGATCGATACGTGAGTTGTCATCATCCTTCAAACACAACTTTCTTTTTGAGACTTTGATCATTCGATCAGAGCGAATACGTCTAATTGGTAAGGCAGCCGGCTGTAAACCGGTCACAGGTAACTCCTATTGTTGGTTCAAGTCCAGCTTCTCTCAAATGTATAAAAAATATAGGTTAAAATTATATAATAAATTAAATTTAACTTTTGTAAAATTATTTCACACAATTTTATATTCATAGGTAGGACTAATTTAGTGGTAAAATACTCCATTGTGGTTGGAGGTAGCACAGTTCGATTCTCATCAATGGCTTTTTTTTCTCTTTGAAAATCGATTTTCTTCTTTACATTCACATACCTCTTCTACATTTTTTTCTCCGCAGGGAGGCGAGGGATAGTAAAGGACTTCTTTTCTACAAGATTGTTATCAACCAGGATTGTCAAAATCGATGTGTCGTGGATTTTTTGGATGGATCAGATGAGAGACATTGATAATGCGTATGATTTACTGACCATTTAGAATCTTCCTCTTCCTCTCTTTAGCGTTCATCATTACACTCGCTTTCATCGCTAAAGGTTGGTCAGGAGTACATCGTTCCACTCTTTACATTGAATGATCGTTTCCCTTTCTGCCTCTCCAGTCTCCCCGACTTCTCAAGACTTTTCATGTGTTTATTCATTCCGTCTTTCTGACTTCCCCGCTTAAGTCTTCTCCTGTGTCAAATCGTTCTGAGAGGTTAGAGGTGTTTCGTGTTGTTTATAACGTTCTATCATTATAATAGGCTCGGTCTGAATGCAATGCATGAATATGACGAAGTTGCAATTATCATGATCATAAATAATTCAAGCACATCCTCATCTCCCCCCTTTGAATCACTGGCTGTAACGGATCAACTATCATTCGACGAGAGGTTGGATATGTGACGATTGATTATAACACAGCTTTGGGTTTTATAGCTGAAATGAAAGCTTTGGAACCTTTGACTACTAACAATGGGCCGGACTTTTGTTGTAATGCGTGAAAGATTAATCGAGCAACTACTTCTCCCTATCGTGTCAGCTTCAAACACCACTTTGAGTATCTAGACAACCGATCAAGCACTGGTGAAGGTGGAGGTGGAAGTGAGTCAGACTTGAAAGATAACATTCGGAGTGTGTCTTACAAGTAGGCGTAAGACAACCCGGTGAAGGTTTACAAAGGGGAAATGTCCAGAAGTGTATGACCAAGCGACATGTGATATGAAACTTTGAGATGAGATGAAACGAGTCGAGATTCAACTCACAACCTCCACTACACACGCCACCAGGATGAGCCAAATTATAATCCATGTAATCCTATGTGTAGCTCTTTCTTCTATGTATTCATGTATGATTTCGAGCTGATTATCAGTTCACCTTTCAATCGCTAATATGATTCTTGCTCGTTATAATATGAAGGTGATTCGTACGAGCTTGGCTTTGACCGCGAAAGGGAGGATCATCAGAAAAATTGGTAAAGCACTTCGCTACATGTGGAAAATTCGGTATAAGTCCAGTAGGGAAAGAAGTTTGTTCCAGAAGTGATATAACAGAGAGACACTCACTAAATCACCAGCAACGGCCAAACGATCATTAAGCACTTGTACACGTGGACCAATTTCAAGATACTCTCTTATAGCTTCGTATAATGGGAAAAGTGATGCTTCACTCCAGAAAAGTTCGGGTGTGTCTGAGATCAATCTTCCGCACATTATGATCGGAGCACATGCACTAGCTCCCGGCTTGATCAGATAGCTTGATTCGAGTACAGATTTCATTCTGACAGAGAAAGGCGAGCGATGATTCACTCAAGAGATAGGAACTCTTAGCCATGAGTTTCTCATAGAGGAAACTACAACGTGTTCTAGGTGCGCCTGGAGAAGATGTGGGTTATGTTAGTGGAAACTTGAGTCCTGAACTCACCCAATATCCCTCCAATGAGATTAACATCCATACGAAGCTTGAACAACCTTCCAGTCATCTTCAGAGCATCTCTTCTACCCAATTGTAGATGTCCGGTTGTCGACAATTCTTTCGGAAAGGAAGAAGTGAGTGAAAGAGACTCTTGCATGACGCCTTCGTAGATTGATAATTTTGTTGATTGTGCAACTGCATGTGCTATGGAGAGTTTGAACAAGTGTGAATGAGATTTAAAAGCTGTCTCGTCAATCATTGTCAACATGAGAAGTGACATGAATAACAGGAGGGAATCGCGAGTAGGACGACGAAGATCTGGAGACGTACTAAACATGTCATTATAGATCCGAGGAAACTCTGCGTCCGGATCGTACTGTTGGTCAATGTCTTTCCATTCACATTATAGACTAGTACTCAAGGGTGATTACAGGAACGATTGCGAACAGTATGGCCTTCGGCGTGGATCTGTGTGAGAATTGAGAAAGAGACGAATGACATGTTGACACTCACAACATAATGAAACTCCTCCACTTCCCAATCCTCCTCTTTCTGACCTCTCAGCCAAGCTCCAGCAGTCTCACAATCCTCCATAATCTCCCTCTCCTCACCTTCTTGAAACCCGAAGAACACGCTGACACCATAACTGAAGAAAACAGCCTCTGCGACTTTCCCTGCTAATGTCAATGCTGATTTCCGTCTTCTCCTCATTTGCGGTTTTGGATATCGCGGTCTTTGGTATTCCGTATGAACGAAGTCTTGTACTCTGACTTGCAATTGTTGATCTCTTCTGTTCTCAGAAACCGACACTTCCGCTGGATCTGGATTCAGATCGTTTGGGGAGAGAGCTTCTGATGGGATATGTTCCAAATAACCAGGATGTTCTGGTGACATGCGTGTTCCAGTTACTATTTCCTCTTCCTCCGAAGGCGATGAGATATCCTCACCATGACCAGATATCTCTTCCGCGGTAGACACATTGGAGTCTATATGACTTTCACCGTCCTCCAATTGACGCCCGTCTCCCAAATGCATTCCCAATGACCCTCTGAGGCCATCTGGAGATATGTGAGGTGGTGAATTACTTAAGATATACTCCGAGGGATCGTGAGATTGTCCATGTACATGTCCGTGATTATGCGAGTTCTCCTCGACAGGAAAGTAGGAATCGTTATAACCCAGATCCTCGGCGAGAGTCATGCGTTCCAATAGAGATACGCCACCGGGAGAACCCAGGGCGGGAGAAGATCGAAGTTTGGTGCTAGCGCCATAACCGGGAAGTAGAGGAAGATTATATACCTTAATCATCAGCCTATCAAGGTACAAGCAAGATAAACACGAAGACATACAGCATAGATGCAATCATCGAAAACACGAACTACACCGACCCCATGTTCCCGTTTGAGAAAGGCTTGCAAAAGTTTTAATCGATAGCCATCGGCAGTATTATAAGCTGTCAAACGAGGGAGATGATTTTCGTCTCTTTCTCTCTTGGTCATTTTCTCAGCATCTGAGCGTTCATCGTGGTATGAATGAGGCGCTGTGAAGCCAGGTCCAAAGCTATTTCTATTTTCGCGACCGCTCTGTGCGGAAGAACTGGCAGATGACGATGTACTGGCTCTTCGTGGAGGGGCAAGATCGGTCCGACTACCCATGGGACTGATAGGTAGAGGTGCCAGTTGTGGATCTTCCGGAAGGAACACATGTCTTTCGGTCGTCTTTGACGTTCGGACGGGTAAGGATTGCTTCAGTTGTCGGGCAGGAGTACCTTTTCCTAAGGGTGAAGGAATTTTGGGTGCGGAAAGATTTCTCAAGTGAGCAGGAAGGGATGCTAGTGAAGAGCCAGAAGGATTGATAGGTGATCCTTGTCGGAGTGAAGAAGCAGTACGAGCTATACCTATGAAGAGGTTAACGAGTGAAAGAAAGCCAAAGAAGTTTTTTTTTAAAAAGAAGCATGACATACCTGGTAAAGCTCCGGCACTTCGACGTGGGATGGTGACGGATGGTGCACCGCCCGGAGTTGTGGAAGGTTTAGGTGAGATCCCTAAGGGTCTTGAAGAACCTTGATTAGGTCTTGACATTATGAAGAATGTATACAGAGGGAGAAAGAAGACAAGTGACTGAGGAAGAATAGATAGATTGTTAGTGATACAGTAGATGGATGGGGGGCCGGAATGGCCGAAGGGTTGTGCGTTTGCATACATTTTCATCGCCATACACTGAGTCATTCATACTCTAGCAAGGCCCAGATATCCCAACACTGTACTTGAACAACACAAAAGGCGATCATTCGACATCTCTGGACCGAGTAGAGGGACAAGATGGCCTACGTCGCCGTCGCAAAGGCACTCTACGACTACACAGCTCAAGACCCAGAAACAGAGCTCTCACTCAAAGAAGATCAGATCGTCTATATCATAGAGAAGGAAGACGACGAGTGAGTGCATGTGTTTTGGATTTCAGGCTCAATGGCTCATACTACAGTTGGTGGAAAGCGAAACTCAAAGAGACTGATGGAAATCAAGGCGCTATCGGTCTCATCCCACAGACTTATGTAGAAGAGGTACATCCATCCATCCATCCAACCGCGAACCAAGCTGACTTATCAAAGATCCCAGTACTTCATACTACCCGTGCCATCTACGCATACGAATCTACCTCACCCGAGGAACTATCTTTGGACGAGGATGCCGTCCTCCACGTGTATTCCATTGAAGATGATTGGCTCCTAGTCCGTATCGATGGAGCTTCACCCAAATTAGGTTTTGTTCCCCGAACGTACTGCGAGCCGTTCGACGAAGCTTCCCAAGTGGATGTCGAGGACGCTGCTCAGGCCGCCGCCGAAGTCGAGGCAGCCCGACAAAACGAGGCCGAGGCAGCTAAACAACGCGAAGTGGCGGAGAGACAACGACAACTGAAGCTAAAGGACAAGGTGGAAACATGGAGTATCAGCGAAATGGATGGTAAGAAGAAGAAAAAGGGTACTCTGGGAGTTGGCAATGGTGCTGTATTCTTTGCTTCAGATACGGATAAGGTGAACTCCTCGTATCCTGTTCAGTCCAGGTCGCTGACCTACAGCTGTCACCTGTCAAACAATTGTCAATCACAGACCTTGCTCATGTTTCTCAACCTTCATCGAAAAACCTCGAACTGACATTCTCCACACTTTCCGAACCTCTCCTTTTCCATTGTGGCTCTTCCGATGCGGCAAAAGCAATAGTCGCCAAGCTCGAGGCCAGCAAGGCTGCCGCAGGAGAAGCGTTACAAATGATCGAAGCCGAGTCACATGTCGAAGCTTCAGATGAGGAGCCTGAACATCCTGTCACCGAGGCAAAGGCAGTACGCTTTGCCGCTGAACCTTCTGCACAAGCACCTGCAGCGAATGGTCATGGTGAGGCCGCGACGGTCTTATACGACTTTGATGCTCAAGGCGAGGACGAGCTAAGTGTGCATGAGAACGAATTCGTGACTGTGGTTGACAAAGAGAATGATGAGTGGTGGGTGGTCAGGAATCAGGCGGGACATGAAGGTGTCGTACCAGCTCAATATGTACAAATAGGCGACGGCCCCGCAGCGACTGGGGCTGAGACGGATACTGAGGATGAAGAAGAAGAAGGAAGACGACAAGAGGAGGCAGCAGCGGCAGCAGCCGCTGCTTTGGAAGCTGAAAGGCGGGAGGCGGCACAAAGACAGGCCGAACAACGGTTAGCGATTGAGAAGGCTGCAAGGGAGAAGCAACGACAGGAAGAAGAGGATAGACAATTGGCCTTGCAGATGGAAGCGAAGCAGAGGGAGAAGCAGGAGAAACGGGAGAGACGTAGGCAGGAAGAACTTCAGAGACAGCAGGAGGAAGAGGCCGAGAGAAGGTAAGCGTTTCCGAGACCTGACGGGAGCCCAACGCTGACAAAAGTAGACGTGAGGCTGCCAGAAGGCTTGAACCTCCGAAGATTGCAAAGCGACCATCTGCCCAAAACGTGGCTGCTGCGGCTGCCAACCTACCCAGTAGAGGACGAGGCGCACCCGAACGTCCTCCTGACAATAACCGACCAAGTGCGTGCACGCAATAATTCTCAGTACCTCATGCTAACCTCTTAGAACCCAACTCAGGTCGGGTACGTGTATGGAACGATAAGACCGGCCAATTCAAAGTTGAAGCTGAATATCTCGGTATGAACGGCGCCAAAGTTCGCTTGCACAAGACCAACGGAGTCATCATCGAAGTTCCCGTGGAGAAAATGTCGAATGAGGATACTCAATTGATCAAGAGACACGAAGCACGCAAGGCCCGAGCTAAAGCCGAAATCCTGGACGACGATGATGTCCCACTGGCCAAATCACCTAATCGTCCACCGTCTCAACTTATCCGCCCAACACAATCGAGAGCCAGAGTAGAAGAACCGATCCCTCCGGAAGCCATGGTCATGCCTCCTCCTCGTAAGAAGCAGTATGATTGGTTTGAATTCTTCCTGAACGCCGGATGCGACATTGATGATTGTACTCGTTACGCGACCAATTTTGAGAGAGATAGGATAGACGAGGCTCTTCTTCCTGACTTGGAAAGCAGTACATTGCGATCTCTGGGATTGAAAGAGGGAGATGTGATCAGGGTCAAGAAGGCGATTAGTAACATGTTTAAAGAGAAGACACCTCAACAATTAGAACAAGTAAAGATCGACGAAGAGTATGCTCGACAACTTCAAGAACATGAAAATTCCGGTGCGAAAGGACCTGTCCCTCAACCTCCTCCTGGTCTATTTACTGGTCCTGGAGGGAAATTAGCCAATAACACAAGAAGGGGTAGACCAGAAAAGAAATCAACAGGTCCAGATTCAGTGGATGCTTCTGCTTTAGCTTCCATATCTGATCAATTGATAAAGACATCGATTAGTCCACCTCCTTCCGTACCTCCAGTCACTGTTAGTCCTCCACCTGCTCCATCGATACAACCTACTAAACCGCCCAAACCGACAATTGGGTTTGACGATGATGCTTGGACCATCAAACCGAGTAGTTCAAAACCTGCCTCACCAGCTCCTCCACCTACGACCATCAGTACTTCTGCGTCTACATCGAATGGAACGGAATCATTACTTGCTCAAATCCAAGCGCTTCGACCGGCCAGTACCGGCGTTTCAGCTAATAATACTGGTAATTCTCAATTTGACCGTTTGGCACAATTACGTGCTCAACCACAACAAGCGTCCCCTCTTCCACAACCTGTTCAACAGTTTCAGAATGTTCAACAACCTCCGCAAGTTCAACCCCAATTCCAACAACCGAATCAATCTTTCCAACCTCAATTTCAACAACTCTCTCCCGCTCAGACAGGTATACAAGGAGGGTATACGCCATCACCCTATGGTCTGGGCGTACAAAATACCGGACAACCAATGTCGAATTTATTAGGAGCTAGAGGTCCGGTGGCTCCCGTACCGGCTAATCAAGGTTTGTTAAATCCTATGCAGCCACAACAGACGGGAATGTTTGTTCCCACTCGACCTGGTCAGAATGGGTTGATGCCTCAACCTACGGGGTTTCAGCAAGGTTTCCAACAGACGTATGGGGGCCCATCACAGCAATTGCAATTACAACCTCAGTCTATTCAGCCGAGTGAGTGGAATCGCATCACTCTCCTATCCACCACTTTACAACATCCTCACTCCTCACTTGTTTCTCCGCTCCATTTGACTGATGCCCCTTAACCACTATCGTCGACTCATACCTGGAAGGCAGGAATTCAATCCACATAAGTTCTTGGATGCCCGCTTGGTAGACATCTTTCACACATCTCCTTGTTTCTGACAGTCATATGATCTGTGTGCGGCCAGGTTCCAAGTGGTCGTGGTTAATCTGCGGATACGACGACATACTGATAACATCTAGACTTCACAGGTTATCCAGGAAACTTCAATCAACAATCTCAACAATCATCATTCAACGTCATTGCATCTATTCCTCCTCCTCAACAACCACAGAATCCTGACAAATTCGCACCTAGTAATATCTTTGCGGCCATGAAGAAGACAGACTTTGGGAGACCGGAGGATGAACGGCCGCAGTCTTCGAGTGAGTGTCGTGTTGTTCTCTGCTGTATTCCCGTTATCTTTCACCTCCACCCCTCATCTTTTGATTCGGTTTTGCATGAAGCTGTCTCATTACATCTCCCGGTCGTTGTATCAGTAGTCCCGCCCAGAGGTTTCAAGTCGAACTACGAGCAGTGATCTTTGCAGTTTTCCTCCCCCCCTCCAAAAAAGAAACGACAAATGGAAAATAAAAGAAATATCCCCGACAGGGAATCGTGACGTCGATGGGTATTGGCATTTGATACTTCTCATTCCCCTGTTGGCATCGTTCAGCGATATATATGCGAAAGACTGACATGCAGACAAATATGACGCTCTCCGACCACTTACCACCGGCTACAACGGCGCGCCAGGATTCCCTGTCTTACCTCAACAAACGGGATTGATGCCACAACAAACAGGGTTCGGGGTGTTATCTCAACAAACGGGATTTCAAGGTCAACAATTTTATCAGAACCCATATGGGTATCGATGATCTCTGAACATCCAGCTTTTTGACTTTGTAGTTGTCAAGACTGAGTCATAATCGGGAAGAATATAGTTGATAACACTTAATGCACTAGGATGCTTGGAAGGATGATATCTGTGAGTTGGGAGTAGTATGTGAGGACAAAGAGAATGAAGTCTTGAGTAGATCGAATCATCTAAATACCCATGATATGCACCTTGTCTAGAGTTTTCTTCGAATCGTCATACATCTTAGGAATTTTATAAGTACAAAAGTAATTTGAAAATGATCAGTGGAATTTTCTTCGTACGCGTAGTGTCCATCTTGTACTGTATGTACATATCGAGTACATATTGTGTACATATTGAGTCGGGTTCGGGAAGTCAGAGGAAAGGATGAAATAGTATGTTACGTAGGATCAGTGATGAGTGTCAAAGTGAGATTAAAAAGGTTGATGAAGGACTGAAGATCAATGAGATAGATGAAGCAAGTGAGATTAGTAAGGTTGATAAAGGGATGAAAGTGAAGAATGACGTTTTCCAACTTTCTTGAGATTTTTCTTGGATTTCGACTTGTTTTTGTTGTTTGGCTCGGTTTTCATCCTGGTCTTGCCTAACCAGTTATTAGTCTTCGTGTTCGTATTCGTATCAAAATCCAAGTTCAATTTACCCTCATCTCCCTTCCCTTCATTATGAGTAGTAATAACTTTACTTGGTCCGGGTGAGAGAACATGTTCGAGTTGCGGAATATAACAATCGAGGTCCATTTCGACCAATTCCCTTTTCTCCCACTTATCCACACCACTACCATCGTTCGGCAAATGTAAGTTTTCATGCTCCCTATCCCACTCTCCCACACCCCTTTGAATGAGGTGGAGCTTGTCTTGATCGTACCAACCTCCCAGATTATCTTGAGAAGGTTGAGTTTCGTCTTGAACCATCTGATGGGTCTTGTGAATCGGAAAGAGAAGATTCTCTTCGGTGGTCATAGAAGGTAAAGAAGACCATCTGAATTTCTTCAATGGTCTATTCACTTCACCGGACGTTTCTTTTTCCTCGGAAGATGTATGTTTCATACTAAGAGATAATTGAGGTAAACCTATAGAGGTATCTGATTGTGAAGGGGATGTATGAGTAATACGACTTTGGAAAGAAGGTGGAGACTATAATATCAACTCTAAGTTACTCAAACATCTTGTCTGTGTCCCTACTTAAGTAGATGGATAGGTGAAAGGAGTGGAGATGATGGAAGAAACTCACTTCGATAACTTGTTCACTGTATCGTTCTTCGTCACTATTGGTCATACCCCGACCCCGATATTTTACATGACTCCTATCACTGTCGCTCATACCCCGATAATCTAAATGACTCCTATCACTATCGGTCACACCTCGATATTCCAAATAACTCTTAGTACGATGATCCGAACTGACGCTACTAAGACTTTTCCTAGCGAATGGAGTAGAGTATGTATTTCGAGAAGTCTCAGAAGATTCTTCATATTTTGACTTTGAAGAAGAACCCACTTCATCTGGTCCTTGGAGAGATTTCTGAAAGAGTTGAGAATGTAAGATTGTCGTTGTACTCGGTTTGGATGGACCATGAGGAGTAGGAGAAAGCCGAGAATGTTGGATATAACTTGATGAAGGAACAGATTCCCATAATGTTATATGAGGTGAAGGAGGTGAAGGTAGAGTCCAACGTTGTCTCTAGAATGATCAATGTAGGTCAGTGGATCAGTGAGTAAGAAAACTTTCCTTGTTGTTTGAAGAAAGACTTGTGTCACTTGAATCTAATTGTCGTTTGACCGGCATATTGATTAGTCGTGATTATGATAAGTTCCCCGGCAACATGAGTATAATCAATATTCTACTCTTCATATAATGAGCTTACTATTATCTCCACTAAACCTCTATGGTTGTAATCGTCAGAGTAGTGATTCGAGAGATGTGGACAAAGAAAAAGTCGTTTGAGAAGAGAAAGATGCAGATGAACAAAGTGGCTAGAGGTGAAAAAGTGGAGGTCGATCGTCGGTGATGATAGCTTACGTAGCTCCGAAATGTCCGGGACCGGTTTACCGAGCGATATCTTTCTGACAAATCTCTACTGTACAGTACCTTTTTCCCTCCAGCCTCTTTATCCTAAGCTTAGCAATATATAAAGTCATCATCAAGAATCTCTTTCCCAAGAGTAATGACGAAATACTAACTACTGAATCAAATTGTTTTTGGACAAAATGTCTCACCCAATATTCAAAGCTGAACCTTTCTTTCATTCTGAGAATGTCCTTGCTGAAGGTACGTCTTCTCCCTTGTCATCGACACCGTTCTGAATTGGATTAACCACGTGTATGGCTCAAATGTCGTAGGCGGAGGTACTCTAGTTGACATGTAGGTATTCTGTGGGATTCGAAAACACAATTATTACATTGGGTCGATATTGAAACCGCGAGTTTATACACGTATGTCTATCAATGTCCCCTCTTAGACGAGTAGCAACAGTCTCTTCATCCGCACTATCATCACCGGGATCTTACCTCTTCATGAATGACGAATTGTAACTTTGTCCGGTTCCAGAGTTGATCTGGGGTTAGAAAGAAGGGAAGGGGAGTATCATGATGAGAGCTGATTCGATAGTCTAGATATCGAAACGAAACAATGGTCAATTGACAAATATCCAGAAAGTCAATTTCTCACTTCTATCGCGTTGAGAAAAGATGAACCAGGAGTTAGTTTCTCTCTCTCTTCTTCCTCTCTTTCTTTGCTTCCTTCATTTCTCTCTTTACCTTTTCTCTCTCTTCCTCTCTCGATCTTGAATAGAATAAAGAAGACTGACATAAAGTTAGTAGCGACCAACCGACATTCCATGGTCATCCTTCCTACACCTACACCAGTCTCCTCTTCTCCATCAGTAATAGAGAGAAAATCACTTCGAACACTATGTACTCCTCTTCGGAAAGATGTACATGATTTGGTCGGATTTAACGATGGGGCTTGTGATCCTCAAGGAAGGTATTTAGCGGGTAGTATGAATAAAATGGCGAAGAATGATCAAGTTAGAAGAGGGGAATTGATCAGGTAAGTCTCAATTTTCTTTTCACTCGTTCAATTTCATTCCATAACTCCATATGTATTTCATAGACACAAATAAACTTATTGACTGTGTTTCTGTCTCTCTTCTTACTGTTCATCATATTATTTCATCTCTTTGACCACTACTCTTCACTCCTCATCGCTCTCTCACCTGGTCTTCCTCCTTTTTATTTTGTTACCTCGAACTCTTCTGCCTGGTTCACTGCATGTGGTAATTTGCAAAGAGCTCTTCGAACAACAGAATATATAACCAAGAGCACATTTGATAGATTCATTTGACATTAGATATTCCCCCGATGGGACAGTGGAGCGACTTTTGGAGAATATTGGTTTGTCCAACGGTATTGGTTTTTCCCTTGATCATAAAACAATGTGTACGTCTTCGCATCTTTCACCATCCTTGATATCTCATCCCAATTTTCCCCATGTGAACTCCTAAGTCACACCTTACTATTTCAAACTCATCAATCCCTTAACTCCCATATCAACCCCACATTCTCCTCCAGAATTCCTAACCAACATCCAGTGGCTGCAATTTCCTCAGGCCGCGGAATAATCCTCCAGAAAAACAAGGGTTTTTGTAGAGTGGGACAAAAACTAATCTCCAGATTACATAGATTCCCAAGACCCAACAGTCGATACCTTCTCTTACCCCTCTACAGGTCTCCCAACTGATCGTAAACAATTCATCCAACCTCCTCCTCCCTCCTCCCCACCCAAAAGAGCCATATTCGACGGTATGTGTCTAGACGGTATTGGGAATCTATGGGTAGCAAGATGGAACGATGGTCGAATCATAGGTTACACACCAGAAGGTAAGATCATTTGTGAAATTCATACGATCGGTAGTAAAAGTCCTACTATATGTTGTTTCGGTGGAAAAGATTTAGATAAGATGTTTATAGTCTCCGCTCATACTAGTCGGATCACACCTGATCCTGTTCCAGAGGGAGAAAAGGAAGTTTCAAAGGAAGATTTGCAGAACATGTATCCTCATTCTGGTGATGTCATGATGGTCGATTTTGCCATAGGGACGGAAATCAGGAAGGTCTTAGGGGAGGGATGGAAAGGTGCGGAGAGATATAGGTTTGCTGGTTGAGATGGAAATGGGATGATGTTGGGATGAACAGGGTTCAGGGATGGAGTGAGAATGGAGACAATGTGAAATTCGTGAAGGTATGTCCCGACTTTGTGAGGTTGGACATCGAGGTTAGGTCAAAGATGGCGAAAATATCGAATATGTTAGTCGTGTTACAGGTGTTGAAGAAGACAAAATGAAAGTAAGGAGCAGAGGGATCATTCAGGATACAAATGGGATATATGTGTGTAGATAAACATTTTGATTGGGAGATAACCAAAATGCAGATGTTTCAATTTTCCATCAAGCAGAGCACAAAGCTCATTAACGATAGTGAACAAATCAGAGCACGAACAATTACCACCGAGGGACAACAATCCATGAATGTAAACCATCACTCTTGTTGATAGAAATAATTGATGAATGGTTTCACACGAGATAAAAGGATATTGATCACTGGGGCCGTTGCGTTCTATCCGTCAACCCCATAACCAACTCTCCTCATTAACACCGAGAAAGCTCGAGATGAATTGTGACAACACTCATCCCGAATGGATTCTGATGTTGTCGAATGAAAAGACGATATTCCGTGCACGATCAGAACCAACGTTGACACACACACCAGGAGACAGCAAAGAAAGAGTTATAGATATATGTAGAAGAATCGGTTAAAAGACTCACTACCCTATTTCGTTTCCCACCCACAACATTCTCTTCACCTTCTTCATCCCATGCTAAAATACTAGCCCATACTTCTCTTCTCACAGATTGTCTTTCTTCTTCTGACTTCCAACCTCCATCCGAACTGACGGGCCGGATAGCCGGTAAACCTTTGGAAGAATCGAAAGTCTCACGAAGCTCCGTCAGACGAATTGGGGAATGAATCATGTGATGTTGTGCGATCGAAAGTCCGGAGAGGTTGTTACATGTGTGATAAGCGTCTGGGCGTCTGGCCATCAGCACCATTATAGCTTCTTCTCATTTCATGATACCCTCCGAATGTCTTGTTTCAAGGATATTCCAAAAGATCTGAAGCTTTCAATTAAAACAGATGTGTACCGACTGTGAGATAAGAGCAAGAAGCGAAAAGAGGTCAAGCAGTCAGGACCTGAGAGTGGGATGGAATTAGGACAAGAAGACGATACCCACTTGCCTGGCTTATCTCTTAATCCTCCTCCTGCTCCAGATTCATTTTGAGCAGCTACCAATATATATTCCTGCAAAGCCACTACCCCATCAGTATCTACCCTTCCCTCTGAGAGATGAACTAACCATTATCGAACAATATCGGTAACGGTCTTTCGACTCCAGCTTCTCGTCTAGCAAGCTCTTCTAAAACGGGAAAACCTCCTCCAACCCACCAACTATAACATCCATCTACCAATTTATTACTCCTCCCCTTAAATCCCCCTGCTTCTATCGCCTCCCCTTGCATGAGTACTGACCATCTTATAGCTGACTCCACATCAATTGGTGAAGGAAAGTTCTCGTCGAGGGAAGGAGCACCAGTGGGAGGGACGATGGAACGGAGGAGGAAAGATGAGTTGAGAGAACATGACGTATATCCACCATGAGCTTCTGCCATTGGTGCTCGTGTGATAGGATTTGATTTGTCCATTGAATTAGAAGACGGGGATGTGGAAGAGAAGGGATAAGCAGAACAGGAGAAACCTCCTTCGTATGTCTGACAAGCCGAAATGAACCGGTCTACGTTGTGTAGAAGTTCAGGAGTGAGAAGGTCGAGTAGACAAGCCACGACTAGAAGACAGTAGGTTCCTCTGTATAACAGTCAGCCATCATGCCACAGTCTGTTTCTTCTCTTATTCCCTGATTGATGAGACGAGAGGATGAGAATCATGGATAAAATAGATCTTGAGGGCAGCTGCACTGATATCAGGTGAGTGGTAAGTGCAGCCTACCCATGGCGATGAGTCGTGAAGGATGAAGGAAGTCGAGGCTATGACATAATCGTCACTCACCTCACATCCACCTCCCCGCCTTCACAAACCACAAAACTCCCATCGGGTTGCTTACATCTCATAAAGAACTCATAAATCCTCTGTCTAGCCTCCGCCACTTCACTCCATCCCCCGTCCTCGCCGGGTCCACCGACGATTGCTAGGGAACAGATAGAAGCGTAGGTGGGAAGAAGTTGGGGTAAATGTGTGTTTACCGGTCCACCGCCAAATCCTCCTTGTGGGTGTAAGAACTTGAGTAGGGTAGCCACAGATCTATGTATCAGTACTTTCCATCTTCAAATCTTCCTCTTATCTTCTCAAGTCACTCCTCCCCTCGACACCTACCTGCTACCCAAGTTTATTCATACCGCCGGGTAGGATCAGTGTATGGTTACGGAAGAGACACCCTAGAAGCAAGGGATAGCAAGTTGAATAAGAAGTCTGTTCACTTACCGATCTCTGAAGGGCTGAGGTAATATCACACCTAATAGATCCAAACTGTGAACTACCCAAAACATCAACCAAGGTCTACTGGCATCTAACGAGATCACCCCTGCAGGTAAAGAGAAAAACCATTTGCCCAAGAAGGTAGCGTGTTCCTGAGTCCTCAATTTCGTTAATTCCACTTGTAACGTGTCATCTTTCTTTTCGCCCTCTCCATTCTCTCCACTATTTGTGATCTCCAGGGGGGTGATAGCCTGTAATGCCGGAGGAGGACGAGTGAGTAGAAGCTGTGAGATGATCCTCTCCGTTTCTGACTGTTCTATAAACGTGTCTGACGGTTGCCCATTGGAAGAAAGATGAACTTGAGGAAGAGTGTATATAGAAGGATAGAATTCCGACATTTTCGCTGCACTAGAATTGATAGAATGATGGTATAATGAGACAGAGGGTCACCGAATGTCATCCATCAACAGTTGAAAGAAGAACAATAGACTCGTTGTTGGAATGTGGGGCTCCGGGAAGGAGAGAGTTGATAAGCTGCAAGGAGGGAGAAATGCCACGTGTGGGAATTTCGGATGTTCGGACTCGAAAAAAGTTGCCCCAGTCATTTCCCCACAGAAAGTCGTCTCTTTCTTACTCACTTTGCCCATCTCTTCCTCGACTTTATCAAAAACAGCGTGGCTCGACAATTCATCATGTCTTTCACCAGAACTCCCGCTCAACTGTTAAAACAGGCCACAAAGGCTTCCGTCCCCCGTGCGTCCAAACAGGTCGTCAAGAGGGCGTACTCTCTCCTTGCTCGCGAGGTTCCCAAGGTTACAACCTTCAGCAGACTCGGGGTGAGTGGTTGATCATGTGTCTCGAGGTAAGTAGCTGATTTCAGGCTACTAGAGGTGTCAAAACTCTCGACTTTGCAGGTACCAAAGAAGACGTTTACGAACGTGCTGACTGGCCTCTGGACAAACTCCAAGAGTGAGTATATTCCAACATTCCACCCAATCTTCAAGTCTTGGCAACTTCCCTCAGTCTGAAATGCATGAAGACTGAGACATGATGAATACTTGAAAAGTGAGAGATCAAGTTTAACTGATGACCAGATACTTCAAAAATGACACACTCGCCATGATCGGCTACGGTTCCCAAGGACATGGACAATCCCTCAACGCTCGTGATAACGGTCTTAAAGTCATTGTCGGTGTACGTAAAGGCGGTGAATCTTGGAAACAGGCTCAAGAGGACGGTTGGGTACCAGGAGAGACTTTGTTTGATATTCCTGAAGCTATCAACAAGGGAACGATCATCATGAACCTTTTGTCGGATGCTGCGCAGAGTCAGACTTGGCCTGAGATCGCTCCGTTGATCACTAAGGGAAAAACTTTGTACTTCTCTCATGGTTTCTCGGTCGTCTACAAGGATGATGTGAGTTGTTCACTGCTTCAAGTCCTCTTCTCATCTTCTCGCGTTCTTAGCCTATTCTACTTCCCTTCCTTATCTCTCACCCCTGCCCTCTTCGTTAACTTAAGTAAGGCCTCTTCACAACAAGACGTACCCCTACTCTCACCCAGTATCTTGGGTCTTGGAATACATACATATATATACATCGGTTTTTGCCAGTCAGCTGGGTACGCAGAGTAGACTTGAGCTGATACAACCAGACTCACGTTATACCTCCTAAAGACGTAGACGTCATCCTCGTCGCTCCCAAAGGTTCCGGCCGAACCGTTCGAACCCTTTTCCTCGAAGGTCGTGGGATAAACTCCTCTATCGCGGTGTACCAAGATGTCACTGGTAAAGCCAAAGAAAAGGCTATTGCCATTGGTATTGGTATCGGTTCCGGATACTTATACGAGACTACTTTCCAGAAAGAAGTCTTCTCCGACTTGTACGGAGAACGTGGTGTTGTACGTCCTTTCCATATATCATATCTTATCTTGGCTGATGTGTAGCTTATGGGTGGTATTCAAGGAATGTTTTTGGCACAATACGAAGTTCTTCGAAAGAACGGTCATTCGCCTTCTGAAGCTTTCAATGAGACTGTGGAAGAAGCCACTCAATCTCTTTTCCCTTTGATTGGGAAATACGGTATGGATTACATGTACAATGCTTGTTCTACCACTGCCAGACGTGGAGCTCTCGACTGGGCCCCAAAGTTCAAAGAGTGGGTTTCCGTGTTGCTGTGACTTCCCTCCATCTCCCATGGTCATGTTTCATACATACCTCTTCTGTAACATGCGAATGGCAGAAAATCGTCATGATCTGGGTGAAGACACGACGTGGGGATGTGGAAAGATAGAGTCGAATCTAATGAATAGGGCAAATCTCCCGGTATTCGAAGCCCTCTACAAATCCGTCAGGGACGGTACCGAGACCCGTCGGTCGCTCGACTTCAACTCGCGCAAGACGTACAGGCAAGATCTGCAGAAAGAGCTGGATGAAATCGACAACCAAGAGATCTGGCGTGCGGGAAAGACTGTCCGTGGTCTGAGGGTGAGTAGTGGATCTTTCCTCATTCCACATCTATCTCTACATCTATCTTTGATCTCATTCTTCACATGTTACCCCCTCTCACTTCCTTGCCTGCACCTCGTCTACTTCTCATCCTCTCACATACTTTAGCATATGACATTCATGTCCCTCTCCAGACCATCGATTCTTGGGGGAATTGTTAGAGAGTCCCCAAGACTTCTGGGAGAATATCATGCTGACATTCAGCCCGACGCTCAGAAGGACGAGATCTAAATCATCTGATTGATATACCATCTTCAGTGCCATATCTCAAAAGGTCCCTCCTTATCGATCGAAAGAACATGCATATGCTTTCTATCTGTCTCTACCCCGGTCATCTAGCGTCTATGGTGACAGGAGCCATCATGTCACTCCTAATAATCCCGCCACACCTTGAAGAGGGACCTCAGTCTGGACGACTTTACCCATTTGATGCGCGATAAAAATGGCGAGAAGATGTTTGCACTGTCATCAGTGCATGTTCCATATTGTGCTGACTCGGCAGCGCATTTCCTGACTGTATTTCCTTTGGACCTTCTCTCTTCTCTCTCTTCCCTCTTTCTCCTGTTCTCTCTTTGATCTGTTCTCTCTTTTCTATCTTTTTGTTTTTCACTTTGTCCCTCCCTTCGACCGCACACAATCTCCAAATACGTCAAAGATTGAATGAGAAAACTCACTAAAACATTCTTGCCTGATCCAAATGAATGACAACCATATCCTGCACAAGGACAATAACTCGTCTTTAAAGTATCTACTAATTTTTGTATTCTCTCATTCCTGCTTCTCTTCAACCTCGCCTCCTTCGTCATTCTCTCACTGGAGACCTTAGCCGAACTTCTTTTCTCGGAGTCAATCCGTGAGCCGTCATTCTCTCGTACGGCATCGATAGTCGGGTTTATCTCCGAGGCGTCTCTATTCATCTCTTCAGCCGCACGACTCTGATTATTCCCATGAATGTTACCCGACGTGTCTGATACAGGTATATCAGGCGAATCCTCCATTCTAGAATCCAGAAGGGGCTTGAGAAGATTGACAGGATGGTCTGTGCCAGCAGTGGTAGTGGGATCTGTAGTGATCTCTTCTTCCGGATCGGAATGAGGAAGATCGAGGAAGATGGTATATGGTGAACCTGTACTTGACATCACCTGATTTGAGCTTTATCAAAAGGACAAAGAAATGGGGTACTTGATAAAGCCATCTTCCACCAGGTAAAGTTATACGTACTACTGATTTACATCAGCTAACTCGTCGGCCATACGATTGTATTTTCTCATTCCCCAACAGTTTCTGAAGACAAGGAAACAAACCGCAAAAGGGCTGGGGACTGGTAGGCTGGATTGACGTCTTTGTAGATTAACATGTGAGAAGAATAGAAGTTGTTGCAGGTGACGGAAGATGGGGAAAGAGAAGTGTCATCCGAATAGAAGTCATGTGGTAAGGGGTGAAGGTGAGGGGAAAAGAATTGAGACTGACCATCTTGACGATCCATAATTTGTAAAGCTGACAATAACATAGGTCCAAAGATTGAGTGAAGTTGAAGAAGAAGAGTTTCGTCCACTATTTCATCAGCTTTGAAGGATCAGAAGTGAGTTGTCCAGGTATTCCGATAAGTATCCAACCCATGGAAAAAGCAGCATGAGATACAGGTGATGAGCGGTCAGATTAGATCAGTGACGGAATGGGGTGAGTATGAGGAGGTTTGGATGTGAATATGATGAAAAGTGCGATGTGAGGACTGCGATGTGAGATGTGAGATGTAGAGGACGGACCGACCTGATTTATCTGAAAGAGGTAATGAAGATAGAAGCGTTGCTGTTAGATAGAGAAACTCGGGTGATGGGTCCGACATGGATGATATAGATCTTGCTTCATTGATTCCCGAGTCTAGGGCTTATACTATACCGGACTGTCATATTCTACTGATGTAAGTAGTGCAAGTAAGTATCGATTATGAAATCGACTTTCCTTCTGGCTACGCGAGCTACGATTTGTTGACGGATCATGATGAAGATGGGATCTTATCTTTAGAGGGTGAAAGGTGAAATAGATGCTGACGTAATCAAGTCACCCTCCTTTGGGCAATCGAGTGGGGGGGAAAGAGAAGAGATGAGACGACTTTGACACTCCTCTTCACTACACATTTGCTTTTTTCTCTTGACTTCTCCTCGCGAATCTAATCTTGAGCATCCTCGAACATTTGGTGATACCTCGTTTAGGTTTTACTGCGTCAACCTTGCCGTCCCTCCCGTACGACCGAAGAGAAGCTTCGACCCCCCGAAACCGGCCGACATCATCGCCTCGTGGCTCGCACTCAAGTCAGCACCGAACGACCGAAGTACCGAAGCACTGGAATAATCGAGGTCTTGCCCGTTGCCTCGCTTCTTTCTGCTCTGTCACGCCACTATCTTCCATCTCTTCTATCATTACCTCTCATTTGAGAGAACACCATGAATCGAGTGAGTCAGTCCTTCTACCAGATCGTCCTGGATCTCAGAGACTACTGTCAAACGAATGGCAGAAGGGGATCATCTTGGATGTACGAGGAGCGAGATGAGTTGGGAGGAGAAGAATCAGACTGATCTTGTAGATCTTCGGTACAAACAAAGCTAAACCTAAGCCCAATTTGACGGATGCTATCAACTCTGTAAGTGTTCTTCATGTCTCTCCTTTGTGAACAACAACCACAAGAACGAGAGATTCAAAATAATGGAGCCTCTGTCTCGGTAATGTGAATGAATCTTCGCTGACATGACCAGACAGACGCCAGAATAGGCTCGATAGAAGTCAAAATCAAGAAACTTGATGCTGAATTGGGTGCGTTCAAAACTCAAATGGCTAAACTACGAGATGGTCCAGGTAAAGTGAGCATTATCCATATATCTTCATTACAATCTCATTCCTATACTCTGAGCGTCTGGAATCGAAAGTGGGTAGCCGGGGAAGTTTGTGAGAGGAGATTAATGATCAGAACGCAATACAACAAAGAGCTCTTCGAACTCTCAAACAAAAAAGAATGTATGAATCTCAACTCATGCAACTTCAACAACAGACTTGGAATATGGAACAAGCAGCTATGACTACGGAGAATCTCAAGAACACCGTACGTTTATCCTTTCCCACTATCTCTCCTCTTCTTCACATCATTGATTATACGTATTGACCACCTGATCGTGACTAAGACCTCGTTATGGAGTCAAACTCATTCAGACTGCCATCTTACGCACGTGTGATGAGAAGACAGTGAAGTAAAGAATCGATATTGATATTGATGAGTAGATGGCAACTGTGGATGCTATGAGAGTAGCGAACAAAGAGATGAAAAAGCAATACAAAGGATTAGATATTGATAAGATCGAGGTGAGTCCGATCATATACTGATGAGTGGTTTCAGATGCTGATGCTTCAGACTATGCATTATGATATGGAAGATTTGATCGAACAAGCGAATGAGATACAAGAATCTTTAGGAAGGAGTTATGGTGTTCCGGATGAAGTTGACGAGGCGGATTTGCAGGCTGGTGAGTTTATAGAGTTCGAAAAGGCTCATTCTTCTCCACTATCTCGTTCCTTACATGTCGGGCAGTATTGCATACGTGATCTTAGGTTGATAACAATAAATCCTTCTGTACATCATCAGATAGTTCTCATCATTACATCGCTATCCACCTCATCGTCCCTTCATGCGTTCTGTTCTCAAGTTTGACTACGACAACTGCGGGAAGAAATCAATGATATCTGTGAAGTCCCACTCACACTCAGAACTCGACGCTCTTGGTCTGGACGAAGTAGCAGAAGGCGAAACTCCTTCGTACTTGCAAGACACTCAAGCCTTACCGGACTTTATTGATTCTGCTCCGATCGAAGAACTTCATGTGAGCTCCCATCTTCACCGTCGTGAGTCAACTGACGGAGTAGCAGAGTAACGCTCCCACTGCAGAGGTGGCTCGATGAACGCCGACGAGTCACTACGAGTTATCCTTGTGGGATCCCAGGCTTCGAGACAATCACCCACCTTGTGACGCACGAAGCCTGTGTAGAATAGACAGGTTGGATAGGGAAGATTGACATGACATGAGAAGAGACATGGTTGTATATTATGCAAATGAGGACATCTGTATCATCTGTAATAGTATAGTGAACATGTTTATTGAAGTCATGTCCTCATGTCCGACTTAAGACCCTCAGCATCTGTCTATCTGCATGTACGCAGTGTCCGGACAGCTATTCTTGGAATCCACGAGACGATGCTTAACGAATTGACATGACATATCAAATTTCGCTCATCACTCCTCATTCGAATACTGCCATACCTTTTGTGGAATTGTCGTGAATGGCACATGACTCGACAGACGTTTTACGCTGGATAAATACGCTGTCGATCAGTCTTCTCTCTTTCTGTTCGATTGTGTGCAAACTAACCAGTACGACTTTCTTTCGATCGTCCTATCACCTCCCACTCTTCCCCCTTGGCCTGAACCTCCCATTGAGCAGGAAGAAACCCGAATGACAGTTGAATGTCAAGGTCATACAAGATGAAGTCGACATTTGAAAATGTCAGGAGTCTAAAACCCCAATTTTTTAGTATCTACTCCACTTAACAACCCTCCCATCCCCGAAGTAAAAGGAGTATCAATCCCACTAGTATATCCTAATTGGGGCGTATCGCTCTTGCCTGTGTTGGTTGAAGATTGGACGAGACGAGGATGAAGATTTAAAGAAGCGCAGAGTAACTTATATTTCGCTCTGATGGAATTGAGTAACGCAAGTAGATCTAATTCGGGTGATTGGGAGTTTATTCCTTCTTCTTTCCCATTTTTCATTTTAGGTGGTTGGTCGCCGTGCCCGTCGGAGTAATGAGTCGCAGGGTGTGTATGTGAGTCGGGATCATCCGTTCGAGAAAGGTAATCATAATGGGGTCGAGTGGGCTTTTCCGAGTCAGGATTTGTAGAATGGGAATTGGAAGTTTGTTTTGCTACATTTGAATGAGTGATCGGATGATTTTGATTGAGAGGAAGTGGTTGGTGGTTTGACCCAGAATTAGTAGGGCCAGGGCTGGATGTATCGGTGTTGCGTAATGACGATGAGAAGGTTTGTGTAGATGGCTGAATGGAGGATGATTTTGAAGATGGGTTTATTCGAGGGAAAGAAGTGATCAATTCTAATAATTGAATTGCGTGATTTCTGGCTCTGACAGTCAGTCATCATTCCAGACTTCTTCTCTTCATAACATCTGTCTGAGGGACAAGTTCAGGGTAGATGAGGTGAAGACAAGATTGACAAAAATTACACATTCGTACAAGGTCAAGTACGACCTCAAGACTATCATTGAGAGAAGTCACACCTCAAACACGTATGATAAATGTTATACAAACGAGTTCAAGACATGAATCAATAAAAAAAACACAGCGCATAGAAGGTGGGATGTGGAGGAAAGTAAACAATATGACATGACTCACCGAAGATCCTTATTACCCATATTTGACTCGGAAAGAAGTTCAACCCAAACTTCAGCGAAACCTTCATAATAACCTACTTCTTCCCATAATTCAAAAGCCTTTTCTTGACCTAATGCACGACCTTCGTATATCCCGTGGAGGGCGCCATGGGCATGTCCTTCTTCGTAGCCTTGGGTGTAGAATCTGATATCAGTATGACTGTTTTCTTTTCTCTTTTCCGAAAAATCAAACTCAGACTACCAAGTATTATTATAGCTAAAGAAGAACGGAAGGGAACATGGATTTATGAGGAGTGACCAGTGTAGGATTTGAGGTCAGATTTTTGGGAGGGTCGAAAGGATGGTGGATGGAATAGATGAGTAGAGGACACACACCTTGATTCGAGATTCACCAAATCATCAAGAATGTCATCTTCATCGTTATCCAAATCATCAATGTCCATCTTCCACTTTTCAGCTGATGCTGAGCCACGAGAGTTGTAAGTGAGTGTGAAAGAAGAGAAAAGTTGAATCATCTTCCTCAATCTCTGCACCCTCCTTTCGGATCCGACCGAATCGCACCGATCGTCTCTTCTCATCTTCCCCCATCATGCCATCATCTCTCCCTCCTCCTCTCTCTATCCCCCACTTTCCCCTAGAACATCTCCCATATTCCCTACTCTAGACACTCCCTCGTCTCCCTCGTCTCCCTCGATGTATCCTAGATCCTGTGATATCTAACCCTTCCAATTTGGCTGACTCAAAAGTCATGCTCAACCTCCTCCTTCCTTCCCTTCTCCTCTCTCTTCTCGCCGTATACATCCATCGTCTCTCCCAACCTTCCCGAAAACCCGGATCTCACCGTTTATCACAACCCTCTCGTCATGTATGGTTTTCAGAAAGAACGGGAATCACCTTGTCCATCTCTACCCCAAACCTCAATTACCTACCTCGGTCCATCCTTCAAAGCCTGCGATCTTCCCTACATCCGAGGTTGAAGAAGACTTATGAACTTTTAGCTTGGGTTGGAGTGATAGGAGGGGTCATAGCACTTTTCGGAGCATTATGGGCTTGTTTGGATATTTGGTGGTCTGTATGGGAAGAAGCTACTGTACATGCTTCTTCTCCCTCAACTACCGGTTCGTGGAGACGTCACATGTCAAAGGTGCAGGAACAACGTAGAGGATTACAACCTCTGGTGAGTTGAGAAGCTCTTGAACAGAGGTTAAAACTCATGGGTAGATACCAGGAATAACGACACCTATCTCACATCTACCCACTATGTTATTGGCGTTGGTGAGCAATCAGTTAATACATGAACTAGGTCATGCTCTCTCTGCTTCATTGTGAGTCTAGTCTCGTTTTGATCTCCTCCTGAAATCATACTCTATCAATCACATCTACATGTCTAATCTCTCACCATCTTTCACCCTCTTCCCTTATTCCCTTCAGATTACCTTCGGTGTGGAGAACTCTCCCGGCCATAGTGACAGATGAAACGAGCTAACAAAAAGGGACGACGTCCAACCCTCAAGATTCAGTCTATCTCTACATCTCTTCCTCCCCAGTGCTAGTGTTTCCTTCCCTTCTTCTGTTGACTTTCTCAGTCCGTGAGTCCTCGATCCAGTCATCAATCTCACCACAACCCTCCACGTCATTGGAGCTGGAGACTGAGCATGACCAGAAAGGTCATTATTCACAGACATAGTGTAAGGTCAGCTGACGCGTAAGGAAAGCCAAAATGCGTCTTGCGGCAGCTGGAGCAGGACACAATTTGGTCTGTTGGATAATTTTGTGGTCAATCACGGTCAGTGGAATGGGGAGTATGTTTTGGTATGATCGTTCGGCCGAGGGACGAGTGGTTCAAAATGTCCATCCTGTGAGTCTCCTTGCTGATCATTCTCCTCTCCTCTCATTCTCATTCTCCTCTCCTCTCATTCTCTTCTCTTCTCACTCCCCTCTCTTCTCATTATTTGATCCACAAGTGCATGATACAGTGTGTTCAGGACCGAGATGGATAGACTGATAGCTCTTAGGGCTCTCCCTTAGCCGGACATCTCAAACCAGGGGACATCATCACCCACCTCGACGATTCAGTACTCGGTGGTAATCTGGACATATGGACTGATTATCTGTCCGGGGATGAGGTAGGAGATCAATCGAGGGGTTGGTGCTACCTCCGTTCAGACTATCTGGGTAAGACCATCCTTGATCTCTCTACATCACCCTCGTACAAAGTAATCCCAAATTCAGCAGCCGGCACAGTAAGTGCAACAATAGCATGCTCGTGTCGGCCCATTCCACTTTCTGTAGCACTTCGACGTGTGGAGGACATCAGCTGATCGGATAGATCTCCCCTTACATCCTTGTCTTTCTGAAGAAAATATCTCTTTCGACCCTTTAGATCCCCGAGACGTGCCCGAATCCAGGTGTCTCAACCCACATCCTCTTCTTGACAATCCATCTACCCCTTGCATGTGCGACGCTTCCACCGAACTTTGCATCCGACCTTCTCTCTCAGAAAGGATCTTACGGATACGAACTACAAACAAGGTGGTCATATGGGCGGGAGATCGGATGGCCGTATTGGAAGGAGTTCAGGTGTCTGGTTTGGATGGACGATTGTGGCCTGGAGCTATCCGATGGGGTGAGATGTATATTGGGTGAGTTGAAGGTTTCTTCTCTTTCCCTTGCCTCCCTGCTCTGCTCTTCCTTTCTCGTCACCGTCATCCCGAGTTTTCACTCGATATGTCTAGTGCTACAAAATCATCCCGCGCATGGTCTCTCTGCAACTCGGAAGAGACTATTTCCAACACCGCTTCTCCTATAAAGTGACGATCAGAGAACTGACTGATTATCAGGTATTTAAAAACCATTTCCATCTCACTATTCCTATTCAACCTCCTTCCCCTTCCCTCCACTGACGGAGCACATCTCTTTCGTGCTCTATTGAGTCTACATCATTCTTCCAAACCTTGGTCCCCCGGTCAACCCCGACATCTTCAAGCCTCTTTAGGTCAAGGACAACCTCGCATCAACATTTATAGAGAGTACGAACTGGCCGACTCTGATTCTGAGGATTACGAATCGGCTCTGGGTCATAGAGATCCAAGTGGGGGGATGAGAAGGGAAGAAGTGTGGAAGAGAAGGTTGAGAAGAGGAGTGGAGGGAATGAGTTTGGGTTTGGTAGTTGTTTGGACGGCGGGTTGGGGGATGGTAGGTTTGTTAAGAAGTAGTTGACGAAATTACATCTGCATTGTGCATATCCGCATGGTTAATATACGTGTGCCTCCTTCGGGTTCAGACGGCTTGGGTAGTCGCTCGTTCTTGACAGTAGCAATAAATCCATGCCGGTTTGCTAGTACCCACTCTGAAGCTTTTGGTTCATGAGACATTCTCCCACGAATAGAGTAGCTCGCAGTGACCATATCTAGCAGAGACTGTCAAAGTGGGGCTCCACGTAACTCTCCCTATTCTAAACTCTATTCTAACCTCCACTCCTCCACCTCCACCTCCAACTCCACTCACGCATTGATGCATACTATGATAGTGATGGTGGAGGGTGAGGGGTTGTCAAGTATATATAGTACTCCATTGGGCCCTACCATTGATACGTAGCTTGTATCCGTAAATGAATTATTTCGAATACACCATGTCGATCCCTACTACTATGCGTGCTGCCAAAGTCGGTGTAGATAAGTGAGTTTTTCCCGTTCTTCTCTTATTCCTCTATCACAAGTAGTCTTAGCGTCAACCCATTACCATCTGTCATGTTCCTGTTTCATACTCATCCATCTCAATATCTCCTCCGACTCTCAACTACTGTTCAATATGAACGGACTCGCTCCGGTCGCAATAACAACCCTTCACCAGTGCTATACAGGCTAGACATTTGCAATGTAAGACACAAAGGGTCAAATAATCATCATGAAGACCGCACACCAGCTCAATCGCAAATTTCCTTCCTTCATGATGTCAAAGATAAGATAGCGTAAATGATAGAAAATCATACTGACATACTTTAAAGACATCACTACGATCTAGTGACTCTACCTGTCCCTCAGCCAAAAGGATATGAATGTCTTTTAAAAATCGGTGCAGCGGGATTTTGTCATACGGACACTATGGTACTAGAAGGGGTATTCGGTGGTAATAAAGTAATTGGGAGTCATGAACCTTCTGGAACTGTGGTAGCTCTTGGAGAAGATGCGGAAAGGGATGGGAGAGTGAAATTGGGTCAGAGAGTAGCAGGTATGTTAAAGAGAGATGTTTGTTGTGAGTTGTACTCTTCTTATTGTCTTTGATCACCCTTTCTTTTCATTATCTCTTGACTATATTGGTTGGGCTTTTGAACCAAGTTGGCTCCCTGATCCCTGAATCTCTCCATCTTCCCGAGTTGGAAATGGTCTATGTTAGATCTTCCAACCTTTCGCTCGTGTGGTGAAGCGATCAGATAGTACATATTACATCTCCGCCCAGATGAAGATCTCCTGTCATCCTCATGTTACATCGACTTCAACGATGTGGATGTCACCAACCTATAACTTGGATTTGACTAGCTGACTAACAGTCGAATGTTCCGATTGTAAACTCGTCGATTGGATGTGAGTCCTATACTCCTATATCTTTCTCTACTCAATCTCATATTTCTCATCTCCCACATCGTCCCTATCCCTTCATCATCCCTTGTACCACCATACCGTCCCTACATCAAGATCAAACTGTAGAGAATCTTCTCTCATAAGATCATTTTTGATTCTGTCTTGTGGTCTGAATGCTTGAAACATCTGCGATCAATTGCTGAATCTTCGATACTGACCAATAGATACTGTCAAAAAGGTCTTAATTCCGGACTTGACATTGATGGTTTTTTCTCAGAATACGCTATTGTCGATTCCCGTTTCTGCGCTACATTACCTGACAACATGTCTTTCGAACAAGCCGCTCCGTTGACTTGCGCCGGTTTGACAATTTACAAAGCTATAAAACTTGCCGTGGAGAAAAAAGGTATATTACCTGGGAAAGGTATATTGGCTATTAGTGGTTTAGGTGCTTTAGGACATTTAGGTACTCAGATGGCAAAAGCTATGGTGAATCATTTTTTCTCCCAACCCTCACATTATCTATCAAAGGCCGGAACCGTGAAGATCGTTGAGATTGAGTTGACCCTCATCTGGAGCCAATCTATGTCTATAGAGTTGAAGGAGAGGATAGTAGAGGCTGACATAGGTGTTAGGGCTACACAACAATCGGTATCGATGCTAGACCAGGACCTATATCATTGGCTAATGAGATGAAACATAAACCCGATTTGACTATCGACGCTTCGAAAGTCAATGTCGAAAAGGCTAAAGAAATGATTAATGATCTACGTCCAAAAGGTTATTTCGGATGGGAAGGAGTTGATGGTGAGTTATATCTTCTTTCTCTCAGTACTCAATCTATGGAATTCTCCTACCTTATCAGACTTGAACTCTCCGCTTTTTCCAAGTGTACCCTCCCTTCCTCTTTGCCCAGGGGGATCTCGAACAATTTAGAAAACGAGGGAATGACGTACTTATGGTAATGCTAGGGAATTCCCTGTAAAAGTTGACTATCAGCAATCATCATGTGCGCAGACGCCGTAGCTTCTCAACGTTACGCCATCAACCTTCTCGTTCCACACGGTTTAATGGTGATCGTAGCTCAACCACCAACATACACGTTCGAATTCCGTGATTTCATTTTCAAAGATATCTCAGTTATCGCCAGTATGCACGGGAACGAGATACAATTACAAGAATGTGTTGATTTATGTGCCAAAGAGGGAATAAGGACGGAAACCACTACGTTCACTTTGGATCAACATAAGGAAATGTGTGATGCTATTCATCAAGATGGTTGGAAGGGGAAGGCTGTGATGGTTTTTGAGTAAGGCCGTTGTGTCGATGTGTAAGTTCATGTCGAATGTTTTTATTGTCGTAGGTCAATTAGTTGAGTAGTACGAATAGTCATTAAGATAAGTAGTGAAGTAAGTTCTTGGTGAAAGCATGAACATCTAATGAGGAGTATCCCAATGGCCAGTGGAATGAAAGCAACGATATCAAATCCAAAAGTATGTTGCATGTTTCCGAAGTATGAATCGATCTAAAAAATCGATCGATCGTTCCAAACTTTTTTTTCGCCCCACTCGCACTTGTAACTTGTCCACTTTACATTCCCTCTACAATTTTAAGCAATAACCCGCATTTACATACAGAGCTCGCATGCTCAACGATCAGACTCAGGGTGTACGAGTACTCTACTGTTACCGACTGGACTTGAAGAAATAGATCGCTAAACGGAGAGAGTAGTATCTCATGTCGGCCCGCGCCAAAGCTTTGATAGGCTTTAAAAGAAAATGCCAATTTCAACCCCTATGCCGTCATTCGTCTTCCTTCTCAAATGCCGAGTCTACCGATATAGGTTCTCAATTGAGGAATGTGATGCGTAATGTTCCTCAAGTGAGTCTCTGATTTCTTTTCCGACATCCACACACCACCATCTCCTCTCTTTGTGTTTGCTCCATCGCCTTTGTCTTTCGTCCTTCGTACCACAATGCTGGAATGGGAGTCGCCTTACTGTGAACTATATCGACACTCTATCTCGTTGGTTTCTGCTCTTCCAGAGTCATACGCAGGCTTACTGGTACATCTGCGATTCTTGGTGGTATCTAATCTGAAAGCGAAGTAAAAATCAATGACTGATCTCAGCCTGTATCTATCGCCGTATGCCGTATCCCCTCTCATGACCATCAAGTAGAATATAGAGGCGTAACATTATCTTCTTTCACTTCTTTAGCTTTATATCCACAACCATTAGTTTCTTTCGCACTTCGACTTCCTTCACGTATGGCCGATTGTTTACGACCGTCTCTTCCTCATTTTTCCACCTCACAAGTTCAATCAGCTGCTCCTGATCAGCATCATTCTCGAACGTCTCGCTTTATACAACCCGAAATCGCTTCCCCTTCCTCTCTCCAACCATCCGACTCTAAATCTGCATCTTTATTTCCCCTCGATACGCTTCAAACCCTTTCTCACTTACTCCCCTCTTCATCCTCTCAAACACCTAATATTTCTCTTTCATCAACATCATCATACAAATTGCCTTCTGTAGCCGCGAATGCCACTTCCAATCCCTCATCTACCCCCACTACAACGTCACATTCAACAGAACTCAGTATATCTCTCTTATCTTCTCAATATCAATCCCTAGCTGAATCCCTCTCTCGTCCCTCAACCGACCAAAAGGAAATCTTCGATAATCCTCAATGGGACAAAAGTGACATACCAGTCTTACGAGATAGTCTAGGATGGTTGAAATGCGAAGTGGTCACCAGTATCCCTCTTGGATCTCTTATCACAACCCCTACATCCACATCATCAAAACAAGATATCGGAATGGTCCTCCCCACATCATATGACTCCACAATCACATCATCCAATGAACATTCCACCACGGATAGGAAAAAAGAAGGAAGCGAATTATTCATATGCAAAGTTTTGTCCGTCCATCTCGGAGGAGGTCAACCCTTGGTACATCTCAATAGACGTTATACGACCGTATCGGATACGATATGACCATGCATCGCTGATCTTGCCCGTGTACATCGGGGAACATAGGGAAAATGTCTGTTTTTTATAATTTGGCGAAAGGTTTGTTCGTGGCGATGCGGAGTTTCACGCAACACAGGTTCTTCATCGCCACCGTCGTCTTTCCCTTCTCACGTTCAGTCTAGAAGGCACATTTTAAGTCTTCTTACCTCCAAGGCCTTGGATATTCTCACGGTCTGGCAGTTCTATTTAGTTCTAACAGATTGACTTAAATCCCCCTCTTCCCCAGCAGAATACTCCATCACACTCGACATATTCAAGGGTCCACGTACTTACACAAGTAACTTGATCACCAACACAAACACCACCATGAACATCCATAACCTTCACCCTGAAGATTATCTTACACTTGAAGTCTCCAAATACTGTGCGCATAGATGTACTAAAGGTCCAAGCATGTTGAATACAGGCCTTTGGACAGCTCTGAGGCCGCCGGAACAAATGTATCCCCCCGATATCTCACTGGAAGAGCGACCAATGATGGATCTCCCGTTCAAATGACTGCTCAAATCCTCCACTTCGCGCGCCAAGACGATCATCCAATCCTGTGCGTGGTCTGTGGAGGTTTCATCATCGAAGAACAGAGGTCAAGAGAAGTCTTCCGTGTCATCTGAATCCGCAGAGGAATGGGTTTTAAATTTCACTGCACGTCGCGGCCGGTACAAATTGGAGGTTAAAAAGACCAAAATATCAACAAGTCCAGTCAACGTCGAAAAGGAACCACGATACCAACTTTGCATGAGCCTAATCTGGCCATCAGGCACCTATGTATCAACTTTTAAGGAGCGGAAGAGGCTGTCAGGTGAGGAGATCACATTTGAATGGACACAAACAATGACTAGTGACAAGAAAGTCCTGAACTTACATTCCGATCCCGATTCGAGCCATATGTTGCTCAAGGATATCACCACAAAGGGTGCAGAACTGCTGATCTCGTCTTCACGACGCCAAGGAACAATTCCCCATTGGAAGAACTTCGAACTCATCCTTCGTTATCACCCAAGTGGCATATATTCCTTTGATTTACTTCCTTGGGACCAAGACCTCTCCCGGGGAATGGATTACCGATTGGTTCATCCTAAGACTATAAACCAGCCCCGTCCATCGCATCGACTCAGTACACAGATGACTATAGGTCCGGATGAGGAATCAAAGAATGATAATGATCATGACGATGGTCATGCTTCTGATGATGACCTTGATAATGAGACACGGCCTTTACTAGAAAAAGGTAAAGCCCGTCAAAGACGTTGATGAGGAGAGGGCACCCGCAGATGTAATCCCACATCAGGACGACTTTTGCCGGGCATTGCGGAGAAAGGTAGAATGTAGTATCCCTATACCTGTCGCGTGGTGACAACTTTGATATGTGGAGGACGCCGCTGACAACGTACCTAACAGATACATAGTACAAAGATAGCTACTTTATTCTTTGGACAATGTATCTTCACCTGTCTGTAACTCTAGATTGCTACCGTGCATCACCAGTTGCGGATCTTGTCCCTTGAACCATCCATAGAACCGAAGGAACCCCTGACAGACAACCAGGATAGTTCGATAGTGAGTTTCAACAAGGTATCCACGGGTACTCCGGAAAGCGGGAAAGATACATGGTCCGTACAATACCGATCCCAAGAGGGTATCTTCCGCTGGGATTGGGAATCAGTTCAAATCACTCCCCGCGAGGCAATTCTTTCGAGAGATGATCAGCAGGTCATACTTGCTTCCGAAGAGTGCTCGAGAAGAGTCAAACTTGTTGAGATTAAAAATGAACAATCCATTGTGGTATTCTGTAGTGATCGCCGTCTAGAGCGCTACTCCGAGAAGAACACCGGAAACACGACCGAAAAGGACTCCAAAAACTCCCGGAGAAGACTTGCTTCTGGTGCATCAATACCTACGGTGAGAACCTACTCAATGTTACCATGACTCTCCGCCCGCATCAACTGGATAAAAATTTCACTACGGCGGTGTACGGAGCTCGCGTGAAAGGGACTGAAGATAATCTTGGAGAGTGATGGGTGTGTGTATAGCAGGAGATGGTTCGAGATTGATGGAATGAAGGATGAAATGATTATGATAGGATTGATGAACATGCGGAAACTTGTTAGCTACTCAACGAGAGTTAGTCATAGGGGCGAGGTAAGAGACAAACACCTGAAGAATCTGCCTTTTCCCATTCCGATAAGTCTTTTCACCCATCCCGTACCCTTGTGTGGACCCTCGACTCTGCATGATACCACAATGTGCGTGAAGTAACATGTTAGACCCCCAGTAGACGAGTCGTGACCCTGAATCCCATGCGTCCTCGAAGAATTTTCTGGCGTCAGTCTCACCTTTCATCGTCGTTCCATTATCGCTATCAAACCATTGTACTCAGCTTCAACTCCGCTCATCACCATGGTCTTCCAACATTCTCATACTTTCAAAGTTCTATCCAGATGAAAAACCCCTCTTACCCACATCTTTCACACTTTTTACATATCCAGAGATCCGCACACCTTACACGTCCCCTATGAGCACCCATGACGAATCTCCTGAAAGTCAAATCACTCGTACCGTAAAAGAATTCCAGCGGGTGATGGTTAACGAGGATGAAACTGAGGCAGATACTGCCCAATGGACAGTTGTCAAAGGGTCGGGCGCATGGGTCCCTGTGGATTTGCATTCGAGTACGCGCGAATTATTTGATCACGCTCAGGAGTTCATCGAATTGTCTACTCTAGGAGATGTGATGATTTACACCCAATCGCTCGAGTGGAAGGAAGGGATTGGAGGAGCTCCTTCCGATTTCCGGGTGTCTTCTGATGTCACAGGGAATTGGAGCTGTACATTAGCATGGTTCGATGATCACCCGCGACGATTGGTGGCCTCAAAGACCAAAAGAGAACCGGGCCGCTTTGAAGTTGCGGAGGACATGCCAGACCAATTTCGTGTGAGCATAACCTGGCAAACAGGTACATGTGTATTGACTAGGGATGAGCAAAAGAGACCCGGCCAAGAAAGTGTATACAATTACACACAAACCATGACATGTGACGGGAAAGAAGTGGTATCCAAGTACGATCTCGGATCGAAGTACTTTGAGCGTAAAGAGAAACCGGAAAGGACGATTTTGTGGAGTGTACTCGCTACTATTATCCTGAGCCTGGCAATACTTTCATAAGGGCTTTTTTGTTTGAACAATCCTAAGGGCCCACTTCATGTACGTCACGATCCCTGGAACCAAGACTTGTCAAGAATCATGGATGGAAAATCGGTTCAAAACGAGACTACTATCTGAGACTATTCAGCGTATGTACTTGGTACAGAGATGAATGCAGACCCGGATGAGGAATCAAACGATGATGATGATGGTAAACATGAGTAGAAGTGAGATACGCACTGCACGGTACTTGCTGACTTTAAATGGTCCAACAACTCTTGACCATTGTCACTACTCTCCAACCTCCCGATGGGACCGATGTTCTGACGGCGAGGATGATATTTCCCAGCTGGTACTCTGCCATTGACCCCGCCCTATCTCGTTGTTGGATGTTGGATGTTTGATGTTTAATGTTCCAAGTTTAGACATGAGCAACTGTTGTTCACTTACAGTGACGTATCGACCATTTTTGCGGGGCTCCCATCACTCGCCCAGCCGACGCCACGTGGCCATCATCAGCTGTCACCACGTTCCCCTCCTCGTCCTCTGATACTTAAGCTTAACGCTCATGCCCATCAAGCACCCCATACTGAGACTTCTCCCACGCCAAGACGTCAGTGTTGATGTTGTCTCTGATGGTTCTGGACCCGCCATCGTCTTCGTCGTCGTCGTCTCCATCGATGATGATGCATGAGGCGTAAAAGAATACACAACTGTAGCTCAAGGAACAGATCTGGCACAAGACTACTTTTTCTTCCTTGCCCTTCCTTCCCCCTCCCCTCCAAGAGGTATATAATGTCGCACTCTCCTCGTGATCACCATGCATCTCTTTCATCTTTCAACCCTCCTTCTATCTCTCCCTCCACCTCTTCGTCTCCCCCTTCCTCTTTCACTTCCACCTTTGAACCCAAAGCCAACCACGACCGGATTTCCTCTGTCCAAGACATTCACCCAGGATCCATATCCGCACCTACATCTCCAATCCTCAGGACCGACATGTTCCCTCAAGGACTATCCATTACTCCTCTCACTCTCCCCTCGATTCAACTGGAAGGATTGAAACACCCTCACATTCCACCTTCTATCACACAAGATCCGGCCGCTTTTCGATCCCAACTACAACCACACCCACACCCACACCCACACATCATCCAGTCTCAGTCATCCCGACGTCCCCGGCATTCGTATACTTCCCCTCCCGCCTACCATCTCTCACTGAATCCGACAAGAAATGGTCATAACAAACCCAACACTCCATCAACCTTTCCGAGACAGCCTAACTTTCATGCTCCAAATGGCACATCCATACCTCTTCCAACCTCGTCCACCGTCCGAGGTCGACCCAGTCCCCGTCAGTCCTTACCACGAACAATGGCGAGTCAAGGTGTTTCTGACGAGTCGGAGTGGGATAGCGATACGACTTTTGTACCACATAGAAGGGGGCATAATCATAGTCAATCACAACCCGACTTACCCACCATGCGTGCCAATTTGGAAGGTTGGGTCGATACTGTAGCGAGAGTGAATGGAACTTCTCCTTCTTCATCCACTGTAGCCGTACGACCTGGACTTAGTCTTCCTACTAGTGAACCAAGTCGACAATTGCTACCACATGCCAAGACCCAATCTCCTCAAACATCTTCAAATTCATCCATCGGGCAAGTTCGACCGCCGTCTCTCCCCGGTCCCACTGCCAATCCTCAGAACTTCAAAACATCACCTTCCGTCCAAACTATTCGTCCCTCCCCTCCGCAGATCATCCAAAGACCTTTGACAACGGGCTCCCCTCCGACACCCACTTTCAATCTATCACCCGACTCTTCACCTAGTCGATATCGACCCATGGGAGACATGCCAAGTTCCGAAGATGCAGATGATGATCTTGAAAGCACATCTGCTTCGTCAGATTCTCTCTCCTTTTCTCCCAGACGGGCTCAACTACGAAGACGTATGATCCCGGAGGTCTCACGTGCAAAGGCTCTCGGATTGTCACTCGGACCTGACGATCCAGATCTTCATACAAACCTTCGAAGAAATGCCTCATTCAGACCTTTTGGAGTGGATCCAGTGGAATTGGCAAGCTTATTGGAAAGTAGGCTACAACAGAGCTCATTGTATCCTTTAAGAATGCTCGCGGTGGTACCCAGTGTTTGGGGGATATGTGTGTTGATGCAGGCATTCATGACGGGAGGCTTGTGGGAAGAGGTCTGGCCTTGGGGAGTGGATTGGAGATTAGAGATGGTGGAGAGGTTGTTACAAGGTGGACCGTACGAGGGTACTTGGTTGAAAGTTTCAAGAGGGGATATGGTACTTGCTATGGCATGGGTGAGTGTTTTTACAAATAAATCTGGCTCCTGTGCACCGAGGTATCAATCCTGTGACCCTACTTCCGATGTTCCGTCCTCACGTAGTCGTTATGGACCATTCTCATGACATCCCGTTTTGGAACAATTCACTCCTTCATATCGTGCCAAGGATGTGGCGAAATGCGCTGACTTCAGGCCGCATGTACAGCACATTTCTGTTTCTGTCTAACCACCGGACTTACCTATCGTTGGCGATCTTACTATTCCCTCCTCTCAACCCTCACCCGTCTCCTCTCTCTTCAATCTATTTGCTGGCCCGCAACATACGTAACACTTTGGTTCCTCGGTCCTCATCGTCTTCTCCTCTGTTGGGTGGTTATAGGTATATCAACCGGTTGGTCCCGTTGCGTCCAAATGTGGGTGACGTCCAACGTCATACCTCCATCTCCCCGGGCCCGAGAGGGCGATATGACCCCAAATTCAGGTACTCGATCTCGAAATTCACCAGCACTACGATCAATATCCCTACGAGATCATCGAGGGTCTCCGGTCATGCGTCCCGCTGGATTGAGAGGGTGGGGAGCTTTCACCTATGGTCGGAAATGGGATTGGGATGCTGTGGCCAGTGAGGTAGGCTGGAAAGTTGGTTTTTTATTGTTGATCACGACTGCTTGGATGTTTTGGGGATTGGAGACGGGAAGACTTGTCAGGGTTTGATCTTCACCCTTCATATCGTTGGATTATCTGTACCATCTCTCAGCATCACTTCTCACACCTATGAACCCAAATATCACTCCACGATTTCAAGATTGCTCACGAATCTCACTTCACAATCGCCTACTATGTTCTTTCCCCCCTCAAATGGCGAGTTTCCCCATACTCAATCATACCCCTGTATACTGCCCGATCTTCCTTCTCCCTTCGTCATGTATGAACGACGCCATGCCTGATCAGTTCCATCATCCACACGCGTGTAGCTTTTGTAATTTTCCCCATAGATCTCACCTAGATTCAACAGATGATCCCTATAATCCAACATATCATACACGATAGAATAAAGTCTCAATACATACTTCATGCATGTTCAACACACGAGGGTTTGACATGCATGATTCCATGCGATTCATTCTATCTCTGAAATGAACATGCAAGTACCTGCTCATTCCTATGTCCGTATCAAAGAGCCTCTGAGTAAATGTTGATACAGATCATCACCACAACGATAACAGAAAGCTGCTTTGATTATGGTCTAGACCTCATATTGTGTGAACACATGGCTGGAGTCTCAATCGAGTCCGGTCTCACCATTGCAACTCAGCGTACGCGTATTGCTCTCATATCGTGAACAATGAAAATTTGGGGATTAAAACACCACAGAGAGCGGAAATCAGTCGAACATCATCCATATCATTTATTCTCTCTGTACAACCTGAACTCTACTAGAATCATAACTCTATTGGAAGATTTGCCCACTATCGGGACGCGAGAAAATTTATTCCAATACCCCTTTTTTTAGGTTGAACATTTCCGATCAACCGGTCGGATCTTCATTCACCCCCGACTCGATCAATAAAAGTGTCGGAAGGAAGGATTAGCGGGTCCTTCCGCTAATGCTGAAGTTGGAACATCTTTACTTTGCCAATTGACGCCTTCAGTGTCAGCTACGTCTTTTGTCCCAGATTCAAGTAAGCTGTTGATCGACTTAGATAAACGATGGAGGAAAGAGTTTTTTCCGAATAAGAAAGAATATATTGGACTTTTACTCACCTTGTTCTTTGTTACGACGCCTGTTATCAAGGTACATCCACATACGTAGGTAAATGACAATAATTAGACCTAAACCTTCTAAACCAGCGGTTATACCAAGTGGTTGAATGTACGCAGGAGCCCATTTATCAAGGAAAATGTTGGAACTGACGATACCTCCAGTATTGGCTAAGAAAGTGAATGAACCGACTCGGAAAGCACGACCATCTTCAGTAGGGTCATTACATTGATGCCATGTGTGGAATATCACCGAAGGAGTGAAAGAACCCATGGCTGTGAATGTCAACCTCTGTCCATCGACACATGAATTCATCCATCGATACATGATGATTCGCCCATCGACGCATGATGATTCTTCCATCGATGAATGATAAACTCAACAGAGAGAAGAGAGGTGAGAACGGGAGGTGGCGATAGAACACGAAACAAGAGGAAAAGAAAAGAAAAGAAAAGAAAAGAAAACTCACTGATGAGGAAAGTAGCAAAGTATCCGACGTGAATGCTGGTGACGGGGATGGCGGTGAGAATAATACAACCGACAATGACAAAGACAAGGGCGGATGCAAGATGAAAACCACGTTCTCTGAAATGATCAGAAGACCAGGTGGTGATGAGTAAGACCAAAGTTCCACAAACATAAGGTGCTACGGTATACAAATTGGTCTTGACCACACTGTAATGGAATCGACCGACTTGAATTATTAGCTGATGTAATTTTCGATAAGACGAAGACGACTTACTGATTTGAGTCAAGAAGTTACCAGCGACAGATGCGGCGGTACCGTAACAAAGAGCTGCATGTAAGTGTTGAGCTCAATACCATGTACTTTTATTATGTGTACGTATGTATGATGGAGTTTATAGAAGTAAACAATAGAAAAGATGAACATGATTATAAAACACGATCAAGTTGCCGACTTACCAATGCAAGCATAAACATAGTATTTCCAATCTCGTAAAGGCTTGAAAAACTTTTTGGCGTTGAAAGTGGTGTGTGTCTCGACGGAACCATCTCTGAGAAGACGTAATTTGGCCACTTCCCTCTCGCGAGCGGAAAGGAATTTAGCGGTTTCAGGATGCCACGGTAGAGAAAGAGCGACGAGGACAGCGAAAGCGACGGTGAAAGCGCCTTCGATGAGGAAAAGAATTTGCCATCCCCACAATTTCGAGTCCATCTGGAAAACACCATATGCGATGAGACTGGGGACATTAGCACGAGAAGAAGACGGATAGAAGAAATGAGATGAATGACTCACCCGGAGAAAGCACCAGAAAGAGCGTTACACGAATAAAAAGCGGCGATACGTTTACCAAGTTCACCACGGGTGTAGAAAGTGGTCAAATAGTAAATCAGAGAAGCGGCGAAACCAGCTTCAAAAGCACCAAGAACTAGTCATTAGAACGAAGTCCATTTTCTCCTATGAAACAAGATGATTCCCCAAAAGTCGAAAAGGTCAAGAGAGGTAAAGCGTGTATGTGAGATAATGATCTGCTTCACTCACTCAAACGAACAACCAAAACTCCTGCAAAGTTCTTGCAACCAGCGTTGATCATAGCCATGGCTCCCCATCCAAACATATAACCGGGAATCGTAAACCTGGGGCCAATCCTACGGGTCAAGAGGACACCGGGAACGACCAAGGTGGTGAAAGGGACGTAGAAAACGGACAACATGCTGTTTTGTCAGATTGGCTCTCGTGTGAATTGAAGGGGACAAACATGGAATAACCCTCGTGAGGAAAGTGGAGATCGGCTATATGGTCAGTATGATACGATCAAATCAGTGACATTTGACTTACTGGTCATACCGTCACTCTTGGCGTTGGAAACGTTGGACCTGTCTAACCTGAAACGGTCAGCTTGATCTATCAATGTTGGGGATGTATAGAACAGGGAAGAAGTTGAACGCACGAGTTGAAAAGGTAGCACCACCAAATGAAAGGCAAAATCTATTCGTTAGCATTTACAACACTACGTACCCATGAGTATTCTAAACTACAGGCTGAGGATAGTCGGATGAGAGGAGGTAGACCGTGAAAGTGGGGGGAGGTCGCACGGAACTGGAAAGGTGGAGGTGATAGAGTAGTGGAAGGTCCCGAGATATCATGGAGCTATCTCACTGGTTTGAGGTGGCATGGCCACGTCAAGTGTAAGAGGGGGGGGGAGGGGGGAGGGATGGAACATAAAAAAGGTAAAGAACATCTTTAGAACGATGAGAGAGAAAGACTCACATGCCAATCAAATTTCTTCACCACTGCCCGACTCTCCTCCGCAGTGAAAGAATAATCAGACATGTCGGCATTTTTCACTTCTTGGACGTCATGTTGAGAGTAATGAGCTTGGACGATCTTGTCACCCGCGAGCTCGGGGTCTTCAAACTTTTCCGAAGACATGTTTTTGAGGTTCTCCAAACGGCAAGGAAAAATTAAAGAGATGGACTCAACACTCTAGGTGGAGCGAGAACGAGGACGGTGGAATGAAGACAGAGATTCCACTCTCATCCAACTTATATCGAATTGGACAACGTCGAGCGAAACCGAAATTGCCGCCACGCCGCCTTATCTTCGCACGTCTTCGTGACATGACATGATAACGGGCTAAAGCCGACATCATATCTCGAGCTTCAGGGTTTCCCTTCCCTGTTCAGATCATACCCGGACAGGTCAGATTCTACCCGGAGCTTCATTGGTCAGGGTCCGATGAACGGGAAGCCTGCGTGGCCCGTGGGCTGCATGGCTGCAGAGAGTTCTCGTAAAATGAACCAATTGCTGCGAGTATGGCGACATCAAGTGAACATGTGAGCGAAAGGCGAAGTTTTCTACATTTGCTTGGCCGTTGTGAGCATAGTTGGCATGCCTAATTATTACGTGCTCAGTTATGATTATTACAACCTTAATCTGGCTAAATCCCCGGTTTCTCCCTCAGGGTCTCAGAATATCTCCGGGCCCCTTTGAATGTACCTCAGTCGTCTCTTTTCCCCTTCTGTTTTGCAGTTTCTACCTTAGACGTGTCTTTCCTATCTTACCTTTTCAACTTCTACCTTAGACTTTTAGCTTCTACTTTACTTTTTTTTTCATACTTCGACAGTTTTTTTTCTACCTTTCATTTTGTTTTTAACCTCTGTACTTCATTTTCATACCTTGGCTTTTCATTTTTCTACCCCACCCCACCAACTTCTCCCTCAATCTTTCTGAAACCCATCGCATTCATCACGTTTCTACCTCAGTTGCCTACTTCTATATCACGTACTCATATTCTAACTTGGAATGTAGGTTTATACCTTAGTGTTTCACAATCTAGATCGCATCCACATATTTTCTCTTAGCCTTACTGATATCGTATTACTATCCGTGTTAATTACCTCAAGGGTCAACATACTACTTCAGTCGCCTCAACATGGTAATCCTGCTGACTAAGTAAGTACTGAACAATAAGTATCTCCTGAACATGTCTTCTCCTCATCATCTGCCTTCGTTTATCCATCGTCTCATCTCTTCATTCTCTTGACATTTTACCCGTCTCACACTTTTCCACTCCATTTTCATTACCTTCAACTCTTTGACATGACCACTCCTCATCGTAGAAAGACTCCCACCCGGGCAGCCCGCGCTAAATCCGTCCAGTCTCATCACTCTCATCACTCTCCTCCTCCTTCTCCCTCTCCACTACCCCCTCTACCTCCTCTCTTGCCTCCTGTCCCCGGCGAATCAGCTCCTTCTGAAATTAGCGTCTCCGACGATGAAGATCCTGTTCAATTGTGGATAAGCCTTTTCCAATCCACCGACCCAGTCTTCTCATCCCCACGCCAAACTCGCCAATTCGAGAAGTTTATCCAGCAGGGTATCCAACCGTACGAGCACTGTACCCCTCTCTGGTTTCCCACCATTGCTCTGAAGTACGGTCTTAGACGTTGGGTACCTGTTCGCATTCCGGACACAGGAAGGAGAGGACCTCCCTGTATTGTGGAAGGTGAAGACAACCCCTTATGTCATCGGTATTGTCTACCGGCATTCATGTACTCGTAAGTCTTCCTCTTGTACTTTGTTATGTTATCGCTGAGACATGGAATAGTTTGGACAATGTGATTTGTCCAAATGCGGTTGAGCGCGGTTTCCCCACCCTCATATGGCGTTACAAGTACAACCGTCGCCGCCAGCTTTTTCTCCATGCCTGTTGGTCATGCACTACCAATGTTGACGTCAAGTGTTCTGTCATCGGTATTCTTTTGGATCTTGATCCTTCGATCTCATTTCCTCCTCCCCAATCAGCCATCATCAATCATGACACTCCTCTCTCAGCAGTGGATCAGATTAATGGATCCAACAATGCGCCTGTTCTTGGAATAGAAGTAGCGAAACCTACGGAACATCTCTCCCCCCCTCGCAAACGTTCTCGTACACAATCAACAGACTATTTGACGTCCGCCCAAATTCATCCAAAACCTGTTGTTGTGGAAGATGTTTTTCTCTCTCGTTCACTTCCACCGACTGTTCAACCCCTTCCAAATCTGCCTGTCGGACTGCCAGACCATGCACTATCCGGTCCGGACCACTCTATCAGCCAAGGCCCCCAGTCAGATGCTCTTCCGATCACAGTGGAACCTCAACTCCACGATCAGAATGACTCAGAGTCTATTGTCCAAGATCCATTGTCTACCAAAGCCAAGTCCGACACTTCGTCATTACCTCCCGCTCCCCCTCCTGTGCGATTGTGGAGAGCGTATCGAGCAGAAGTTCAATCAAGGCCTATGGAACAAATCTCGGGACAGCCTTCATTAGGGGCACCAATCGAGCTGAATGCCACAATCCCTGTCACCTCGTCGGCTTCCGACATCACTCAGGACGTTACATTTTCCAATCCCTCCTTGCCTGTCAAACCTATTATTGAACATGACAACCCTTCGACTCAAATGTTTGCTTATAGTACGCCAAGGTCTCTTCCAGCCGGTCATGAATTGCAACGCCTTCGAGATCCCCTTGATAACTATTTGAATGCCCTGGTTGATCAAGCCCGTCAGCATTTTAATGCTGTTGAAGCCATCCGCCACGACGCTGCTGCTAGTCTGGACCACTTGATCGCCCGATCTCAACGAGTCTGGTCAGAAGGAGACAGAGATAGAGAGGCAATTGACGAAGTGCGTAGGGAAAGAGACAAGCACTTGGCTACGCTTCGTACACTTGACACACGTCTGGTACATTATTCCCAACTTGTTGCCGAGAAGACAAAGCTGGTTGAAGAATTCAGCAAGAAGGTCCTCTTCCTTGAGACCGATCTCGAGACAGCACAGCGAGAGCAAATAGCTGTTGACCAACGCATGACTCAAGCTATCATTGAACGAGATAAGGCAATTCAAGAACGCGACTTCGCCGTTCGTCAGCGCTCAGATATGGATTTGGAAAGTCAACAAGCACGCAAGGAGCGGGACGAAGCCATTGCTCTTCGATTGAGAGCCGATGCTGCCCTGGAAGACGCCTATTTAGAGCTCATGCAAGTGGAGTCAACCATGCAGGAGAATGCGGAGCTGCGGTCCAGGAACACTCTGATTGAAGCTATGTTGGTTGCATCTCAAAAGGCATCCACAGATGTCAACTATGTGTGCGTTGCTCATTGTTTTATCCCTCTCCTGTTCATCGTTCTGGTTGAAGAGTTGACTCCTAGCAACCACAACCTTGATGGGCGACTGTCGGCAGCGATTTCGGGACAACCTACCCTTTCAAAGCATTCTCAACAGGCGGACACATCTGTAACACATCATGGAGGGAGTATTCCTCGTATCGTCACCCAGCCGCCTACTTCTCCATCACAACCCGATTTGTCCTCCTTAAAGCAACCTGTGGACTATTCTACCAATATTTCAAACCGTAACTCTGGCTCGTTAGCTCCTTCCATAGAGATTCTAGCGAATAGTCCACCTCCCAACCATCATTTCATCCATAATGTGAGCCACTCTCACGTTCGAAGTATTTAAGCTCCCCATTACGGCAGCTTGTATCTTTGTCCCTCTATGGTTTGCTGACCTAACTTCCACATCACTACCGTCAATTAGTGATACTATTCTTTTTCAAGGGTGTACGATTGTTTATGTTGATTTGAACCGATGAATACATTACATAAACTACTCTGCAATATACTACTTTTTCTGATTGACGAAATGACGCCAATATCTTATCCATTGAGTAAGCTGAAATGTCAATCGATTCTGCCCCCACTGTTGCATTTCATCCATCAGGAGCTTATCGCGAAGAAGGTGCTCCCCTTGTCTCTCCTCATCCGTCATTGACAATGCCACTTCGCTAAGCAAGAAATAAGTGAAAGAGTCCCGTAGGACGACTGCACACGCAGGTGTGTACGTAGTAGTTACCAATCCAAGGTGAGCAGTATCAGGTCGTATACCTTGAATGATTGAGAAGATAGCGGCCGTTGCAAGCGGACCACAATTATGTCCATCAGTTTGAGTCACCCAATGCAAGTGATCTCGCATTCTCTGAGAGAAGGATTAGTCATGTCCACCCAGTATTGTTGTCATCACTTACAGGTGTATTGGGCGCAAATATCCAATTCTCGTTCTGTTCGGCAGTCACCATACCAGCATGATATTCAAAGGTCAGTCGTTGCTTCAGCAATGTTGTCCATTTCTGCTCGTTAGTGACTTGTCATGATATACGACCTAAACAGTGATATACGACCTAAACAGTGATATACGACCTAAACACTCACCTCTTTCATGATTCTGTCATCAAAAGTGCCACCAGCAGAGTCGTATACGATCACTAGGCGGGCCGGGCCAAAGATGGCCAAAGCAGCAAAGTGGGTGTTCCTCTGGACGCTGACCACTCCAACGGTAATGTAGTCTCGCCATGAGGAGTCCTTCCCCAGTATCCTCCATGGTTTCTTCCCAGCAGGCTTCACTCCACGCACCTCCTCAATAGCAGAGAACAGGTAAGCAACACGGCACCTACCGCCAACGGGAGGTGATTGTCGATTTGTCCGCGCTAGTGCCTGAAGGCATAGAGAGTCGATGAGATGATCATTCCACCAGCTGGTTCGGTTTTTGAGACGTCTCACGCCGTCTTGAGTCACCGTTACATGAGGAACACCTGTCACAATCGTTCCCTCCCCGTTCCGTGTGACCAAGCCAGGCTGATCTCCTTGGTTTGCCATACGGGACAGCAGTCTGTTGAAAAATCGATCAGTGAAGGGGATTGGCGCTGGGGCAAATTGCCTTGGATCTGACATGGTGATGAAATTCGCCATTGGTGAAGTCTTCCCATCCAGATCTCCAACCCAAATGAGTTTGTAATATCGCCTCAGTGCTGCGTTTTCTTGATCTCTCACATCCTTGAGGCTATCAAATGGCACTGATTTCATATCTTCCGGATCTATAACTGCCATCAGGGGACTCTTGGGTGAAGGGAGAGGGAAGTCGATGGGAGAATTAGGTGGTAATTCTTGTATGCCAGAGAGCTCCTCGGTGACGGATGTGATAACATGGCGGCTTGATCCCGCTTCCACAGGTGCTTTCAAGGATGTAGAGATGTTGTTGATAACAGACGGAACTGAAGCAGAAGGCTCTTGTTGACTTGTAGTGGTGGAAACTGCAGACGTATGCGTAGGATGGTTGATATGTAGCGCGGCAGTTGGCGGACTTGGCATATCTGAAGGAAGAACATCATCAAACATATCCTTCTCTTCGTCGAGTTGCAACCATCGAAATGGATCTTCAGTGTCATTGAAAGGCACAGGGTGTGGATTGTGGTAGATTGAGTCTTTTGAGGCTTCTATGTCTATTGAGTGACTTGTAAGATGCGTGGGTAGATGCTGTTGCGACGCTGCTTCCTTCCCTGAACTGAGATTGTCTGCAATCCACACCTGAGGGTTGACTGTGGCGGGGCCGACTACTGAAGATGCTCGATTGAGACTGATATTTGCGGCTCCCATGTTCCGCACATTCCCCATGTTATGTTTGGGCTGGTTGCTGTCATGACCGATTGTATGAGAAGGATATGTCGTATGTCTAGTTGGATTGATTGTGAGACCAGCAACCTCATTGATTCTGCTGGCAGAGGGTTGTGTTGAAAAGCTTGAAGGCAATTGACTCTGTGTGATGGAGGCTTTCACCATCGGAGGCTGTGACTGTGGAATCGTGGAAGACTTTGATAGAGGCACAGGAGTTATACGCCGAGTGTCTGATGCCTCTCGGCTATACTTTGGTTCCACCATGTCTGCTCTAGTGTGTATTTCGGAGGATGATGAAGAAGCTAGACTGAGGCCCTGTCCCGCCGTTGAATGGGAAGAGCGCCGCTGCTGCAGAAGACGGTCATGTGCAGGACTGGCTATGGGTGGGGGATTAGATGGTGTCCTACCCACTGGTACAGGAGGCGGGCCGGTGGCTTCGTTCCTCTTGGAGATGCCTGATGACGTGCTCGCAACTGGTTGTGGTTGAGGATTTAGCTGTTCAGGGCGAGGCATATTAGTTGAAGTAGAGGTAGAAAGTTCATGATGTGTCGACTCATAGAACAGTATGACAGGATATCTTGCATCTTGAAAAGCAGCGGCGGAGGGATTTGAGGCTAGGGTGACTTTGTCATCGTCAAGGATCCACCAGGTATCTTCCTCACCTCGAGTGATTGCGACGTAGTGACCCACCTCAACGGCCTCTCCGTGTCGGCACACAATCCCACGCAACTGGTACTTAATCTGAATGGTGTTCACATTCACACCTTCAGGCAGCACTAAATCCAATGGGATGTGGAACGGATCGCCAATATGGACCTTCTGTTCCACATTATTTCTTGGGACTGTTTGAACAGTAGACGATTTTAATCCCTCCGGGCTAGTCTCAGAGTTCCAGACGATATTCAGGCGGAGTACCACAGGAGTTTGCGTGAAGAAGGTTGAAGGAGTGACATTGAATCCTTGCCCCTGTGGCGCATAGCGCGCAGAGCAAACAATATTCTTGCACTGATAATTTGCCTTTGTTGATGTTTGATACGATTCCTTTAACATCTGGTCGAATGGTTTCTGCTTTCCTTGTGGACTCCAAGGATGAAGAAAGAGGGAATTATGAACCGCAACTGAGGGTTCAGTCGGACCCGTGGACGGTGCTTGACACACGGGACAGACTCCAACAGACATGATCACCATCTCAAACAATCTTGAAAAAAGGTTTGTGGACGAAATACCATCAAGGTATGTGTTTAGCTGTCGCAGGACTTCGTCTGGGTCCATCATTTGTGTTGCAGATGAAACGACAAAATGTCCTGAAGATCAGCAACGCGCGCATGAGAGGCTTCTTTTGATCTAGTACAAAACACTCACCCGCAAGGATGGTCCTTAATTGTGGGAAAGATGTGGAGAGATGGGTCTCTACGGCCATGCGGAACTCGAATAAGAGGCTGAAGACTGGATCAGCCAGAGGTGGAACTGCCAGTCTGAAGCGCTCCAATTCCGCAGACCAAGATACCAGACGCAGAAGCACCTGGAACAGAGCTATTGCATAGCAATCGATGCCAGTATTTCTTACTCCAGTAGGTTTGATAGAGTCCAAGTGGGTGACGACTTTTCTAGGCATACGAAGTTTGCTCTTCTGAGCCGAAGGTATGGCATGTCGATAAGGTTGCAAAGGCCGAATCGCAGCAGGACGCCCCGGAAGGGAATGAGACCAGGTCGAAGGATCAGAATTATGATCGTCAACGGCCGATGAATAGTCATTCACCTTGTCTCTGATCCTTGAGTATCTTCGACCAATTGGAGAAGTGGGCTGTTGATGATGACTGTAACCCTGGGACGGAGGTGCTGTGGAGGGGAGGTGGTCATCTGGAGTGTGCTTGCCTGACTTGAATGCTACTGGCAGTTGGTTTGATCGAATGCGCTTTGCTTCTTGGTTGGACACTGGTACACCCTCCACCTTCTCAATTTCTCTGCGCTTTCGCTTTTGCTGTTGTACTGGATGTGTCAATTCTTTAATGTGGCGACCTGGGGACTCTCCAACACCGATCAGGTGGTGATGCAGAGTTACACCTCTTACTCCTGGGGGTGGTTGGTCGGCGGAAGTGAGGGAGTGACGACGAGGAATAACCAGGGGTTTAGTTGTGGTTGTGGTGTTGATAGGGTCAGAAAGTGAAGTTTGAACGTAGGGAGAGTTTACAATGGGCTGAGTTACTGGCTTTGAAATGTCTTGAGATGTATGAATAGACTGCTGAGGTGTGTAGCCCGGATTGATATCAATATGCGACCATTTGACCGATCTAATGACATCTCGACCCCAGTACTCCTTATAATCGTTCCGATCATTGTAGAATGGATCATCCTTGTTCTGGTTGGTGGAGGACACAGTTTGAGTTGGACCATTCGACATAGTCCCAAGAATGATATCCTCGATCAAAGCATGATTTGCTTCAAATTCTCCAATTGGGCCACAAAGCTCGTACATGACCATTGCCCACAAGTGGCCACATCGTTTACCACTGTGTTTCCCGTAGCCACAGGTACAGACTGCCCGTCCTTCCTTGCCTCTCCGACTTGGTCGCCTGCCACAGTAGTTTGTCTGTGCTGACGGGGTATCTCTGCGAGGAGGATTGACTTGGTATACGGGCGTGTTGCCAAACAAGTGACGGTGAGCGGCTGGTATTGATTGTCTGGGACATCGATGGATGCAATCCACCTCCCATCGAAGAAGGCCTGCTGACAGGTTTCGTTGAAGGCTGGGATCCGCTCGAGAGACATTCAAGGGCACATTCTCATAGAAGGGAAAATATGCGGTGAGGATAATGGAGAGTAAACGATCGAGCCTATCACAGCATTAGCTTGGCCTGGGATAGAAATACTGTGACTCACCGTTTGTTGGCACGACAATTGAGGAAGACACGATCAAACGTCCGAAACGCTGCTTCTGAGTAGTTATTTGTAGACCAAGGTCCATCTCGAGTGACCTGACTGGGTATTCCATAGTCAACCGTATAGTCCCTCCAACGCTTGCTGAACCACTCGGACTGTAGGTACTCGTCCAATTGGTCCCATCCGTTACTATCTTGCGGCAAGAGCCTACGCACGGTATCTTCAAGAATCCCATAGTATTCGTTCCAATCTTCCTTCTCTGGACATCGTTGACATGCTTGTATAGCTTCCAGGATTGTGTTTGTATGGATTGCAGCCCGAAAGTTGGTCCCCAGAATCCTCCGAACCTTAGATCTGCAGGCATGCATCAAGTGAAACTGACAGGCTCGTAGCGGCACACCAGGAAATTCGAATTCGATAGCCAGTCGTTCAGCGTCACAGCCATCGATCATGACAAATCGGGGAATGAGACCATCTTCAGACACTATCAAGCAGGCCTTTTGCAATATGTCCTGGGACACGCCATCGATTTTTATCTCGAATTTTCCAAGTAGATAATCACCTGCTGTTTGTCGAACAGCCTTCTTGAACTCTGCCAGAAGAAACCGATATGCTTGTACGTCATTATGGTTGGAGACCATTGCCGCAACTGGGATATCAGTCAGGAAAGAATCCACCCGTGGAGGATTGACTTACGAGGTATCATTCGATGATATTCATTGATGGTAACCAAGAAGGTCAATGGACATCGAAATGCGTTCTTGTTCCTCCAAGAAGAGTCCAGATACATTCCCATTTGACCTACTTGCAAGATGGCACACATCTGAGCATAACGAGGAGCAATGACACACTCGAACCGTGTGCTTGGGTCCACGCGCTTACCGGGAGTCTCCTCCAGAAGGTTAGGGAAGTGGGCACTACACTTCAGCATGGCAGATTGACTGAAATGAGAGGACATACGCAAGGAAGGATTGTGGGTGTTGTTTATAGATGATCTCCATTGCTGCCAGAGGACTACGATCCAATCGAGACACAGCAGTGGCAGTTGAAACCGCGGTTCTATAGTCGGAAGCTTTGGGCAGACGATGAGGACATTGTTGAGAAAGCCAAAGTGCATGAGTGTCATTAGACATTATGTCTTTTGCATACCCTTCCAATCAGCTGAGTCAGCACACAAGTTTGGGAAAGATTCACATGCTTGTAGACGACCAACAGTCATACCAAAACCTAGAGCAGCCTCATGAAGAAGCCGACGCATGTAGGGAGAAATCCTCAACTCGGACGTGGACCGGACGGGCGGATGTGATTCAAGGTCTTTTTCAATTATGGTACAGCGCTGCTTTTCGCACTGAGCGGCCGTCATCTCCACCTACCGAGTCAGCAAGACAATTTCCACTCCCTGACATATGACTAACCACTATAAAGGTCCCACAGAAGTGAGACTTATAACGTTTTGGGCTGCCCTCAGGCGCCTTGTCACTGATATCCCCTGGCTCCTGTTCATCGCCGGAGAATTCTTCATCACCTACACTATCAGCTGTGTCATTGGATTATGGATTGAACTCGCCTTCTTCAGATTCGTCTTCACTATAGTCATCCTCGCTATAATCATCTTCACTATCGGCCTCTTCGAGATACTCCTTGTGACCGGCTTCTTCCTCCTCACCATCTTCACCTTGAACGTCCTCTCCCTCGCGGTCTTCCTCCTGACCGTCTTCCTCCTCGCGGTTTTCCTCCTCACCGTCTTCCTCCTCGCCATCTTCCTCCTCACCGTCTTCCTCCTCGCCATCTTCCTCCTCACCGTCTTCCTCCTCACCGTCTTCCTCCTCACCGTCTTCCTCCTCACCGTCTTCCTCCTGGCTGTTGACACTGTCATATTTGACTCTTTTGCCATCACGTCTTGCCATGGTTTCTTTGTAATTATCAGACTTGTTCTTGTTGTTGTCATCCTTGAGGTCAACTTGATGTCTAGAGTTCTTGACCAACTCTCTGTGTCCATTTTGTCGATGGAGGACCTCCGAGTGAGATTGAATGCTAGCATGGTCACTGCTGTTGTCTACGTAACTCCGACTGTCGGTGTCTGTCTTATTGGAGCTCCCGTCAGCCCAACTCGGCGCACGTACTGGTGCGCGTTTTCCTGATACAAGTCCGTGCGTTGGTGTCTGACGACGCCCACCACCTTCGATCTGTCCTCGCTTCTCCAATCTTTCTGAGCGGCGTTTTGAAGAGCGAAGACGTTCCAGCTTGGGGACATGAGGAGACAATGGTTGTGGCTGAGTACGAACGGGGACCTGAACCTTTGACGTAGGGTTCTTCGACGCAGGGTTGAAATTTTTGGCAGCACGTTTGGCAAAGGAGAAAAGTTGTGAATCTAAAGTCTCTTGAGCTCCAAGGGTAGGTACATTATGGCGAGCTGAGTTGTCTAAGTCTGTCTCACAAGCACCGTTACAGGCATACACAACACGCCAGACCAATCGAGTCCCCGAATGTCGCACCACTGCTTTCGGAACACTGATCTCCATTCGTCGTGCTCGGATTTCACTTGGAAACAAGCCAACACCATCGATCCACTTGATAGACGCCTCCCTGTAGAGACTGTGACGGCGTAGATTGTAATCATGAGGCTGAAATGTCAGTTGGGGTTGTAATCTGAGATGAGAGTCTCACAAGCAATTCAAAGTGCCTAATAAGGTCACTGATCTTGACCTCTTTTCGAATGTAGCCGTCCTCTCGACTAAGCTTCAATTTCATTGGCCGTAAGAAATCTTTGGTGATGCGAACGTTGGGTGTTCGATATGTTCCCTGAGGACTAGGAGCATCCGATGCTGCATCGGAATCATCCTGTTCACCACCAAATTCATCGACCAGGTTGCCGACAAGGCGATGATCTGGGGTATCATGGTATCGGGCTACCCAACCATCATACTCGGATGAGGGCTCAGTGGCAGGTGGAGCATGCTCATCAAATATGAGAGAAGCAGGTCGAATCGATCCATTTTTCAAGTCGGTGGTAGATTGGACAGAATGGACAGGGTCTTTGTCGTTTGACGGAGTGGGAGATGGTGGGTGAGGATGAGGTGCCGTTGACTGTTTCACAAGTGGATTAGGGACAAGTGGATTGGGAACACTGGAGAGTTTTTTGATCTTTTGTGGACGTCCTGCGGGGCTTGGGGAGTCAGGAGACTCACGAAGAGAAGGCGATTCAACACGAGATTGGCGGGGAATGCGCCGTGGCCGGCCTCGACGACTTGGTTTGGTCAGCTTGTCTATGAGTGTGGCTGGAACTACACCACTAGGAGCCCTACGAGGAGTATGTCGAGCCATGTGCGGTGATAGGGATTGGAGTAGAGATGAGAAGGTGAGGATATCACCTACATGTAGCTCTAATCTCCCCCACTCTCTCTGATGAACAAAATGATTGAGTTCTGATGAGACAAAACCGGATCACCAATTTATGAAACCGATGAGGTGGCCCAAGCGTTTTAGTACCAGCAAAGGGGATTCCGCAACAACACGGTGGTGGAAAACAGGTCCGGATTGGACATGATGACGACGGGTCCTACATGCCTAGCTCTTTGGAGGTTGATTTGAGTGAGGATGAATTAGTGACCATTTTTGTGCTTGTAAGGTAGAAACTGTCTTCACTGGGGTACATTCTTGTGGTTTAGAGGAATTTCTGTCTTGCTAAGGTAGTTTCTTTGTCTCAAGACTCATGCTGCTTACGCGCGGTCAATCCTGTGGTCGCAGAGAATATTCCGACTTTGTGAGATATTTTCCGAAATTCCAGGGTATTTTCCGACGTCCTCGGAGATTTTGGACCGTTCCGAGATATTTCTTCATGTTTCAAAATATTTCCGGGGCCACGAGGATCATACCCAATGTCGCGGATACAAACTCCGAGCCCTGGAGTAGCTTGTCTTGTTTCAAGATCGTATTAATCTCCGTGGGTGATGTTCTTATTCTCCGGGGTCGAAAGTGCGAGGCCGGAGAATTTCCTGATATGATTTCAAATTTAGTTATCTAATATGTCAGTCCATCAGGTGTTTATTTGGTTTTGCAGCATAGTTGTCGTCCGTAACAAGATCCGGCCGATTATTTCTCCGACTTTGTCCCTATTCGAGGGTGATAAATAAACCTAGATAGTCGTTATACGGCGAGAACCGCCTGGGCATTGCCGCACATGACCGTCATGAATTTCGAAACGAGAGATAGTAGATTGCGGTTACTTTATCTTCGAACCGCATCGGCACTCGTCCGACTCACCTCCACAAAGTTGAGAACGTTTCATTCTCATCTCATTGCTTGGAATTTGTGGTCCTGTATAGGTTGAAACTTATAGCATTTCAACATGACTACTTCAGAGAGTAAGGTCGTCATCATCGGTGCAGGTGTTTTTGGATTGAGCACGGCACTTCATCTTGCCAAAGGAGGTATGTCTGTCACCACTTCTTGATCCGCATCAACCGGCGGCTGGTCATGACTGATGGCTGATGTAAAGGATACAAAGATGTTACTGTCTTCGATTATCAACCGTACCAGGACAACGCGTACAACCCTAGTGAAGGTTGCGACGGTGCCTCTGCCGATGTGAACAAGATCTACCGTTGTACCTAGTAGGTCTGCCCTTCCCCCCTCACATGAAAATCTCTCCTGTCCGTCCATCCTAATCCATGTCACCAAATCACCATCTGGTTAGATAGAATCAAAGTAGGCCGACAGGGCTGATGGACCAGTGGTGATGAAACCGAATATCAGGATCTCGCCTTTAGCGGAAGACCTATTTGGCTCGAATGGAACGAACAGATAGCAAAATCCAAACCCGAAGATCTGCCTAAAGGTCTCACTCCAGAGACTAAACTTTTTGTACCCTGTGGATTTTATAGGCTGGCAGTGGGACCTCAATTATCAGCCTATGATCAGATGTGTCTGGACGAACTCGAGAAAGCAGGTTTGAGGGAGGAATTACATGTCAAAGTGGGCTTTTGAGTTTATGGTTCTATCCTATCTGTTCAGGATACCTTCCTCGAGGACATTTCTCTAGTCAGATTCTTTGGATAGAATCTATTCAGAGTGATTACAGACAAGCTGATGGCTAGAAAAACGCCGCAGACATGGCACGCCTGGCCGAGAAAGATAAAGCTGACCCGTCAACTCATTGGCTCGAGAAGATCTCCGTGTTTGACAACTTCCAAGGGGGTACTCTGGACGGTTTCGTGGACACCGTCGCGGGTATGACATACGCCGACAAATCATGTGCTTGGGCCCGATACTTGTGTGAGAAGGCAGGAGTCAAATTTATCCTCGGCCCTGAAGTCGGCAAATTGGATGATCTCATCTATGAAGGCGAGGGCGATTCAAAGAAGGTTGTGGGTCTCAAGACGGCGGATGGGAAAGAACACAAAGCGGATGTTGTCGTCGTTGCTTGTGAGTTCACCAGTCGTTATCAACCGGGATCAGAAGTGATACTTCAGGTGGAGGTTGGACTCCTTCTGTTTTACCCGACCTCAATGGAGCTCTCGAAGCTACGGCAGGTTCTGTGGCTACTATCACCATCCCCAAAGAAAGGCAGGATCTCTGGGACAAAGTGAGTGAAACAGTTTGTCTCTTGGAGCAAGTTGATTGATCATAGTTCTCTCCCGAAAAGTTCCCTTGTTGGGGCTACGGCTTGACTGGTCACGTTTCTCCGGAGTATGGTGGTTTCTATGGTTTCCCCATAACTCCCGAAGGAAAGATCAAGATTGGATGTGCGTAATTTCTCTCCATTCCGACCTTTTTATCCTTCATTCCCATGGACTTCATTCCCATGGACTACATGTTATGGCGTTCAGACCCGGACTCATGTTCAGACCGTGGTCGTAAATGGACCAACTATCAAACTCATCCCAAAACCGGTCAAAGATTGTCCGTTCCAAAAACCAAATACACTCCAGACAAGGCGGTCAACCTACCCAAGAAAGCTATCGTCAACATCAAGAAAGTTGTCTTCGAGCTTTTCCCAGAACTCAGGGTGAGCTTTCCTCCATTGATCACAATTGTATACGCAAGAAGCTTATGGGAAAGGGAATCGGAATCACTGACACTCGAATGTGTTGGTACACTGATTCGGTGGACAATTCTTTTGTCATCGACTACGTCCCCGGATATAACAAAACATTATTCGTCGCTTCTGGGGGTTCCGGTCATGGTTTCAAGTTTCTTCCTGTTCTCGGTAAGGTACGTCCAGATGTTATTCGTTAGTTGCCAATGTATGAGCTGATGGTGTTAGCACGTTAAAAATCAACTTGAAGGTGCCCAGGACCAATTCACACCTCTTTGGAAATTCCGTAAGGCCGTTCCAGGAGAGCATGCCAATGGTCTTGAAGAGGGTGAAAATTCTGGACGTAACTTGGCCAGCCTTGAGTTGGCCGATGTGTCCGATTGGGTATGGGCGGAGCCGGGAGAGGTCAAGATTGAGGAGGATGAGAAGAGTAATGGGGTATTGAATGGTTTGGTGGATAAGGTCAAGAGCCTTGTAGTATCATAGAGTGAGAGAGGATGAGCAGATCTCCTATAGACTATGCATGCCCTTTACCTAGTCCCATGATCCGACACGACGATCATCATAGTCTCGGTCAGTCCTCACGAGTTGCGTACCCTGGAACCGGGTAAGCAGACATGGGAAGAATCAGTAAGAATGGTGCAGAAGAAGTGACATGCTCCGAGTAAGACATTCATCTCCACTACAATGTGATCCATTCAAGAGGTTCATCGACGCCATAAATCCATTTCACCAGTAGGATCATACATATACTCCACGCGATCAGGATCTAATTGGCGAGACCACGGTAGTCACGGGGAGTAGCACCATCATACAACCACTTGCCAAGGGTCAAGATATCCCAAACTTTACGACCAGTAGCTTTAGCGACGGCGTGAGAGAAGGGAGGCATGTTGGTACATTCCATGACGATGGCTTTGACGGAGGGATAAGCCTTGACGAGTTCGAGAGCAGCGCCAACCACATCTTTCTCCATACCTTCGTAGTCGTCTGAATGGTCAGCTTTGCAATTCATGAAACCAATAATTACTATCGATAGGGTGGTCCATGGACCATATTACGGTGTGCGGGGTAAGGAGCTGATGGAGACTCACAGGGAACGCGGCATTCCAGGACGGCCTTGAAAACAGCCTCTTTGGGGTCCTCACTCTCGGAAAGCCCAAAGTAGGGAGTCTCCGGATCCGCACCGACGCTGATAAAGTGTTTCTTGGTCTACACATTAATATTTGACAGGTGAAAGACATTGGACAAATGACATACCAAAGCACTCTTTTGAAACGTCACGACACCGACGGGAGTCTCCTCGCCTGGATAGAAACATTTCTGCAACCAACCAACTTGGATAAGACTTGAAGTTCCCATACTGGGAAGACGGTGGACAATCTCAGGGTGCATGGTTGCGAGCTGTACATTAGCATTTCTTTTACGAGATCTGTGCCAATCCCTTTCCAACAGAATGTTGCGCTGAGGATAGAAGTGGTCAAGAGAGATGAAGACAGGAAGCGTTGTGCCGGAAAGGGGATAGTAATGACTCACGAAACCACAACTAGTGACAAAAGCCACACAACCTTCCTCCATCATCTTCTTTCCCTCACGAACGAAACCATCGACCATAGCAGGACCCCAAGTTCCACCTCTTACGATATCCCCAGTAGCCTCCTCAACAATACGGATGATGACAGGCATAGGCCATGAGAGAGCGTTACCGACATCCCCGGGAGGTCGAGGGAACGTAGTTTTGAGCTGAAGCACACCGAGTTTGGGGACGGTAGTTGACATTGTTTTCTTGTTGGTGTTGGTGTGGGGAAAGTTGACTTTTGAAAATTCGAGAAGGGGTAGGATGGTAGACAGAGAACTCAGTATCTTATGACCGTATCGGCCCGTAGAAAAACAACCATTTGAGAGACTACATCTGGGCGTTATCAGCGAAAATGCAGCGACGGGGAAATGATTTCCTCAGGGTAATTAAGGTCCAGGGCGGTCAGTGGATCAGTGGATCAGTGGCGTGATCGGCTGATCGGTCATCACCGGCTGTTATCTCTCTCAACTTCCCCCTTGCCCCCGAACAACGCCATGCCATATTCGTCGGTCATAGCCTACAGATTTATAAATTTGTAGGAAACAGTTTCCTTTTACTACTCTTTGTTAACAACGTCAGTGACAGTGACATTGACGACGAAGGACTTACCAACGCCTACAGACTTTAGTCATCGAGAAGAAAACCCAGGTAACATGACCGTCACATCTCGTCGTAAAATTCTCGGTATCGGATACCCTAGACTGGCCCTTCCTGAATGGCAAGAGCTCGCGGATAAGTATGATATCCATTGGTTCGTTCCCGGTGATAGACCTCAAGTGATCGGAGAGGTAAAACGGTTGTGTGAGGAACATGGTCCGTTCGATGCTGCCTATGTGGTGAGTCGTCACACTCCTTGTGACCCTTCCCAACCCCGAACTAGACAAGAAAACGGGGAGTGAACGTTTCGTAAAGCTGGCGAGGTTGGAGATTTGAAGGTGAAATGAGGTGGAATATCACTCACATTCTAGACCTTTGGTACCTCCGCTTTCTCCCCATTCCACAGGGACATGCTCGGTCCCCTCTTCTCTCCTTCAGGACACTGCGGACTATTCGCTCAAGGTGGAGCCGGTTACGACGATGTCGATTACCCTTGGTTGGCGGAGAACGGTTGTTACCTCTCCAACACCCCCAACGCTGTGACGGAAGCCACGGCAGATATGGGTATCCTCCTCATGCTCAGTGCTCTTCGTGGAAGTACTTTATCTGAGAAAAGTATAAGGGATGGGAATTGGAAAGACAAAATTCCTCTTTCTGAAGATCCAATGCATAAGACTTTGGGTATAGTTGGAATGGGTGAGTTTTGATCCTCTCCCCTTCATCGATGTTCTGGACAACGTGGGGTCTTCATTCTGCATGAAGAGGGCATCGGGCAAGAGTCGGGCTGACGGAATAGGACACATTGGGAAATCTATGGCCAAGAAATCCAAAGCTTGGGATATGAAAGTTATTTATTACAATCGTCGAAGAATTCCTGAGGATGGTCAGTCTTCTTACTTATTCTGCTTTTTCTCATATCACATTCTTTCTCTGCTCTACCAGCGAGGAACCCTCTCACATTTGACGTCCACTACCTGTTTCTTAGAAACTGGGCGTACACGTGGCTATGCGAGACAAGTGGTTAGCTGATCTCATCAGAGGAGAAAGCTCTAGGAGCAACTTGGGTTCCTTTTGATGAACTTTTGAGAACATCCGATGTCATATCCCTCAACTGTCCCCTCACCCCCGAGACCAAAGGTCTTCTCGGTGATAAAGAATTCGCCAAGATGAATGATGGAGTTTACATTGTCAACACTGCTCGGGTACGTGTCATTGTCTCCCTCTCTCTTTTCTTTCATCATCATGATCATGACCATCTTCCTTTCCCTCTCTCTTTCCCAATCCATATCGCTCTCCTGTCATCGGTCGCTTATAGAGATTCTAGTGAATTGGATTTATGTTGACGTCCCAGGGCCCTGTTATTCAAGATGACGCACTTATCCGTGCTCTTGATTCTGGCAAAGTCTGCCGGGCAGGTCTAGATGTCTTCACAGTAGAACCGTGTCGAGAATCTCCTTATTTCTCCAGGACGGATGTCACTCTTCAACCCCATGTGGGTGGTTTGACTACTGGGACTATCCTACGTGGTGAACGTGAGATCTTTGCGAATGTGAAACAATAGTGAGTTTCCCTCTATCTCTCCCATCATTCCCTCTTCCTACTTTCACTCATTCGTCACTCCCTTCTTTCGAGATCAGATGTGTGAGTCTTAGTCAGTGGTACACGGTACAGACCGTATCAAAGACGTGTCCTGTGGAATCGTTCGGACGGAGAAGAGGGATCTGGCTGACCCAACAGCATGGAAACTGGGAGTCCTGTCAACCCGGTCAACAAGCCCGTCAAGGTCAAACCTCAGTAATCGTTTTCTCAAGGTCATAGAGTGGTTAGTAAAGGGAAAGAAACTTTCATCTGGGTTCTCTCCTATTTAATCTAGATGATCAAGGGTTAGCTATGCACAACATTTCATCTTCGTCATGATTTCAATAGATGATTCGTGAGATACATACGATACAACACAATATATCTAACATGACAAACATAATTGTTCATGATAATCATGGTCCCTCATCTTCCAACGAAATACCTTCTTCATCCCCTTGTCTAAGTTCTTGTTCAATTTGAACCCTCGCTAACGCCCTCTTAGCTAGATGAGTAAGATAAACGAATAAAACCAAACACATCGTAACTCCAACAATCGTAGAATAAAATTTAACATCATCCCTTCCCATCGTATCGTCTTGCGAACCATGTCCTGTAGACCAAGGAGGTCGATGATGATGCCATGGACGAGGACCATGAGGACTATGAAGATCATGATGAGATGGTCGTTTATGCCAAGAAGAAAGGTCGTGAATTCCAGCACCTATCCAAGTGTGTAAAACTAGTTTACAAAGTGATAGAGCTGTACAAGCTGTATAATTGAATAAAGTGAGGGAAGGTGAAGAAGCTAAGATGACATTGAGAAGATTGTAAGGATATGGTGCGATTCTGATTAAAAGGAGAAGATGTGGGTTATCAGGTATGATTTGAAGTAAAGATGTTGCTGTAGGTGAAGATTGTAAACTGATGATTAGCGATACGATTTCCATTTATACAGTATCTTGTCATGATCGAATTATTTTTGATAAGAGGGATAAACTCACCTTCTTCCAATGACATCTCTTAAGAATGTTCGAGAAATGACAAAAACCACCACGGCACCGATTAAACTAGCCATATAACTCATCAAAAACCCTTCCCATACGCCGAATGTGTAACCGGAAAGAACGATAAGAGTGGAATATAATGGTAAAGGAGGAATGGTGGTGATAAATATCAGAAAACCAAATATGAATTTGCCTTCGTACTCCATAGCATATAAGTGTTTGGATAAGTTGTCAAGGGCTGCGGGTCAATACAACCCTCCCAACTGCGGATTTATCCTTCTCATTGCTCCTCTTCCCTGCCATAATGTCCATATCAATAGCCAGAACGGACTGCTCAATTGCTTATGTCGGCTCGAATCTGCCCAAGACACACATATCGGAGCAGGAGAGGGCGGCGCCCGGGCGGAGGAGTGACGAAGGACAAGAGACGTAAGAAATATAAAACCAACTCACCATGAAACAACTCTCCTTTCCAAATCCCAGCAGCTAACAAAAACCCCAAAGTAGTTCCTACCCAACCTAACATCAAAGCTCTTCCCAAACCTCCTTCTCTATCTCCACATCTCCAATTGCGCCATCTATCACCTATACCACCCCCTTCTCTTTCCCTTTCCCCCCATTCACCCCACCCGGTTCTCCACCGCCCTCGTACCTGTCTTTCAAGATCCGCGGGCGCTCTTCGTTGATGATACAACCTATTTGATTGGAGTTCATGAGGAACGATATGATTTGAACTTGATTCGATAGTGCTTTGTTTCTCTACACATCCTTGAGAGAGAGGAGGTATGGAAATAGAAGATTTACTGGACCCCGCATGGTTGTGATCTGTAGTGGACCAATGAACGAAAGCAGGACGATGATGTGAAGATCCAGGTGTCATTTCCGATTCGTGTAATATTGTCAAACTCGTTTTGTTTTGTGTATCCATTTTGAGTAACGTTATGATTTTAAGGTGTCATGAAAGGCTGAGGATTTGTGTTCGTCTTGATGTAGACCTATCACGTAGTTGTATATTCGCTGCATTGAAGACCTTGTCTACCAAAACGGATACCAGAAAAAGGTGGAACGCCTCCGCAGCAGGATACTTTTTTGCTGCGCATTTCAGGGTTCATCAACTTTCCCCTTTCGATTTTCTGAACGATGCATTTTAGACGTTGCTCTACACGTAGTTACTTCGTACTCGTACTTTTACTTCGTTCTCACTATTCTGCAATGAATAGATCTTAAGCTCAGTCAATCAAATTCTCTCGTAGATATACAGATAAGCCAGACCTCTCATCTCTTCCCCTCCCTTCTCAGGCGCCTTGACGACTTTTTCATCGTTGAATAATACCCACTCTTCCTCACTCTCCTCCTCCAAGCCCGCCTGAGGTTGCCGGATTGTCGCTACATAATGGCCAGAATGGAGAGAGGGCCCTTTGTGTGATATGAAAGCCTTGAGTTTGTATTCTGCGGGGAGTCGACTGGATCCGCCAAAGTCCTCTGGAGCAGTCGCCGTTTGGGGGATGGATCCGGAGAGGGGGGCTTCTTCACCAGGATCCGTGGGGTTGGAGAAGAGCCATTCGATGGCTCGCTCAGCATTACCATCCTACTGATCAGCTGAACAAATAATACTGGTGGTGGAATGATCCCAAAACTCCGGGCAAAGATGAACTCCGGGCAAGGATGAACCAGCGGTGGAAACGCGGATGAGCCAAGTGAACATATAACCTACGCTCTGACGTAGGGCCTTGCGAGCTTGAGCAGATGTGAAGCCCATTTCGGCGATCATGGCGATTTGCTCAGCTGAAGGTTCCGGTCCGCCTGCAACGGACGAGACCCCTGCGTTGGCAAGAGGTGCGTCAATGTCTGTTGTCAGCTGACTGTTCATGACTTTAATCACTCACCAGGATCGTCCATATGCTCAAACAACCATGTCATCGCCATCTCGGCATCTCCGTTCCCCGTAGCCAACAACGCCTTCTGACACCGAATTGTAGGGAAACCCATCGCCTCGAGCTGCTCAAGCGCAAGGGCATTGAACGCAGGAGTAGCAGCTAGCAAATCAATACCGTCCTGAGTCGCATTTGGGAATACTCACCCGTAGGAGCGTCCATATCAAGATCTAGTTCTCCTAGCTGACGACCTTCACCCACATATCGGTCTAATTTTAGTCGGTCTGGCACATCCACAGGGATTTCTGATGATCAGCTGAACTCTTCCTTCATAGGCTTGACTCACCCAGTTTGGTAGGCACCCAATTGACCAACTGAAATTTCTTCATATGAAATACCAGCAGATCGGGGAACGTTCTGAACCGTAGCGACTTCTGTGCCTTCCCCTTCGTACCGCAGTTCGCACAAGCGTATTCCGCTAATTCTTCTACCGCACACAAATCCTCGATGCATTCAGTGAACTGAACCCTGTCCCACAGCTTTCTTCCCTCTGCATCGACGCCCTTCTCCGTCGCTCGTACAGGCAACGATGCCAAGTCGACAGCTTCAACCTTGTACCCCACCCGCCTGCATTGGGAACATTCCAGCCTTTGCTCCATCCCAAATTTTATGACGTTGGTGGCTTCCAATGCCTCACTCCTCCCTTGCCGCTTGGCCTCTGCTCGCAGACGCGTCACAAGGTGCTGCAGGAACTCTTCAGAGTCTTGTTGTCGCATGGTCGAGAACTCCTCGTGTCCCTTGCCGATCAACGCTTTGAATTGACTAGGTTTGATTCCGTCCTGGGATTTCGGCGGTTCGTTCATGGTGTCAAGGTCGGAGTAAGAAGGTGAAGGCTGCCTGGCAAGATGGGAGTAACGACCCGAGATGAGCCCATCGGCGAGTTTGAGCATCTGGCATTCGAGGCATGAGGCGGGCACAGGGTTGTCACAGGTTTGGAAGTGGGCGAGGGCGGTCTCGGTATAGTAACGTTGGCGGAAGGCAGGAAGGGAGAAGAGAGCTTGCAAGACCGAAGCCATATAACAACTGAGTCTCAGCTCATATGTAGTAAAAGTGAAAGATAAGCTTGCCTGTTTCCAAGGTTCTTCAGACCGGTCAGGCCCTTACCAAACATTGGTTCCAACTCCTTGCCATCATCACCGGTCATGGAGAAGTCAAATTTCAGGTTGTGTTCCAGTTGCTACACTCGTCAACCCAGACCGCATGAGAAGGGTAGTATACTGACGAGCTCTGTCATCGATTTCTCCGTCTTTGTTTGTCCGAAAACCGAGATACCAACAGTGTGCAAATGTGTGGCAAGGTCGGGGTCCAATCTGGCATCATCACACGCATAGCAATAGATATCTATCCGTCAGCTGGTCACATAGACAGATCCACGCATTTGCTCACCCGCAGTGCCTTCGGGAGTAATGGTGCCCAGTTTGACACCGACCATATGACCAGTCTCCTTGTAGTGCTGTAAAGCATGTCCGTTGCCACCCACACCTCCGAACTGCTTCCTCCCGCAATTCGCCAGGCCACATGTGAGACATAACCACAGATTAGAAGTCAATTCGCAGGATGAGCACTGTGAAGGTACTAATTGTTACTTCAGTAGCTAAGTATAGTATGTGAAACTGACCTGAGGTGATGACGGGCTCTTGATGCAGAGTAAGGGTATGCTCGCAAGGCAAGATTTCCTCTTCCCAAGCTTTGACCTCGGATTGTTGAGCTGATGACAGAGCCGACATGATACCGGCCACCGTGGACGAGACCTCACGGGTAAGCTTGGGATTGTACACGGAAATGACGGTGCTCACATTGGGATCATCGGAATGTATCACTTCGCCGACTGAGGAGCAAGAGAAGCAACGAAGTGATGTGCTATAGGTATACAGCTCTTCGTCAGAAGGTGCTGAAATGGCAAGCTTCTTCAAAGGTGGTTCTAAGGAGTTCTGATACTCAACATAAACTCTCTTTATCAAACACATAAAAGATGACCCACCCTCTTCTTTGGTTCTTTGCGAGTACGTTTGATGACCACACCGAGAGGGTGCTTGGACCTCTGAAAGTGGAGAAAGGCGTGTCGTCGTCCTTCACCGAAACAACCTCCATTGAAGCATTGCAAACAGACCAGAACACCCTCTGAATCATCCTGCTACTCAGCTTCATTGGACTTTGGCATACCTGATGGCCGCTAACCTGGCCATCAAAACAGAGAGTGCATTCTTCTCTGCTTGGTCAGAACCGTCAGCCATCAGCAGGAATGACTCACCGATGAACCTGCTCAGATCCTCGCGGAGGTCTCAGAGAGCTTGATATATCTTTGATATGAGAGCAGCTCATGCCTCTGATCAGCCCTTGGAGATGAAAAGTGACAAGTCAGTACCGAAATGTTCTTTCTATTTGCAGACAGGAGGAGGCGTGGAGGAGGATCTATTGTGGGGCACCACATTCTCCCCCATCGGCATTTCCGGCGTTATCTCCTTCGATGACCCTTGTCCCCTTCTTCCCCACCTTGGGCCACCAATTCATTAGAACCCATTTACAGCATCGTCCTCGTTCCCTTATCCCCTCCTACCTTTCTCCCTACTCATATCTAGCACTACGGTACTCGTAGTATTGACGCCATGCAGTCCCCACAAAGACCTCCACAAAACAATCCCTCCGACCCCGATGGTACGTCATTCTTCTTACACAGCGCACAAGCTGATCCGTGACAGCTTATTACACACCAGGACCACAAAGTCCGCCCAGTAAGCTCACTAGGTACATACAAAGGGCTACACTGATATGTTCTAGTTCAAGTTACTCACTCCCCATTCGCCCGATCAGATTCCTCGCAGCAAATGACTTTTTCAGAGATGGCCCGGATGGCCAATCGACCGCAGACGGTGAGTCAGCTGGGCAATGAGTAATAGATTCAGCTGACATCCAGTTTGAGGAGATGTATGCAGTGCCAGAGAGCTTCTTGGAGATTGAAGTGAGAAATCCCATGACTCATGGTATGTCTTTATTGCGCTCCCCCTCTCTATAGTTCAAAATATCGTTTGACTGCATGCGCTTCCGGTATTCAAGATTGTACGCCTACATAGGAAGCAGCTCACATCGTAAAGGGTCAGCGCTGATTCAAAGGGATTGGGCGGAAAATGTACACCGACTACGAAGTGGTCTGTATGGTATGTCAACTTAGCGGAACACATCATACATCATCTGATGAGGCAGACTAACATTCCCGCCTTCAAATTGCGTCATTCAGTTGTGAGAAGACGGTATTCTGATTTCGAGGCATTTAGAGATATCCTGGAAAGAGAAAGTACTAGGGTCAACATTCCTCCTTTACCCGGCAAGGTGAGTTTGACACCTCATCGTCTCCCCCGGTTGGTGGCTGTGGATTCCTCGTGCGGTTCAAGCGGGGAGATGTTAGAGACCCTATGCAAGGTATCACATGCTACTTCTATCCTCATCCTACTCCGCTATGGACTGTGGCATCGAATACAGATCCGGGATCCCTTTTGTGAATAGTTCACAAGCCACGTGTGAACTGTGCGGTGATGAGGCCTGAACAGTCAGTGAAGTGGTCTAGGCGACTGACGCCACAGATCTTCACCAACCGCTTCACAGACGAAATCATCGAGCAGCGCCGTGAAGGTTTACAAAGGTTTCTCGAGATCGTTGCTGGCCATCCTCTTCTTCAAACAGGTAGCAAAGTGCTGTGTGCGTTCCTACAGGGTGAGCTCCCCCCCGTCTGTCGTTGCCTCAGATATTGACGTCAGACCCTTCGTGGGACAAATCGCATTGGATCTGAACTATCAGCCTCTCGCAGTGACGAATTCAATGATTTTGGGATAAACATGAGTTGTATATGCATCGTGTCGGTTTCACTCCATCGTGATTCCGTCTCTTCATTCGAATCGCGGTCGTCCACAGCTAACAAAAGTTCCAGGAATGTGCACCCAGATGCACCCGTGCTTCGCTGATCGCTGACGTATGGTCGCATCAGCAATGCCATATTCTTCACTCTGCCGAGTAAGCTAGCGACTTGCCCATTGCCAATGGTTTCCTACCCAAAACGAAAAGGCAGTGCAATGCAAAATGATACTATACTGTATAACTGTAATGAACAATGATGTACTATTTATCCGTAAGTGACATACAACAACCATGAATCAAACCAACACTCCTCCCTCTCTCAACGGTTTCACTCCTAAACCTTCCACAGCACTCCTAATCTCCATCTCCCAGAACAATCTCAAATCATATCCACCACCTCTCACTTTCCCCTCCTTATCCTCCTTGACATAAACCACACCCTGTCTCCCATCCACATAATCTTGTTTCAGTTCATATCTTCCTTTCCAACGTGCTTCCTCCGGCGGGGCGTAAGGAATGGGAACGAACGGACCGTGATAGGAGGGATCGAGAGGTGATATTTTAGGACCTTCGGGAATAGGAGCGGTAGATGCGTATAATGCCGCCAAAGATGGAGGGATGGCGGAAGCTAAAGATTCGGCTCTGGAAGCTTTGGCACGGTTGGCATGTAGACGTATGGAATGAGCTTTGTTGGTGTCTCCCTTGGCCTGAATATCAGTATGCACCCGTCACCTCAGCGTTCCCCCTCCCTCTCTTGACCCATAGATGAGATAGAAATGCAAAGACAGATTTAAGAGAGCTAGGGAGTGATCGAGTATAAATTGAGATGGCGATACTCGTATAGTATGTGTAGGTTGAGGGATGGGCAAGAATGAAAGATTCCGAGCTGTGTGAGAGGGATTACTGACCAAAGCTTCCACAATCTCCTCCTTCACTCTTGCCTCTTCTGCTACCTCTACCACCTCAGCCTTTTTTATCATCTCCATTCTCTCTTCCCTGGCTTTGCGTTCCACCATATCCCTTTCAGCTTGAGATAAAGCTTCTATGACGGCTTTGGCTTGGTTGGCAGCGATGGCTTCGGCATTACGTCGTCTAAAATCGGCTATACGAGCTTCGGTTTCTGCTACGTCGATATCGTTCAATAGGTTGAATGCTAATTGTCAGCTGTTATCGAATGGCAATTCATTTCCAACCCTTGAAATCATCCTCATTCTTTGTAGATTCGAGAAAGCTGGACGGCCCAGAAGAGGTCATGGGACGGGTTGACGAATAACGAAAGTATAGCCAGGAAGGAACGGCGAAGGTAGAGTGATGTAAGAAAACACGAACTCAGGTCTTCCACTTCTTGTAAATAATCATCATACTCTCTTAACATCATAAAATCTTCTTGACGTTTATTGAAACTGAACATCAGTCTGCGTTGCCTGTCATCCTTAAAATTATAAGACCACCATAGAGAGTCAAGGGGAGATACAATGAGTGCTTCGTATAGATATGCACTTGGAACTTCAAGCTGTAGATCCACCGAATATTTTGACCATGATAGATTGGGGGTAGACGGACTGACAGAACAGTGTTGGAGACAAGAATCTTGATGACTCACAATCCCGCCATCCGTCTCCTCACAGCAATCTCCTTCTCAACCTTCAAATCCTCAAATGTCTGATGAGCGAAATTGACTTTTCTCAATATCCTCCCGCATTGAGGACAAGGTTCAGGACCTAGAGTAAATAATCTATCGATACATGATTCGCACATTTTGTGATAACATGGTGAGACTAGTAAACGTAGGTTTTTATTGAATTGTCGATCTGTGTGACATACTGGACAGACATCTGATTCGGTCTATTTCATAAGCTCCCAGTTTTCATTCTGACACCAGTACCGCTTAGTTTGTTCTTGATGATCTGATGAGAGGTATGGGAGTAGTGACCAAGCGATAGTTCCCCGACGCATGGCTGATGATTGAGGATAGCTATCCTCCAGAATATGAAAACCCCAAACGTAGTCTTCATATATGTGAGTTGTGACAAATACAATCATGAGAGTAGTCCGAGCAGTTCCCTCTGTGGCAAAGTGGAGAGTCAAAATTGAAGGCTTATCAAAATGACAGGAGGATAAACTTGCGATGAACCCACCTTAAACTCTGTAACACGCTTGGAAGGATCTCTAACTCCCGCAACGTACAAATACCCATCTTCAGCAGTCTTAGCTGATGTTCCTGCTCTACCAGAATATCCAGGTTTTGGGGCAGGTCGACGGATAGGTTTCATCCCTCTCATGGGAGGTGGTCGCATGACGAGTGGCGTATGGGTGACCTTTCAGACCTGAAAATGAAGTTCATGCGCAATCTCAAGTTTATACGGCGGACAACGTTTTGATTACGTCAGCGGGAATTTCACTCGGTTTGAATTTGGTTAATTTGGACTGGTGATACAAATATCAAGGATCAGTCATGCTCAACGCGATAGCTAGTTCATCCCGTCTGTATCTGAGAGGTATAGCCACTTCTTCCAGAAATTTACAGAAAGCGCCTTTACTACCATCCCGTACGTCTTTTCACATCCCAGCATCTCTATGGAGTATTGAAGGAAGATTGACTGATGGATAGGGGAAGTACCGACACCCGCGGAATTCTTAACGTTAATAGGACGTGGAGTGGAAAAAAGATTGGGTTCACAAGTTGAAAGCTGGGAAAGTTTGAGTGAGATTTGGAAAAAGGGTGGGAAAGCTTTGAAGAATGTCGGTTTGGGAGTGAGAGAAAGACGGTGGGTAAACTCTTCTCTGTTTTCTCATCTTCTCCATCTTATCAGCCCATCATACTGGTATGGCCAGGAAGATCAGTTCCTCCCTCTGTCATCTTCACTTTTGAACGATTGGAAATGCGGTTTAATGTGACCTGAGGTTGTAGAGGACATGTAACTGACCATGCAGGTATCTGGTACGTTCATATCATGCCGCAATGCTCAGCCATAGCGATGCACAAGAAACTGATGAAAAGCTATGGGCCATGGCCAAATATTCTCAAGGAATTTCTCCATCAACATTCATCAAACCTCCAAGACCTGCAAAGAAGATACGGGGGTGAGTCAACAGTCTCTGTTGCTAGTGAAGAGAAAACGGCTAATTGCATCTTTTGGTTTATCGAATTTCATTACACCACCGTTTTCTTCCGATTCTCTCGCGTTCTATGTCTCCCTCATACCTTTCTCTGATCGCCCTCTTCATATCGGCTATTCTCGCTGGGGTATGGATCGATAATGCAGTTGGGGACCTCGGGTGCAGAACGGGGTGCGGGTCAAGAAATGACCGGTCATGACTATGCATGATATCTGGTGCAGTCAGCGATTTCTAAGTGTTCCTGCAATCAAGAGGAAAGTACTCACGTGTGACACAGAGATGCCCGTCCGTACTTGCCCCGTAATCTCGTCAGGCAGGTGCGGTACTTGGAAGGATAACGACTGAGGAGAAGGGGTGGACTAAGCGAGATATCATCTCTTCTCTCCCTCCAACGCCTTTAGCAACTCCCCCAACTCTCCATCACTATGATCTGACGAAGCGGTTTCTGAAGACCCCGCCGGAGAACCCCATTTCCACCTGACAAGTTCTCGAAGTGTGTGACCTGGTGGAGGTGCGGAACGAGGGTTGGATTCGTGTAGATGATAAGCCAAGAGACCTGTGAATATCCCTAAGATTGGGTCTAGAGTTCTTGAAAGCAGATATATCTTCGGCATTGTAGTGTCGACCTCCACGAGGTATGTAGCAAATCTTTATGCAGCTCGTCTCTGGTCGCATATGACAGAATTCCGAGGGCAGTAGAAGTTGAGGTATGGGAGGTGGTGCCACATTGAGACTTCCTAATCTCCCTTCTGAAACGCCGAGTTTTTCCGTTAAAAATGGTGTGGTCCTCTCGTCTGAATGACCGTCCCAACCAAGCAAGCACGCTCGCCATCCGAGTGCCGAGTGGAGGTTGTCCACTCGTCCCTCCCATTCTCCTGAGCTATAACAACAGTCAGTCATATGACACCCACACTCCCACAATTACCTCTCACACCTACTTCTTCAACCTCGAACAAGAATCATGAACCAACAAGATTATCACAACCACATTCGTATCCTTCTCGACCTCCTCAATCAGCTAGACCGAGCGATCAATTACCTCCTCCTACCCCGCCTACCGCACGGTCCCCTTTACCTCCAATGTCTAATCACACCAATCTATCTCCCTCTCGTGACGCTGTCACTCCTCTTTCCAAGATTCAATCACCAAAACATACACCGCCTTCAATTACGGAACCTCCCTTCCGAGCTGTTATGAAACATGATGATGTGGTTCTGGAAAATGAGGCAGGTCCGAGCGATTGGAATAGGTTGTCTTTAAGTAGAAAGCGGAAATGGGCTATGAATGGATATAACGGTGAAGAAATCGATGCTTTAGAAGCTAGAAGTACATCGTGAGTTCTTTTCCTACAGTATGGACACACAAGGAAGGAGGAGGCGTTCTTAAAGGAGGTAACATGCTCACGTTAGATTGAATTTGGCTTTATTACTTGATCAACAGAGCACTCTTTTTCCGGAACCGCCCACGAAATTCATCTCGGGTGAAGATGTGGTACAGAGGTTGCTACCATGGCATGTGTGGCAGATTGTGGATGAAGAATTGGATATTCCGGAAAACGAGGCGAAGGATAATATCAGACGACTTAAAGGTATGTCAACTGTTTCATCCTCATACATGTTCAGAGAATCTCAGTATAGAAGGCATATTCTTAACGGACTGAGCTGATATAGACAGATACCGCAGATGTGAAACTTTTAGTCGGTAGGATGACAGATATCAATCATCGTTTACATAAGCTACGTCAACGAGAAGCAGAGGTATTATCATTTCACACAGTTCAAGATGCGACGTTGACATATACAGCGTCCAAATGACTTACCCTCTATCATCTCAATCACCACGGCCGCCACATCTAGTTTAAGAGATGAAGTTGCCTTACTCAACAATAATCTCCGTGTTGCTCAACATCGACAATCGGCACTTGAAGCTGAATCTCGTCGAAGAATAGAGGCTCAGCGAGCTGCCATGTCCGCCAAATCTACCCCCGGAACTCCCTCACACCCTTCACAACCTTCCCGACCCTCATCTTCCGTCCGACCTGGACAATCACAATCATCTCAACCTCTTCCATCCATACAGTCTACACAACCCGCTCAATCGAGCCGGCCAAACACATCCGCGCCTGATCATACTACTGCATTGAGGACAGCGTTGGAAAACGCAGTGGGTAAACCATCAACACCGCTCACATCAGCCTCCCTGCCGACCCGTTCTTCAACTCCCGATACTCCCGATACACCCACACCTTCCCGAGGAAAATTGAAAAGTAGACCCAAAGGAAGGACACGTGCAGGACTACGAGAATCGCTTTTGACTCATTCAATCACAACTCCCAATGGATCCCCATCATCAGCCTCGACGGCCTCATCCCGACCATCATCACCGTCCAACAAAGATGGAACTTCATCAACTACCACAAATGGGACTTCAGTACAATCACCTGCAACACAAGGACCAGTGACAGTGACAGTGTCCAAACAGGTAATACAGCAATTCCATTCTTTGGGCATCTTAAATATCCCTCCGAAGTCAGGTGTCAAATCTCCGGCCAATATAATCAGTGCGACGGAAGATGGGAAACATATCGTCAGTGTGTGAGTAGCCCGTCTTCGTTCGTCGTACAAGTCACCGGGACTGATTTGTCAGAAATCTGGCTTTGTGCTCCCAAACGCAACTGGCGTCGTTGGCAAAGATGTTCAATGTTCCATGGAAAGGATCGACTGCGACTGTATCAAGTGGGAGCGCGACTCCGAATGGTACTCCTCGAGGTAAGGGTAAATAGACGGGAGTTGTCTATAATCTTCATGTCAATCTTCATACCTGGGGTATGCACTGGGACCTCTCGGTGGTCCAGAGTATATCTACTTACCGTATTGGATCGTCCTGCAGGTGGACATCACTGTTATATAACATGCAGCGTGCTTCCCAGCAATATACATACCTCTTTGCATACTCGGAGTCGTTCAGTAAAGATAAAACGCCGGCGGCCGGCGGTTGTGTGGCACTCGTCGATCAGATGTCCGTGGGAATTGACCCCGTCTCTCAAACCTCTTTCACCCCTACTGCCCTGGTGATCTGGTGACCCTCCTCCACAGATAGAGCCATAGGGCCATAAGTCCATAGACTCTTTCTTCTCCTTCCGTCCTCCCATATACCCTTAGCCTAATTCGCCTGCACTCCATACACTGTGTCATTGAACTTGGAAAGCCGTTCGGCTCAAGAGAGAACCCCCCATCTTCCCTCTGATCCTGAGCCGATCTCACGCGCCCATTCCTTCAACCTCTCCCCTCTGATCCCTTACTCTTCCTTATCTCCAATCCTACTCTTCTTCCGAACCCACTTCTCTATCCATTTCAACTCCTTCTGGTGAGTCCGCCAGTGCGGTGTGTCTAGGCAAGACATAAAACAAAATGTCTAAATCATCCCCCTTCGCACCAACCCCTCAAAACCTTTCTCGACCCGCATCTCCAGGAGGTTATTCACTCTCTTTGGACAAAGAAGAAGATAGACAAGGACTCATGATGAGTGCCTTGACGGGTAAAGATAGAGAGAAAGATAGAGAAAAGGAGAAAGAAGCGTTACATCCTCCTTCAGCTAGGGATCAAGGTGAGCTCGGACTCTTCACCCATTCACATCATGGTTACTCACTTCCCCTTCGCTCATCTCTCTACTGTGTCCTGTCTAACATTCGGCTGTCTGCCAATCATCCTCAATCTCGTTCAGTCATGGTTCAAGATTGTAATGTAGTGTAGATCCACACCGACATCCTAGGCGCCGAGTGGTGAAAACTCAATGATGAGTGATGGCGCTCCACTTTTACCTTTCGAAGGGCTGGTGTAAATCGTGCCGAGAGGTAGAGGTTGATATTCAGCTTTCCCTATAATTTCATACTGTTGTGCTAGTATCTTGATGACTGTGGTTAATAAAGTGAGTTTTGTGCTTCTCCAACCTTGCCCCTGCGCCCCCTTCATGGGGTATGGATCACCTGAAAAGAACACTTCCATCAATGCTGCCTGCTGTGATTACTTGTCAAGTGCCTCCGCTCGTGCTGCTGTTCTCTCTCTGAAATTCATCACTTCTCATCTTGCTCATGTCTGTTGTAGTCACTCAAGTATTGATCGTGTTTCTCCGAGTTTTCTGCTTACTTCATAGTACGTCGTATCTGGGCGTCACTTCACCATGACCTTTTTACTTCTTGCTATACAATCTGCAGTTTGTGTGCTGGCCGTTTGGGGTGCGAAGCGTGCTGGGTTCATTACATGTGAGTTTGATCTATTTACAATTTCCACAATTCTCTGTCTACCTTTACGCAAGAGGCACGTCAATCGTCACAGGCAGACCGTCTCTGTCTCATCCGGAACAAATACTCATGACAGTCCGCGATTTCGACAAGAACGATGCTAAGGCGTGGTGGCCCATCTCCTCGCTCCTTGTGGCCGTCATCTACACTGGGTCAAAATCTCTCGTACGTGGAATAACCAATTCCAGGAGCAGGGCTTAACTGATCAACAGCAATTCCTGTCTATTCCTGTATATACGTAAGCTGCTTCAATCGCTTCATTTTGCTCGGCTCATTGCACAGTATATTCAAGAACCTCACTATCATTCTCATAGTATGTCATATCGCTGTTAAGTCAAGACATGAATCGCTAATGTCCAGGCATACGGGGAAGTGTTCATGTTCAACGGAATCGTCACTGGCCTCACTTTTGCGGCATTTTCTTTGATGGTATGTTGCACTTGCCAGGATGTAGGACAACAAACTGATGAAGAGGTCGGATCATCGGTTATAGCTGCTTGGGCGGATATATCAGCTGCTTGGAATACACCGCCAACGTTGGATCCGACCACGGGACTCGAGCTGGTTGCTACCGAGTATACCATTGGGGGTGTCAATGCTGGTTATCTTTGGATGGCGTTGAACTGCTTGGCTTCTGCTGCCTATGTGAGTGGGAAAGTTCTCTTACACCTTTCCCACCATTGCTGATGCCTGAGCGGCTGACCCGCAGGTCCTCTTCATGCGCAAACGCATCAAGATCACCGGCTTCAAAGATTGGGACTCGATGTTCTACAACAACCTTCTGTCCATCCCCATACTCGTCGTATTCTCCGTTCTTATAGAAGATTGGGGTGCCGAATCGATATCCCTCAACTTCCCCGCTTCCAACCGTGTTGCTCTTCTCTCCGCTATCGCCCTGTCCGGGGCAGGTGCGGTCTTCATTTCATACTCCACTGCATGGTGTGTCCGCGTGTGTGGCAGTACCACCTATTCCATGGTCGGTGCGCTGAACAAACTGCCCGTTGCGGCTAGTGGGATGATTTTCTTCCGTGATCCCGTAAATTTCGGAAATGTCAGTGCTATCGGCGTGGGAGGATTAGCTGGAATTGTTTTCGCTGTGGCCAAGACAAACCAGGCCAAGGTGGATGCAGCCAACAAAGCTCGTATAGCGGGTGGTGCGAGACCATAGCGGATCGTCGTTTGATCAATAGATGGATGGGTCAAGGGGATATCATCTCTTTCGGAGTGTAGACGTGAGTGATATTCATAGAATTAATCATACCTGTGCATTCTTGGCGTCTTTTTCTACTCACGACTAGCCCCTCATCCTCGTCACCATTGACTCGGTTGTAGCTGACCCATCAAATCTCTGATTTGACTGTCTTCATCGGGAAGAGATCTTACAAGTCTCATCTTGCCAAACACAACTCGGACTCAATACTCTACTACCTTTCTTCAGATATGAAGACGCCCGATCCGACTTGACACATTGTCAGATCGTCAAAGGAAGTGACAGTGCAACACGCAACATGTGATGTGCTTTTATGTCCAGTACCCCATGATGATTGAAAGGATGTCAATCGGACTCTTGGCTGCTGATATGTAACACTAGACCTCAAACTGACAAGTCATATCATTCACCACTAATTTGTTCACTCTCACCCGCAGAGTTTTCTCTCAAAGCGCTACCCCTGATAGCAAGAAAGATATATTCGAAGATATTACGGATATGCCCGCGCAGACTATAACTCCTCCGCCATCGACAAGGCTTCAGTATTCCCAATTGACGTCGTCTGTATCAACCCCAGGAAGAGCTTGTGAGTGGACGATTCTATCGGACAAGCATCCACCACCCTCATCTTCCAAATTGATGTCATTAATCCAATTTGAATCGATATCGTACGCTAATCATCAGCCTCTGCCGATGTTGATCGTTTGGTCCAGATCCTTCAACAACAAAACAACGATGATCTTACCCACAAGTTGGAAAATTTCTCCGTGAAGGAGCTCAGTAAGGCTCTTGTAAGTGGCCCGCTGGATTTCCTAGGTTGGGAAGGTGAACCTCCTTCCCTCGCAGCTGCCCAAGAAGCTTTAGAAGTGATGAAGAATCGTGTGAGATCATCTTCTCCTTCCCCGAATGCTGAATGTACGGAAGTGGACGTGTCCCTCCCCTCCGAAACATACATGGGCGAATATCCAGAATGGGCTGGATGGAACCAGAACCAAAATGGGTCGACGAGTACCATCACACGACCTCCAGACACTTCCGTCCAGGGAACTGACTGGGATGGATATTATGAAGATCAGTATGAGAGGTATCAGGTGACGGGTAATCCTGATGATCTCTATGCGGGGTTAGGGGATCAGGATGGGCTGCCTTATCAGAATCAACAATTTGGTTATGACAATGTACCCATCAAACAGGAAGAGGAAGAAGACGAAGCAGATCAAGATGGTAAGTCATATTTCGTATATTAAGTCAAACAACCTGTAATTATCCGTACTGAGACTCATAAGGCCTACATCAGAGCTGACGCTGTGGCAGATATCGATAGAGAAACCATCTACCAAGATTATAAACTCGTGTTTGAGAGCATGAGCAAAGAAGATCTTGAGAATGGTTTAGGGCCCGGAAATGAGAGCATCTTTCATCAATGGACTGCTGGCCATCCCTTAATGAGTAGACTAGACAATGATACAAAGGCTCAGATCAGTATGGGAGCTTGGTTGATGGCTAAGAGGATGTCGATGGAAAAGTGAGTGATCGAGGGAAGCGTCGCCGTGGTTCATGGCGCGGTCAATGGTATAAGGTTGCTTTGTGAATAGGGACAACACTTGGTGGAACGAGTCGACTTTCGACGTGCGGAGTTAAGAGTATCGCACGCACATGGCTTGTTTGACCTTGGTGTCAGAGTATGAGATGAAGGTCTTGATCGAGTGTTTGTTGGAGCCATGGAACGACGACCTGTTGTTCGACTGAAATACCGGTGACGAGTAAGCTGTACGGGTTCACTTGTGAACACTTGACACGAGAGCTGGGTTTTGACCCCGACATCGCTTCCGATCAGGGCAAGGAGAAGAATGATGCTTGGCAATTGCGGCGTTTGAATCAAAGAAAGGGGCCCGTCTTGACCGAAAAGCACGGACCACAGCATTTGTCATCTTGGTTGCATCGTTCATCGTTCGTCGGTGGAGATGAGACAATTGTATAGGTTGCAGTGTGCGTGTTTACAGGGGGAGAGGTCGGTCGATGGCCGATGGATCGATGGCCTCATGAGGGGTGGGAACGAGGGAATGGTGATGTGGAGGTTGAGCTATGCCGATGACGTCGTTTTCAAGTCAACCTTATCCCATCCACTACGGTGGCATAGGATCGAGATCATCGTATATCGTGACTTAGTGTTGATATAAGTGGTTGCTCTTAGTGTCAGTTGCGAAGGAACAATTCTACTCTTTCTTCAGTAGCTTAGGATGATAGCTAGCTGACAAGTGATTAAAGACATGTAGAGAGGACACTTGTCACCCAAGCCAAGGAATCCAAGGATTGCCAAGATGGACCGACCGACCCATCTGACGCGCCACGCCCAAAGTGGCAGAAATCATACAAAGGTTGATTTTGCACCGCAATTATCAACGACCAGCGGATTAAGCCCGCGCGTTTTATTAGTGTTCAGGGATTAAGACGCAGTTCAGGGGCATAGACCTACCTCTGCGCAGTGACGAGTGACGACGACGACGGTTTATAAAAAGTAAGACGGTACGACCAAGTACAACATCTACGATCTACGATCTACCCGCCACCCAACCAACCGATCAGTCTGGACTGTGTTCTTCCATTACCCATTACCCATTTCGTTGCCGATCTGATCAATAATCCTTCCTCCCTTCGACAAAGGAACTCACTACCACGACTTTTACATACCTCAACCCCTTAGTGTACAAACCATCTGTTCATCTATCCATCTTTCATCGCTCATTGACTTCATCTTCATCTTCATCTCCTTCATTTTCGTCATCATGACTCCCTTATCCTTAACCCTTTTATTCTCTCTATTATTCCCCATCGTTTATTCTACGCCTCTTCACCCTCGTGATGATTCACCAGAAGACGACTTACCGATTCCGCCTAAAATGCGTATATCTTTGATACCTAACAAAAGACAATATGATGAAGATTTAGAGATTAGAAAAGCTTGGTTGAAAGGACAAGCTAGGGATATGAGAAGAAAATATTCTGCTCAATTGGGTGAAAAAGGGAAAGAGTTGAGAAAGAAAGATTTAAAAGAAATGGAATTGTTGAAAAGAAAAAGATCTACTGGAGAGGTATCGTGAGTTTTGAATCAAATATCATCATTTCCCTACATCTCTCAACAATACCTTCTCTCCACTTGTCATTCAATCTCCATCCACCAAACGTACGGTAATATCTGTCACGTTTTGACTTAGAGTCAAGTGAGATCCAGCCAATCCTACCTTCTTTCCAACCATTTTGACGACATATGTAAGATACAACTGCTAATCTTCCAGGTTAACAGATGTCGGGATAGATGCATCATATTCTGGTCAAGTATCAATAGGGTAAGTACCCGCTTCTCTTCTCTATTCACAATCGCTGACATACTAGTACACCAGCGCAAGACTTCCTTGTCATTCTTGATACTGGTTCTGCTGATTTGTAAGCTTGACTTTTCTTCAAAATGAGGCTTCAGCTCATGTGAAGATGGGTGGCAGGAGCAGGATGTGATTCTTCCGAATGTCAAGGAACAGCTTTATTCGATACTACTTCATCTTCTACTTTCTCATCGACAAGTCAACAATTTCAAATATCTTATGGATCCGGTGACGCAGAAGGGACTTTGGCGTCGGATACCGTCACATTTGGAGGTTTTAGCGTCACTGGACAAACTTTCGGTGAGTCCCAATAGTCCGATCTATCACTTCTCCCTTTTATTCTCTCATTGCCTCTCTGTCGAATATTTCAGCTCATCTCACATCCTTTCAGCAAGCTTTCTTTCACTTCTCCCACAGTCTCTCGATTCCCTCTATCAACCCGTCATTTCTCTGCCCCTAGCTGTCTAAGGGCGACTGCATCCTAATAAGTCATGGACACTCGCTGATATCTCAGCCGTTGTGAATGAAACCACCTCATCACTAATCAGTGCACCTCTGTCCGGTCTGATGGGTCTGGCATGGAAGTCTATAGCCCAATCACAAGCAACACCGATGTGGCAAGCTTTGGCTGCTTCTGGTAGTCTCAGCAGTCCTGAAATGGCATTCTACCTTCAACGGTATCGTGGAGATTCATCTGCGGCTCAAGTTGAAAGTTCAGGTGGGGAGTTTACCCTTGGGTGAGTGCTTCTCTGATCCTACCAATTTCCTCTCACTTCCTTCCCAAAACTTCTCCCTCCCTTTTCCGACGCATCAGTTCGGTCTATCTCAGCTGGTCTCATCAACCTCCTCCTTGACCTCTTGTCATCATGAGATAGCAGAGGACACCGTTGACAATCAGCGGTCTAGATTCATCCAAATTCACTGGCAGCATGAACTACATCTCCATTTCTGCCGACGACGAAGATTACTGGCGTATCCCCGTTCAAGGTCTAACAGTCGACGGAACATCCATCTCCACTTCTTCCGCCCAAGCTGCCATCGATACCGGTACAACCCTAATCGGTGTTCCTTCTTCCGTCGTTACAGCCATCTACTCTCAGATACCCAACGCCGAGGCAATGTCCGCTGCATCAGGTTACCAAGGTTACTATCAATACCCTTGTTCATCAAATATCAACGTCACTCTCTCCTTTGGTGGTAAAAATTACGCAATGAGTAATGCCGATATGAATCTCGGTTCCTTCACTCGAGATCAAAGTATGTGTACCGGAGCGTTTTTCGAAATGGATTTCTCAAGTGGTTCACCAATACAATGGATCATGGGAGCCAGTTTCCTCAAGAATGTTTACACCAGTTTCAGATATAGCCCCGCCGCTGTTGGATTTGCCGCCTTATCCGGGAATGCTGAGAGTGTCACGAATGGGACTTCGGGAAGTACGACCAGTGGTGGGACCGGTGGATCGGGAGGATCACCTTCGATGAGTGGGGCTCTGAAGTTGAACACGGGATTAGGAGGATGGGTTGGGTTGGTTTTGTGTCTTGGAGTAATCTACAATGTCCTTTTATAGACAAAATTGGAGGGGATGTGAATGGGGAGGGTCGAACGAAGAGACATATCTACTACACATCTACATAGAAGGGAGGAAGTGGGTGACGGATAATAAAGGCAGAATAGAAGGTCATCTGGTCTGTCGGGAAAGATCAAAAAATTATCAAAATAGCATTTGATAAATCTTGTTGTATAACATTGCAATGCAAGTTAATGCAGGCTGCGTGGTGAGATGTAGTCAAGCAACACATAAGTATATCACCCTAATACTATATGAAGGACTGAAAGTGCATACACCCCTAAGGTACGTAGTGAACAAAGGGTTCGTAAGGGACGCTGCACACTTTGTGACTGTGGTATGCTCATTAATAATGATTGTTTGAGGGTGAAAAGGTCTCGAGACAGGGTTGATAGTGTTCATGGGCGATCGTGATGTTTAACTTGAACTGTGACAATTTCAGCTGACAACGCCGTCCGTTGCCGGTTGCCGCCATCACAACTCAACAACCTCTGCAGTAGTGGCTAGCGGCTGTCCGCTTGCGCTGGGGTGGGATCTATGTGAAGGTCTCGATGATCCCTGGCACGTTGCGGAATGCTATACTCAATCTACCTACCCGTCATACCATGACCGTTTCTTCAACGGTTCCACTGGCCACCGGACGTGAGACACGTGAAGGTCAGGGGTAAGGTACAATTCATCATCGCCAAGGAATTACATAGACCTGGCGTACCGTCTAGCGGCTAGAGGCACGCTAGGCGCGCCAGTCCTCGGCGATCGGCCAATACGGCGCTTTCTTTCCCCCTTTGCCTCTCACCCCATTTTGGCGTTTACTCTAAACCTACTTGGCAATACATACGTCTCAACCAGGGCGACATCTAGCTATCTTGGTACCATTCCCGCAACACGTCGACTCTTTCTTTTTCTTCCTTTCTGACCCATCATACATTAGTCTTTCACAATCTTCGGGATCGACATCACGAGTGGAGTAAAAAAGGCCAAAGGATTGCGTACTACCCGTACCACCCGTGACATACCTTTTAACCCCTTGTGGCCTGTAGGGGATTGTTGGAACTCTGCCGGTAACTTGTCTACCGATTCCTTTGTTCTCACCATTCTCTTTCTGGTTACAACGATATATCAGACGACTATATACATACCGCGGGCGGCAATAATCTGGTTCACCAATTGTCTGTTCTTTCCCCCCAAGCGATCACCCTTTTCCCTCGTTCGTCATCCGATACAAGTGGGAAAACTACATTATCCCCCAAGCGCCCCAAGAAGTCATTTGGACCGATAATCGGATCAATCTACGATCATCTCATATTCGATTCACCATAATATATATAGATTTATCATCTGATACATCTTACACTCACCCACTCTTCACTTGTTTGTCACTTTTGTCACATACATCAAACATATACATATATCCAACAACAACGTTCATCTTTGTTCACATCACCTATCACTGACTCCGCCCCCGCGCACCCACGCCGATCTCAAACTCTACTCGAATCTTAGGATCGTCTGCACGTTTACAACAAGACATCTTTTTTAAGTTTACCTCGAGAAGTAACGCGACAACAACATCCAGACACGATGGGTTGGCACGATAGTGTTCTTGCTGGTAATTGGCTTACAGTCCGTTCTATGGCTGAAAGATCTGTGTCTGTACGTGCTTTATTTCAAAAATGAATCACGCCTGTAACTGACCTTCAGTCCAGTGTATTAAGTGGCTCCAACCCCGTCGAATTCGATTCTAGCAATGTGAGTTGTTACGCTCAATTGTCCATCTCAACAAGTGAGGAATAGCTAACTATCAGCCTATCACTTTGTTCATCGTACAACTCTTCATCATCCTCGTCTTCACTCAAGGATTAGGATGGGCCTTTGGATATATCAAACAACCTCGTGTCATTGCAGAGGTCATCGGTGGTATAATCCTCGGTCCCACTGTCTTTGGACGTATTCCTCATTTCTCAAATGACATCTTCCCTCCACCTTCCCTACCCTACCTCAACTTGATCGCCACAATCGGTTTAATCCTCTTCCTTTTCCTCGTCGGACTCGAAGTCGATATCGGCGTTATGAAACGTAATGGTCGGGCTGCTGCTCTCATATCTGCAGCCGGTATGATCCTACCTTTTGGTGTGGGCGCAGGTGTAGCCGTGCCAGTTTATCATAATTTCGTCAATACCGAGAAAGTCTCCTTCGGTCATTTCCTCTTGTTCAGCGGAGTAGCAATGTCAATAACCGCTTTTCCCGTCTTGTGTAGGATTCTAGTCTCGACAAAACTTCTCGATACCAAAGTCGGCGTCATAGTTTTAGCCGCTGGTGTGGGTAACGACGTGGTAGGATGGGTTTTATTAGCTTTGACTTTAGCGTTGGTCAATGCTAAAGCTGGCGTTACGGCCGTATACGTATTGTTGTGTGCAGTAGGCTGGGCCATCGTCTTACTGTGGCCAATCAAAAAAGGGTTTAGATGGTTGGTACGTAGAAGTGGAAGTTTAGAACATGGTCCAACTCCCGGAATGATGATTCTTACCTTGTTGATCGTGTTCGCTTCGGCTTTCATAACGGATATCATTGGTGAGTAACCCGTCCCCACCATCATCCGTGCCATCCTTTCCATCACGATCTCTTGGTTACGTGTACCTCCACATGTTCAATGGATATTCCTCGTATGAGCAAATGATATGGATGTAAGGAGTTTGTCGACTGACGTACAGGCGTTCATCCTATCTTTGGAGGGTTCATCGCAGGTCTCATCATTCCTCACGAAGGAGGTTTCGCCATAGCTCTTGTGGAAAAGATCGACGATCTCGTTTCAATGCTCTTCTTACCAATCTATTTCGTACTTTCCGGACTTTCGACAAATCTCGGTCTACTGAACACTGGAAAAGATTGGGGTTACATCGTATTACTCTGTACTGTCGCTTTCCTGGGCAAATTCATCGGTTGTGCCGGGATGGCATACATACTGCGATACCCGATCAGAGAGTCAGGTGCTATTGGGATGCTTATGTCTTGTAAAGGGTGAATATCTCCCCCCTCCCCGCTCCTCTGTCCCCTCACTTTTTGCGGTTTCGCTTCCCTCGCCTCCCCATGTTTGTTCCCCACTTCCCTTACATTCCTTGCGGTCGAGAGTGAGACTCACGATTTGTGCTCTCGCTGACACGCAGTCTTGTGGAGCTCATTGTCCTCAATGTCGGTTACCAAGCGGGAATCATTGACCAACGTCTTTTCTCAATGTTCGTCGTCGAAGCCGTCGTCTTGACCTTCATCACCACGCCATTTACCCTTCTCATTTACCCCGAGCGTGTCCGTTCCCGTGCCACTGCCGACCTCAACCCCGTCAGAGACCACGAGAAGGGCGAGATGGCTCAACTCGCCGCATCACTCGGTTCCCGTGAAAGAGACCCAGTATCCCGATTTCTCGTCGTCTTGCAGAAACTCGAACATCTCGCTCCCCTTATGCTCCTCACTCAAATGCTCGAATCGCCATCACCCAAGACTAAACGCGCTCCGGGTGAGCGCACTACCCTCGGCAAAGTGAACGCAAAGATCGATACGGACCTAGACGAAACGGATAGCGATTTCAAATCGTCTGCATTGGAGGGAACAGCTTTACCAACTGTCTCAGGACAAAGCTCTCGTCCATTATCTATCCCAATCACAATTGACGCTCTGAAGCTTATTGAATTAACCGGTCGTACTTTCTCTGTCATGCAGTCCGCCGAGAAAGATCAACTCCTTTTGACAGACGACGCCCTCCAACTATACAGACAATTTGGTCGTCTTCGTGGTCTTGAAGTGAACCCTCATATAGACATAGTAGGCCAAGATTCTTTTCCTTCTGCCGTAGCCGACTTTGCTCAAAATCTTTCGACACAAATGGTGATCATTCCATGGACCGTACCCTCTGGTCCATCTTCCGCTCTGTTAGATCCTTCTCCCGCGGCGGCAGAAAGGGAAGGTATCGTCCCTTCATCTTCCTTTTCGCCATTCGATAGCGTTTTCGGTTCAGAAACACAAGGTTCACCCATGTACACACATTTCGTTCGAAGGGTATTTTCCGAATGTCAAGTTGATAAAGCCCTTTTCGTCGATAGAGGTTTCAGTGGGGGTGCGACTTTCGCTCCTGGAAGTGGCCAACATATCTTCATGCCTTTCTTTGGTGGTCCGGATGATCGTCTGGCGTTGAAATTTGTGGTACAGCTTTGTCATCATGCTAATGTGACGGCAACGGTGGTCAAGGTAGAGAAAAGTGAGGATTTGAGTGCTGTGAGTAGTTCTGTCAGTGGGAAAGTGGGATTGGAGGAGAGTATGGAGGTTCATCGGGAGGCTTTGCAGAGAAATCAATTGACCGTTGGGCCTACAAGTACTGTAAGTGGTCACCCTGATATTTGATTTGACCCACTCCCTGCCATGTCTTTCCTTTTCCCTTTCCTTTCCTCCTTCTCTCCGTACCGGTCTTTGCGAAAGACTGCTCTTTCGCTGAAAACGTAACGTCCAACATGAACACTGCGAGTCTCGCTGATCATCAGACCTTCCCAGACTCTGCTAATCGTCTCGCGTCCGATACAGCCGACAATATCGCTTGGTCCTATTACACCTCTCCATCCACACTTTCCACTCGTCCCTCTTCCCTTGAATCCATCCTACGTCGTATCTCATTCTGCAACACCAAGTCCCCTTCTCCACTCTCCATGACATCCGATTACGCCGAATCTGTCCTTGCTTCCTCCCCCGGCCCGATGTGGCGTCCCATGCTCATTGTTGCTGGTCGTGGACGAAGAGGAGCAGCCTTGAACCACTCGGACGAACTCAGTCGTGTACTCATCGAACGTGGTCCCAGTCCCACCGTCGGGGCAGAGCTGAGGAAGACGGTTGGAGATGTGGCGGCGGGTCTCATGCTGGGGGGAGGAGCCGCGGGTATGGCCAGTTTCCTCGTTGTGGAAGTTGGAGGTCAGAGGTAGAATCTACGATATCGGTCCTTTGATGCGGACGGATCATGGTGGGAAGATCTCCGATTTGGTCGAATTTTGTTGTACGATTTGAAGGCGGATTTGTACGACGCTTAGTTCTCACGATGCACTGCTATATTGATTCTCGACGCTTTCGACGATCGACGGGCGACGTAGAGTACGTTCGTTCCATTGACGGTGAAAGTCGATTTCGAGAAGATTTTCTTCTCATAGATCTCGAATTTTCACGGTCTCACGGACATCTAGCATAGCTTCTATCCCTTCTTGAAATATATTAACCTCCTACTGCAAAATATGTGTCAATTTCAACACATCTTCCAATAACCAGCAGCTACCAACCAGATACATACAAGACCATGTCAGACGATGAACAGACCTTCGTTGATGCGCCTGGTGTTGTCCTTCCTTCATCATCCGCCCTGCATCCTGATAAACGCAGAAGATCGAGGCATGAAAAGACTTTGTCGATGACTCACACCACTCTGCAGATCCATTTGTAAATCGTTCCAGCCCTCCGGAAAGTCCAGAGGAGCCACAAATTGAATGTTCCTGCTCACTCTGGGGTTCTTTACCACTCATTGCCACAGTTATCGTCGTTGTATCCCGACTCTTGGTCGGCCAGCAGAAGCTTAACTCAGATTCTGCTCGTTCTCAAGCTCTTGAGCATATCGAAAGGGGATTTCGGGCGTTATCCGAGATTCAGCAAAGCCACAATCCCCCGCAGGGAACGGAAGATCCCCACATATTTCTCCCTTCCACGGAGGGGACTAGTCTGAATCAAGAGCAAGATAACACAGCAATCATTTCAGATGTACTGTTGAACTGGGGCCTGGAACATACTCAGACTTGTCCATGTCACCCAACACGTCTTCTGGAAAGAACAGCCGGAGAGGATGACACAAGGACACAACCGGTCAAAGATGAGGCTACAGGATATGAGGGGGTAGACTAATTGAAACATGGTACATACTGTACATACTTGTCAGGACCAGACGTTGAGAATAGTAGTAATGCCACATAACTGCTATACGGATTGGTCATATGATCTTGTGATTGTCGTCTTCGATGCAACTCTTCACTATCATCGTAATCGTACTTGTCGTACACATTCGAACAGAGGTGGATCTCGCGACGGAGTTTCTCGGGGTTATAGTTCTACATACGACTCGTGGTGGCGGTACGACACGCTCGCACTCATCACGACCACCATTATAGACATCATCGACGGGAGTAGACTGCTAGAGTCCTCTTGTACCCATCAAGTATTCACACCATGTCAGCTCCAGAGGTATTTCAGCTCTCTATGGGTCCCCTCACGGGGGTGGCTTTCAGTCCTGATCGTTCTCGTGAGTACCCCCTGCTCCACGTCATCACCTCCTCTCCATTCCGTCCGTACTCTAACTTCGAGTCTCTACAGCTATCATTGGTCTCATGATCTACCTTCACTCTCATGGTATCTACTAATGCTCCACGAAGGTTTGTTCCCCATTCTGACTATGCAGAGGTAGCTGTGTCACCCAACAGTAACGAGGCACAGATCTACACCAAGGTTGGAAATGAATGGGAGCTGAAACAGACCTTAGCCGAGGTCCGTCTTTCATTTCTCCTTCGTGTTTCAGTATCTTCAAGAAGACTGAGTGGAGCTGACTCGTAGCACGACAAACTCATCACTGCCATCTCCTGGGCGCCACAGACCAATCGTATCGTCACATGTTCTCAAGATCGCAATGCCTACGTCTGGACTCCAGTGGGAGACGCATGGAAACCTGCCCTTGTTCTTTTACGTATTAATCGAGCCGCTACCAGTGTTAAGTGGTCTCCAAGGGAAGACAAGTTCGCCGTCGGATCGGGAGCTCGGACCATCGCCGTTTGTTCATTCGATGAGGAGAACAATTGGTGGGTAAGCAAACATATCAAGAAACCTCTTCGTACGACTGTCTTGAACATCGACTGGCATCCCAACAACGTCTTGCTGGCGGCAGGTGCGGCGGATGCCAAGGCTTATGTGTTCTCGGCGTTCATCAAAGGCGTGGACCAGAAGTGAGTGAAGCTTTGACATCTACCACCTCATCAGTGCTGCTCGAACCCCGTTCATAATGTACGGAAAGACGGGATCTCAAAGACGAAGTGTGGAGGTTCATGCGACGGGGATAAGCAAGGTGCAGTACTGATTCTCAGACCTGAGCCCACTGTCTGGGGCGACCGTTTGCCATTCGGTACCATTTGCGGAGAATTCTCCAGTCCTAATGGTGGTTGGGTTCATGATGTTGCATTTTCTCCCTCCGGTGACGTGCTCGCTTTTGTCGGTCAGTGGTCCTCTGGAGACATAATTCGAAGCTTATTAATCAGGTCATGATTCCTCCATTTCCATCATTTACCCTTCTGGACCCGGTACTCCACCTACCGCTCACATCTCTATCCGTCTCCCATCACTCCCATTGCTGTCTCTGACCTTCACCTCTGAAGCACAAATCATCGCTGCAGGTCACGACTGTCAACCCTTGGTATTCAGTGGCTCGTCTTCCGGCTGGACCCTCACTCACTCGCTCGACGACCCCTCCGCCACTGGCACTCGAGCCCTTACGCCTTCGCATACTGGTTCCCGAGTATCTTCGGGTGGTCCGGGCAGACTCAACAACGAAGCCTTCCAGCTATTCAAAGCTGCAGATTCGAGAGGTCAGAGCAAAACAGCTATCGGATCTCCGACCAGCGCGGGCATGACCCCAGTGGGACAAGATGGGTTGTTGTTGACAGTGCATCAGAACTCCATCACCCTCGTCGAGCCATACGAGTGGAGCAGCACAGGCGATGTGGCCAAGGTGTCCACGGCAGGGAAAGATGGAAGGCTGGTTGTTTGGCCTGTGGTAGGCAAGGGATTATCTGGCAGGATGGCAGGGTTGTCGGTGTAACGGTTCGTACGTCTCTGTCCGGCCTTCCACATTGGACAAGTAAGCAGAATACGAAGGGGGGCGATGATCAACTTGTGTGAAAGTGGCAGTGTTAGACGATGAAAGGATGAACATACGTCATGACAAGAATTTCTCGACGTGCTACTCTCTCCATTGACATGCTATGAGATGCACCGCTTACTAGATCCATCTCGATTGAAGGCTGTCTCGGCAATATGTTTAGTGGCTGATCGATCTTGGCTCATCCACCCATGCCACATCACCGACGACGATGGACGATGCTAGAAGTCGCCTCGTTCCTTTCTACTCCTCTCACAGCATCTTTTACCCCTTCAGAGGAGAGGTCGTTCATTGAGATGTGAGGATAAAAGGCGAGTGAGGACTGATGATTTCCCCAACCCCTCAACGGTCACTCGACCAACCACACAACACTCGGTCTTCGGGCCACCAAGCTTTTACACAACTAGGAGACTCGTATCAATTGTCATCATGGGTAGAGATAAGGTAAGTCAATCCCCACTCACACAGTAGGCCATCATGTCTTTCTACAGGATGATATAAGGAATCTTGGCTGATCAGACAGTCTGGTGTCGTACGCGAGACGACCAAGGAGAAGCGCCAGAAAGCCAAGGACGCAGCGCGTAATGACGAAAGTCCCTCCCCGAACAAGGGCAAGGGCGGCAAGAAGGACAAGAACAAGGAGAACAAGCCTTTAGTCTCGCCTACTGACAGTGACAACAAAGACGCTTGAGGCGGATGTCCTCTCGTCGCGAGATCCTTGAGATCTTACAGGTGTGCCGGCGGAATCCGCTTCTAAGAGCCCATGAGAGATAAACGAGAGAGATGATGAGGATGATGATGCATTTATTCGATGGGAGCTGTCTCTCCTTCTACATCTGAGGGGTGAACAGGTGGAAAGTTGACCAGTTTTTCTCTGCGCGATCAGCTTTCTGTCCTGTCCCATTTTGCCGCAAAAACACCCTGAGCACATTCCTCATAAGATTCAAAGTAAGAAAGACTCTCTACCGTCGCAGCACGAAAACACCCGCATATCTTTATTCGGATAATTGTGATGGAAAGCTAGAAGTGAAAAGATGGATCATTGGGACACTCTAGATGGAGAATTGCAAAAGAGAAGCCACTCACGTCCTCAAATCCCATACATCCTCTGAACTACCTTCGAGCCTTCTACTAGCCCACCAAGCAGCACGTCTCTTGATCCATAATTGTCTCTTAGCATCCTCCGTCTCACCTCGTAATGATAGACAATATTTGAAGTCTTGTAGTTTATGAGAACAATCTCGTAGTTCACCATGTCGATACATGTTCCGGATCTGGGGTACGAGAGCTGTCATGTTATCTCCTATCCTTCCTCTTCTCTGTCGATTTCCAACCCCCCGACAACCTTCATCAGAGTCTATTCCCACTATTCATGGATATGATCATCAGTCTCAGCTATGCACCTAAATCCTCTTTTCCGCTCTGAGAATTCCATTCATGTTCAGTCTGTGGTGCACTCTTGCTGAGGACGTGTGAAATAAGGGGAGAAGAGACGTACCATAACACATCAAGAACTCATCCCTGCCATCAGCACGCATAATACATAAGAAGATGAGACACAACCCACAATAGTCGCATACATCCTGGAACATCATCCACTGATTGATATTGCAGAGCTTGATATTTTTCTTCATCCTTCAAGATTATTTCCGACCGCCGTGGAGACGTTGTCGACTTTGAAGGTCCAGCTTGTCTGGATGGATCTTCAACCATTGTTTGAGTCTCCATCGGAGCTGTAGAGAACAAACTCCACCTCATGCTCGTTGTAGCCTGTTCTTGTACAATAAGACTTGCAAAGTTGTCCTTCACTATTCTTCTGCCCATCAACTTACCCAAACCTACGTCACGTGACCGGCATCGCCTCGCCACACTCCTTCGACGTTCAGCGAACCGAGCGTCATCCCATCCCATTCCCACCCAACTTCACCTTCCTCATCCCACAACTATTCCTATACTACAAGTCATGTTCTCAGCAGCTCCAAACCCTTATGACGAACTTGTTGGTAAGTCTCCCATTTGATCGGGTGACAAAGCTGATTCCATAGGTAAAGCGACCGATGAGAATCTCGCGTCCGAGGATTGGGCTTTGAATCTTGAAGTGTGTGATAAAGTCTTGAGTGAGGGTCAGAATGGGTGAGAGACATTCCTCTTGTGCCGTCTTTGATGGAAAAGTATATGAGCTGTGTGGTGATCGAGCATGTTAAGGAGGTCTACTGTAGATGATGAATCGGGTGGTGGGCTGTAGAGTGAGGAAAGGAAGGCCAGACGGCGAGATGCTAATAGAACAGTTCGAGACAGGCGGTGGCGGCATTGCAAAAGAGATTGGCTCATCGGAATCCCAACGTTCAACTATATGCTCTAGAGGTGCGTATACATGCTCACCACACTTTCACTCATGCGATCGAGACTCCACACGTCTGCAAAAGTATCGCCCTATATCGGGCTGTCGGCGATGAAACTGTTTGAGACTTTGACGATGGACGTGGAATGACACAGGAACCAATGGACATAATTGACATGATCTAGTTGGCCAACACCCTGGCGCAGAATTGTGGCAAGTCGTTGTTGGAAGAATTATCGTCACGCAATTGGACATCTGCCCTGGATCGTCTTGTCAACGATAGAGTGAGCACATTGATTATTGACGTTCTGAGCTCACCTCGCAGACGACAAACGCTCTCGTCAAGAAGAAAGCCCTGGCTTATATCAAAGCATGGGCTAAGCAATTCGAGGATACTGGAGATCCCAATCTTGGTCTCATGGGAGAATTATACGATCAGCTACGAGCCAAAAGTGAGCTCACCGCCCTTCTCTCGGTATATTGTTGACTTTTAGATATGCAATTTGACGATGTTGAGCCTGTCCCAGAGAACACAGTGAGCTGGAAGCTCGTTTTGAGATATGAGCTAATCACTAGGATGACCTTCGTCGGCGAGCGGAGGAGGAAGAGCTCCAAAGAGCCTTAGAGATATCCAAGCAAGACAAAGGGGGACGTTTCAACCCCCCATCGTCATCCGCCAACACCGGTGGATCCTCATCTCAACCGTACCCTCCTACTCGATCTCAGCCCGTACAACCAGCTCCAGTACAACCTACTATTCCTTCACCAGAGCTGGTGCCCGTATTGGACCTGAACACCGCCACGAGAGTCAGGGCGTTGTACACTTTCACCTCGGCCGAAGTCGGCGAACTCAATTTCGAACGAGGAGACATCATCAAGGTTCTCGATAGGGGTTTCAAGGAATGGTGGCGTGGAGCTTGCAATGGAAAGATTGGGGTCAGCTTCTCTTCTCAACAAGGTTGGTGTGATAGCTGACCCCAAAGATCTTCCCGGTGACATATGTGGAAGCTATCCCAGAACCCTCACCGCGCGAGCTGCAGGAAGAGGCGCAAGAGGAGGCCAGGGTTTTTGCTTCTCTCGGTAAGCTGCCTTATGCCCAATTGTCTAAGCTGACAAGAAAGGTCTGGTCGACCAACTGCTCAAGACTTTGAAAAGTGTGGACACTTCACGCGGAGATCGTCTGGATGATCGGCCCGAGATTGAAGAGATGTATCAGGCTAGTGTAGCTCTGCAAGGGCAGATCAACGCTCTCATCAAGAAATACTCAGACCAGAAAGGTGTGTATAGTTTCATTCACTAGACTCGCAAGGCTGACAGAAAGCGGAGTTGGAACATATGAACGCCAACTTTCTACGAGCCATGAGGCAATATGAAGAGCTTCGTGGTCCTCCCATGGTGGCTCCTCGTATGTGTTCCAGTTTTACAGACTTCTTCCTCTGACTATTCAGAATATCCCTATGGTCCCCAGTACGACACCCAAGCCTCGCAGCAGCAATACCAAGCGCCACCTTCTCAACCTTTTCCTCCGCAGTCGGCGCCTCAGCAATACCCTCCTCAACAATATCCACCTCAGCCTTACGCCCCGGACCAGCAAATCCCTGCTCAAACTTATCCACCACAATCTTCCGAGTACGGTCCTCATGACTACCAGACCCAGCCTCAACCTCCAGCACAAAGCCAGACGCAGGCGTCATTCCCCAATCCACACCCTATGGCACCTCCCATGCCTGCTCAAACCGGTGAAGCGGTGCCAGGGCAGTATTACGCTCATCGTCCTCTCTCTCAAGTCGGCTTACAACGTGCTCCCACCGGCGCTCCGGACCTACCACCCCATAGCGTGGACATGAGAGGGAGACAAAGTACCGAACCTGGCGCAGCGGGAATAGGAGCGACTTCTGACGAACATGCATCGGCTTGGGAAGCGTTCTATCGTCAACAAGCAGAGGCGCAAGCTCAAGGGCAAGGTCAAATGCCTATACCACCCGTTCAAGGAGTGCAAGGACAGGGACAGGGACAACAACCGTATCCTGCCGTTGCGGCTGGACAGTATGTGCATCGCCTATGGATCTCCACGAAAGGGTGGCGTCTACGCGGGCAGTGTGACAATGTGGCGGGACAGGTGAACAGATTGAGCGTGCATGGATCATGAGGATGGGAATGATTTGGGTGATGTGTGTGAACGATGAGTGTGATTCAATAGACCTCGTAGTGACCCTCGGAACTCATCAGAGGTCTGAATGAATCTCAAGTAGCTATCTTGCGTGCACTCTGCTTCGTTCTTCATGCTATATAGTCAGTCACTGAGCACAACAACTGACGGTGGACTCTGCCAAATCAATCCCCCCACTTAACAAACACGCGTCTGACTTTTCTCCCGCGACCAAGTTCAACTTCTCTTCTGTCTACAGAGGCGTTGGCATCCAAGCAAATCTTCCTCTCACACAATAGGGACGACCTTCGTAGTTCACATCGGACCAGGCGGATCACACGTAGCGGATCATACCCAGAGGTAAGATAACGAGGAGGATGCCAGCTCCAAAAGCAACAAAGAAGGTGAGTGCCCTCTCACCTCAGTACCATCTGTTGAGATTGGCTGATGTCAGTCGGGAAAAGAGAACGCGCCCTTGACAAAGTCCAGGGTGATCAAGGGTAGGGACGAGGGTATGGATGACGATGAAGGGTCAAGTGAGTCTCCGTTTTCTCCTACTATGATCCCACTTGTCAACTTTAGGTCCAGTCCTCCCCATTCTTTCGTATAGACTTATGGACTTGCCTCTATCCCCTTCCCACGTGAATAGACGATCTTATCTCGTAAAGCAAATTCAATGCTCAGAGAAGACCTCATAAGTAACAGCCATAAATGGTGGTCTTAAGAGCGTGATCTCCGTTGCAGGGAGAGAAGAGCTGATGAGTAGATGTAGACGAAGATGGTCCTGGCAAAAGACCACCCAGCAGTCAAGGAGGCATTACAGGATCCAAGATTGGGAAAGTTAAGGGAAAGTCGGAAGATGGAGTGGATGAAAAGAGTTCGGGAGAATTACAGAGGAAGTTTATGGCTGTGGGTTTTTCAATCTGCTCATTACCTTCATCCCCTTGTCAATTGTGGTACAATAGTATCAAGATCACCCCCATTCCGCGAGATATCTCAAATGCGTGGAATACGCTGGCTTTTTGTTTTCCATCAATCCACATTTTAAATTTCCACGAAACTCGTCAGGGTGATCTTGTCTGATATGCTACCGGTTTCCCAGATCTAGTATGGAGGCTGGGTGCCCCGATGAGTCATACACAGGGGCATGAGAAGTGCTGACACTCAAAGATGACAGCGGAAAGAGATCGAATACGCTCACAACGAGATACATTCGCTACGCAGTTCGAGGAACTGAGCAATTTACGAAATACGGAAGCTGAAGCTCTTTTTGACAAATTTCGGTCTAAAGCGGAACAACATGCCAGAGGTGAGCTATCCCCGCATTTACTTTGTACCTACTTAGATGTCCCTATACACAGAAGACCGTTGTTCTACATCTCAAAGGAGAAGGTTAATACGTGGGGATCGCGACTGATCTAATAGCCCAAACAGACGTCATCTCGAGTCTCACGGTACATAATGAAAAATTGCAAGAAAAGATTGCGTCTTTGGAAAAAGCTTTGGCCTCCGTGCCCGCTGGTCTTCCATCAGCTGGAGGGGTGTTCGAGGCTGCTGCTTCCAAAGAGGGATCAAGTAATAAAGATAAGGAAAGGTTGGAAAGACGAGAAAAGGAGATATTGTCGTTAAAGGATGAGCTGGCGAAGACTCAAGCGAATGTGAAAGAACGTGAAAGCAGGAGTATGTCTTCTATCTGCTTCTCCTCTTCCGAAGGCCACACAGTGACTCGTACCTTCTATCCGTTCATGAGAGGTAGCCCACGGATACATTCAAAACCAGTCCTTTCGAATATCTCTGTACTGAGATTGAACAGATTGATGTATCAGCAATAATTTGAGGTTGAGCTAACTCTCAGTCTCACAGCTCGAACGTGACTACAAAGCTGAAGTGGCTCACTCTCGCTCTCTCCAGGCATCTTCCAATCGGAATCCTCTGGCAGCTTCCGTATCCACAACACCGGAGGAAGCCGACAAAGACGCTCAAAGTTTGAAGCTATACGAAGACTTAACAGATCTCAATATTACGAATGTCAAGATCAAGACTGGAAAAGCGGGAAAAGAGGTGACATTCATTTGCGTGCAGACTGTCGAGGGGAGAAGTATGTCTTTCTTTCTGTATCCTGTTCACTTTTCGTCGTTATCGCCTCCTTGCTGGTATTTTTTTCGATCCTACTGGCACTCCTGTGTCATCATGATGTGACTACATCTGACTCCCAGGTCTCAATTTCAAACTTCGAGCATATAACGAACCCGATCCTTCTCTCGTAGGTAAGGGTGACAATCCGTGGATCAAAATGCTCCTCTACACACCCGAAGGACTAGAGTACGAAGATCCTACATTCAAACAACGGTTGGGATTCTTTGCTAGTGAATTTGTTGCTCCCCGCGACCAGGCACAGGGATTGTGGGAGAGTTTGAAAGTGAGGATAAGTCCTAATGGGGAAGTGGGGGATGATGAATGATCACAAAGAGAGGTTTGGGGCATGGTGATGTTTTTCTTTGTTTTTAGACCATCTCTTGGGGAATCTGTTGTATGGTTGTCTTTGCTTTACGCTCTTATGCAGGGTTTATCAGTGTTCTCGTTACCTTGTCAATGGTTGCATGCTTGCACTTGGTTATAAAATGTGCGATGAAATATTCTGACGAGACTTGTGAAATCACGTGACTTGAAATTTCCTTCGAACAACTTCTCGTTGATCGCTGAACTTTCTTCTTTTTACCTAACTACGAAGACTTTTTACCATGTCGATGCTTAGAACAGTGTAAGTCTTTCCTCGGAACCTTTTAATGGCCGTGCCTACCCTGTCTAAATGTGTATTGTCCCCCCTCTCATCGCTATTGAGGTAGTCTCCGGCCAGTCCAGAGCCGCTGAAAGAGTCATGAACCAGAGACAGTGAGATCGAGCTGATACTTAGTAAACCAAAGAACGCTCGTGTGAAACGTGCTTTGGAAAAAAGAGAACCTCAATTGATAGAAAATGAGAAGACTGCCATATTCGTCAGAGGTCAAAATACTAGTCAGAGAGTGAGAGATTGTATGAAAGATTTGGTATGTTAAATCCTTTCTTTCCCTTTTCTTATCCTTTCCCTCTTCTCACGTTCCTTCTTCCCTACTCCACTTGTTACCATTCTTTCTCCCTTCTCACGCGATTCTTTCTCAATCCGTAGATATCTACCAACTCCTCCCTCTCTGACACATATCTGCTCGGCGATTTCTTCCTCGCTTGACTGACCCCACAGTACGCACTCAAAAGACCTCTGGCTATCAATTTTTCTCATAAGAATGACGTTCATCCATTCGACGATACCTCCTCTTTGGAATTCTTCGCAAGGAAAAACGATGCAAGTCTCCTTATCACAGGTTTACACAGTAAGAAAAGACCACATGATTTAGTTTTGACTAGGATGTTCGATGGGAGGGTTTTGGATATGTTGGAATTGGGTGTGGAAGGGTTCAGAGCGATGTCGGATGTTCCAGTGGGTGTTGGGGATTTCTTTGTCTTCTTGGGTTCTCTTCTTGTCCTCCCCTTCCCTCTACATTGCCTGTCACTTAACACACAAGTGAACACGCACTCTTTTTTACAGGCTTAAGTATAACCAGTCTCACCCGAATATACCATTTTTACATATCTCATCCGTGCTGCTTTTTTGTGGATTAGTTTCCACACGTTTTTACAGCAGTGGATCACTGCCCAAATCTTCTATATCACTCGAAACGGAAATACCCTTCGTTGCTTGCTGTCATTCAATATCAGTGCCCGGTCCCCAAATCTCTACGTTTCTATTATTCTTTTAAAACTCGTGTAAAGCGGAAAGTTTTGCTAACTTCAATAGAGCGTTAAAAGTTCTCTTGGAGCCAGACCACTTATAGTCTTCCATTCCGATCTTTTCGATACTCATCCCTCATATCAACTTCTTAAATCCTTCTTCTTAGATATCTACAACGGTCATTCCCTATCCGAACTCCCCTTAACATCTATAGAACATGTCATCTCAATCACAGCCTCTCCTCTTCCCTCTTCTACCACTACCACCTCTGAAGCAGCGTCACAAAACCCTGCTTTGATTCATTTCAGAGTATACACGATCAAACTATCGTCATCAGGAACAAAAATCCCTGAAATGCAATTGACTGAAATGGGACCTTCTATCGACTTTACAATTCGAAGAACCAAAGAAGCCGAGGATGAAATGATGAAAATGGCTTTGAAACGTCCTAAGATAGATAAGAAAGATGTCGAGAGTGGTTTGGGTAAGAAGAGGAAGAATATAGAGACTGATGAAATGGGGGATAAAGTTGGAAGAATACATTTGGACAAACAGGATCTGTCAAAGTTACAATCTAGGAAGATGAAGGGGTTGAAGAAATCTCGAGGGTGATAGATGTTTAAAAGATCATATTTGTGGGTACATGTTTGATGCAAGGATTTCTTTTCTTCACTGCCGAATCAAGCTTATGAGCGTACAGTGCATTTGGGGATCAGAAAGTAATTATGCACTTTCGTCAGTTGACAGAATTGGACCGAAACCCAAGATAATTCAAATTCATCTATCATACCCAAGATATTCCACAATTCCGATAATAATCTAATCTACCAAGCAGCTTCTGGGTCATAAGGATAAAGACTCGTCCAGTGATCGCTGCATGTTAGCCTGATCCCTGTGGTAGATATCCCGTGATGCACAGTACGTCCAAGGTTCATTGTCACATGGAATAGCTGTGTAAAGATGTGAAGAACCCCGTGAGTTGTATGACACTCCAGGCAAGACGAGCAAAATATATCACGAGGCGACCAAGATGGAAAAAACACTCACGCGATAGCTTCACGAGTAGTTACCCAAGCTCCTTTAGCTTTGAGATGGTCAAGGAAACGAGTAAGGGCACCAATACGTGCTGGTTTACCGATAACACGACAATGAAGACCGATAGTCATCATCTGTGAATTAGTATTTTTCCCATTTTCCCCATATCCATATTCAGATCATCTCCTCATCTTTACACCCTTCTCCCAACTTTCAGTATACTTGCATTTCGCCATGTTTTCTCTTACGCGATCCAAGATGATTGGGGAATGGTCAGATATGAGAAGGAAAAAACTTCAACTCACTTTGTCGGTTCCGGTCCGCTCGGCCTCTTCCCAAAGTTCGTCGAAAGCAGCGATCAAATGGTCGCCGTAGACTTTAGGGGAACGCCATCCGTTAGGTCGGGAGAATTTCTCTCCGTCAGTGCTGAGTCTATAGGGTACCTGTATAGCTTCCTCATCAAATAGCGGTTGAGCATGACTAACTGTACTTTGGTGTACATGTCACATAAGATCGCAAATGATTTAGGATGGATTCAAAAAAGAAAGTCACGTAATCGTTGTTATCATAGGAGTACGGCAAGCAGAGCATCTTTTCGTCAATTTCCTCCTTTTACTCATGATACGACTCATCTGCCAATCTTCCTCCATTGTAAACATCTGATGATTCCATAAAATATCAGGGTAAAGGATGAAGAGAATCAGACGAATCAAATGTGGTAGATTAGGCAAAGAGGTATGGGACGGATTATGAGATATGAATAAGTGGGGAAAGGAGATGAAGAAAAGCTTGCGAAGCTTCACTCACCCCTTCATCTTTTTTACCACCTGGTCGAGGACGCCAATGAGGTACATCATCAGAATACAAATCAGACCACCATTTGATAGGTGGAAGACCGAGCTTTTTGTATTCCTCCAAGACGAGGTAAGACGATTCGGCAGAAGGTCTACCGTAGAACCATCCGACTGGTGCGGGACCTTGAGACATCCAGACTTTGAGACCTTCACTGGGGTGTCAGATTTCACATCATTCGTTGCCAAAAGTATGATAATCGATCAATATGGTACACCTAGGTGAAAAAAGTAATATTCACTGCTACTTTGCGAGGAGTAGGATGTAGACTTTGATGGGTACAGGTATGAGGTCATCTGAGGAGAGGAATCTGCAATTAGGGGGAAAATCTGTATAACTCACGCAATTTGGGCGGATTCTTCCTCTGCGGGAATAGTAGCATGTTGAATCCATCTACCACCGTGAGAACCACATTCGAAACCATACTCGAGTGCTTTCTTCGTAACATTAGGGCTTTGAGCGAGAGCGGAAGCTACGCCATACTGGGGGATCAGCACTCTTTTCACTATCCTCTCAACATCAAAGCCTTGAGAATCTCTTCCTAAGACATACCTCTATCGCTGAGAGTATCACAAGGTATGACATGTAATCTGATCTCGATGAAACGACCAAAGCGTCTCTCAAGTCTGCGCGACTTGGAAGATGAGATACATACACGAGATACGACAGGGGAGGGCGGACGAGTAGTAGAAATCACGCACAAGACACAAAACCATACCCCTATCTTTGAAAGCTTTGAAGATTCTCCAAACACCTGCACGGGACCCATAAGAGTATTGACTTTCGACGGCGGGATCCACAACACCGACTTTGGGAACTGATTCAGTGACGCCGTTTTCGTATTCTTGAAATTGACGTTGATGCCATGCGTCGCCATTACGAATGGAGTACTGGAAGTCAGCTGACTATTTTACTCAATAATCCAGTTCAACACATTCTCCAATTTATTTCGCCGCCCCAAGCCGACTCAAGTCATGACGTTGAGTCAAAATGCGATCTTTTGAACAGCGAAGACTGACTTGGTCATAGAGGTGAGAGGGAGAATGCGATGTGAAGTTAGGGTCAGGTGAGGATGAGAGGTGAAAACTCACTTCACCACCTTCTTCATAATTCAGACAGAAAGAAACGGCGACTTTAGCTCCACCTGGCCATTTACCAGAAGGATGTTCTTTCCCATAACCCGCCAAACGTTTGGGTGTACGGTCAAAGGGTGTGATAGGGTTAAGTTCTTCAGACATGTCGGATATGTTTTTCACAGATCTTGCTGAACACTACTTTGGGTCTTCTATTTACTATTGATTCTTCTCACTTTTCACCGTTGTATTGGAGAAAAGAGCAAGATGTCAAGTGAATCGTTCGCAGTGCACGAAGATTAGTGGAAAGTGGAGGAGATAGGTCATTCCGAATATCTCAACATGCCTTTCTTTCACCAATGACGGAATCACGGAAGTCGGCGCCGAAGTGGAATATCATTTTAGAGGGCCCCCCATAGCTTTAAGGACTCCGAGAACCCTAAGTGTGTTGTGGAGAGCGATTTCTGTCAGAGGGGTGAAGAGAGGAAATCGTTATCGATTGGCTGATTAATCAAGGCACCAATCCGGAATTCAACTTCCGTTCTTATCAAATTCAACCTCCACCTCCTCCGGTCCTCAATCTCCGGTTCATCCTTCTCATACTTACAATGTCCCAAACCCGGCGTGAGGGTTCTTTCACTTTGCAACATCTTCACTCTCTTAATATCATTTCGTTGAAAACTGGAAAGTGACAAAGACGAAATGCCTTTCATTTACGAGAAACAAGACGCTTCGAAACTGCTCCCTCAGGATTGGGCGGGGTATGAAGGAGAATGGCCTGATCCTAAATGGCCTGGTGGGGCAAAGATCGCGGTGACTTTTATGATTCACGCTGAAGCTGGTGCTGAAAGGCATCAAGTGGTGAGTTCATCTCGTTGCTCCCCTCGTCGACCAATACACTTTTGAAGGGCAAGAGTTTGCGTAGCGTCTCAAGTCTTTCGCACATTTTTGACTTGAGAGCTAAATCGTTATCTGGTCATTTTCGAGGTCTCTCACTAACAAGTCTAACGGTTGGCCCATGGCCCAATTCCTTTTGGGTAAATGAAGTGTGAGAGAAAAAAAGTTCTACAGTGCTAACGATAAGAACGGTGATCCTTATCCCGAAGCATGGCTGACCGAGAACAATTTCTCAGGTTACGGAAGTCTTCCTCATCGTGGTGGTGTATCTGCTTCCACGGTATACGAGGTGAGTGGGGTTATCAAACCCCCCCTCCCCACACCCCCTTAATCGCTTCTCTTTTCCAACTCGGATATCCGGCTCTCTGTCGAGTTCCATCCCCAGGCATCATCTCACCCTATCCCCTCCAACCCAATCGTTGACACTTTCTTCCCGTGTATTTTATCCCACTTCCCCCTCTTACCCTTCTCCTCCACCTCTCTCTCTTACCTTCTTCCACACTTCTTACCTCCCGCCTATATCGCAACCCAAATTGCATGTTCATACTCACCGACGGAAATCTAACAACCAGTACGAAACCTGTCGTGCATTTTGGAACCTCTTAGACGTTTTCGATCGTTATTCTCTCCCCGCAACCGTATCAATCTGCGGTCGAGCAGCAGAAGTTTTCAAACCTTTCGTGACAGAATCAGAATCACGTCATTACGAAATCATCACAGAAGGTTATCGTTTCATTGATTATTTCGGTGAAGATCCAAAAACCGAAGATGAACATATTCGTAAATCCATCACTGCTATCAAAGAAGCTGGGAAAGGAACGATTGTTAAAAGTTATTATATGGCAAGACCTACACATTTAACAGAAGATATAGTTAGGAAAGCTTTTAAAGAGGAAACTGGAGAAGAATTAAGTTATAGTAATTGTTTTTATGGTGATGATTTACCTTATTGGGGTCCTAGTGGACTTTTGTACGTTCCAATGAGTTTGGATTGTAATGATCAGAGTGGGTTCATTCTCATTTCTTTCCCCCTTATCCTTCAGCGTATGGATATCTTCTTTTGTTCCTCCATTTCTTCATATAATTCCACCTCCACCTTAGGCCTATCAATCAGTATCTTTATCTTTCATCATTTAAGACGATGTGTTGTAGAGGATGATAAAATTTACTTGAATTGTTGATTCCATCTTGAGGGGTCAAATTTCATCGGGTGGGTTGATCAAGTGGTGAGAATAAATGATGGCAAGAAGGAAAGAAAGTGTGGGGTGAATCAATCAACTGACTGACGATTAGAATTCGTATCATCTCCCGGTTTCTCATCCGGTGTAGATTTCTACGACCATGTAGTAGGCGCTTTTGACGCTCTTTACTCTGAAGGTATCGAAGGTTCTCCAAAAATGATGACCGTGAGATTCCCCCTTCTCTTTTCGAATCATGAACTGATGACATTTCTCACAGATCGCACTTCATCCAAGACTCATCGCTCGTCCTGGTCGTCTAGCTTATCTCATCAAAGTCATTGAACATATTCAAAAACATGATGGCGTATGGTTTGCTAAGCGTCAAGAAGTTGCGGATCATTGGAAAAAGGTGCATCCCAAGAAGTAGATTCTCTCCGCTTTCAACAGGCGATTAAGATGAACTTGGCAGGTCGGGGAATATACTGTTTTGGGATGTCTAGATGCATCATGTGAAATTGTGCCCGTCTGCCATTGTCTGACAAAACGAGTACTCGTACCGTCCATGAAGTCCTCAATAAGGGACAAAGGGATTTTACCGAATCAGAACAGAAAACAATAGTTCGACGATCTCGCATAGCCGAGAGGTAGTACAAATATTTACACGAACGAAGATTCCATCCCTATCCCTCCTCCTGTACTAATCTCTCGCTCGAAGTATGTCTCTGACACGAACCGCCATCTCAACTAGCACACACTCAAGTGTCCACAATCAGACTTGCTCAAATTGACCAAACGTATTCTCCGAAGCGTACAGGACGTAGAGGAAGCCTGGGGGTTAGCAAAGGGGCGCACACAGCAGAGAAGATTCCTGACCATCTTCATCCCTGAATGTCAGCTATTTTCTTTTATCTCACGTTTTCTTCAATGCAGATATAGATAGAGGCACGAAACATAGAGACTGAGGACATATGAGAACATGAAATTCTCGTCATCTCAGCATAGAGGATTAATCAGAGGAAGAATCGTATGTATTTGCTGGAAAGAACGAAACTGGGTAAGAGGACATGATAAACAAAACGGCAACCCACTTGTGCTCGTCATAGATCGCACTCATCAACGCCGCAGTTGGCGGCAAGATATCGTCCACAAAGATGAAGATGGCCTTTTCAGGCGCGAGCTTGATTCGTTTCCGGATGACGTAGACGAACTGGCCGACGGTGAGATCCTGTACATGAGTCATCTTCGTGACGGACAGTTCTGACCCATTCGAAGCCTTGGGTGAAAATGCTCGGCTGAGTGTATACCGTATGACAGACCAAGGAGGTATAAAGATAATCGGCGCAATCGGATTTGATTATCGATGTCATGAGGAGGACACGTGATCAGGACAAATGTCGATCATTGCCGCAGAGCACATGTATGGATTGCCAGGAGTACAAAGTTTATGTCGAAAAGAGAATTATAGACGGGAAGAGGGGAATAACCCACAGCAGGTACCAAATACTTCTTCTTGTCAATAGTGGGAATATCGCTCTTCTCCGCCTTTTCGCAGATTACCTATTGCGTCAGCATCTATTCTCTCTCTTTATACCCTCGTGACTCATTCCATCAAGAATGTTCAATCCCACACATTCCATGACTGGATAGAAAAATTAAGCGTCAGACAATTTCATCGACACTGATCCCACTTTTGTATCAAAGGTTGATAAGGGAAATGGGAGAACGCTAAAGACGACTTACGGGAATACGATCTGGATATTTCTGACGAATACGTTCTGCCTCGGCTTTGCGTTTGTCTGTTTCCCATCATTCATTCACAGCGCAACAGGGGGGGACACAAGGATTGCAGTGTATAATCAAACGGAAGAAGGCGAGAGGTGATGTAAGGTCGATTATGAGACGAATGGATAATGTCAAAGTGAATGAAGAAAGTATGGTATCAGCTCAGGTCCATGAATGGGTGAGTATCAGAATAGAGAGGCAAGACTCACCATAAGGATGTTCATCCTTGAACTTGGAACGAACCATGTTGGACGACAGTTGTTGAGTGGAGAGTCAGCTGCGCGTCAGTGGAAGTTTATAACATTCCAAGTCCCAAAGGCAGTCATATATATTCTCATCTCCCCCATCTTCTTCTGTCCAGTACAAATGAGTGAGAAGAGAGATAACTTACATATGTGGCAGACTGAGGGGAAGAGGGAGAAAGAGATGGAAAGAGAGAGAAAGAGATGGATGATAGAAGAGAGTTGAGGGGGTGGCAACTTGTAAACGCGTTGGTGAAGGGGGAATTACCCGATCGGGAGATTTGTGGCACTTTCACCCTTCCTTCTAAGATTCAAGCAATTTTGGTCATGTTCTAACTTTCTTCAATTTCGACTAAGGATCGTCAAACATCTCACAGTCGACTGATAGACGACGTTATGGGAGTTAACAAAGACAAGAGCAAGAAGACTGCTGTCTCCGGTCCGGTGCGATTACAAGAGCGCCGAAAATCCTCGGGGCAAAGCGAAGGGGTGAAGTCTAGGGAAGAAATGTTGGCAGCTTTAGAAGCTCATAGTCGGATGATGTTAGGTTTTGATAATGGGGCAAGTGGTTCCTCTACGCAAATACAAAATAACCCTTCGAACGTATCAAGTACCTCTGAGGACGAGGATGGGGAAGATGAGGAAGATGACGACGTTGGTGATGAGAACGATGAATTTGATGATGGTTGGACACCACAACATGAGGAGCATTCCGAGAGTAAGCTTTGACAATTGGTATGACATGACATGTTGATCAACTAATTGATAGATAAAGTCCCAGAAGTAATCTTCGTACCTCCTACATCTAAATCTTCGAATAATTTGGGGTTGTCAAGTACCGAACGACGTGCTTTTCTTGTGAGTCAAGATGTTTGTCATACGCTTCACCTCCCTGTGCATTCTTCCACCTTCAAATCGTCGACTATCAGATTCTAGTCCGAGTTATCTCTCGGATACTCTCAATGAGTTGCGACGTAAGAGGGGTCTGGATGAATGTGTCTGTCGATTTGAATGAGACTCGCAGTACAAATGCTCACTGCAGAAATCTTCATCTGCCAAAATGATGGGTCTCCAATCTTCTTCTCTCCCTCAACGTAAACGTCGTCAAGCCTCTTCCGAAGAAGATTTAACAAATCAATCATTAGACAAAACACTTCACTCTATGCTTCTCACTACTCTTTTACCCGAATCTACACAACCTTCTCGACCAGTCGAAAAACGTACAGCCATAGCCTCTCGTTTAGCTCAATTGGCATCTTTCGATATTGGACAAGACCCAAGGTCCGGGGAATTATCAAGACATCCAGCTAAGATCCGTACTGGTATTTTACATGCTAGACAAAAACGGGAAGCTGTGCAAAAAGAGGCTGAACGAGCGGCTGGACATGTGAGAGGGTTGAAGAAGGGTAATAAGGTTAATAATGGGAGTAAGAGACTTGGATTAGGAGAAGAAGTTAAGAAGAAAGGTATGGAGAGTAAGAAGGAAGGAAGGGTTAGAGGATTGGGTGGAGGAATGGGGAGGTTCGAGAATGGGATGTTGAAGTTGAGTCAAATGGATATAGCCAAAGGTAAAGGATATGGGAACTCTCATTCGGGAAAGAGAAGACGAAAATGATCAACAATCATTCATGAGACAATGTCAAACAGGGAGAAAATATGCAATGTCATGGATTATACGTGATTGGTCATATGGGCATCTGAGCGTTCAAAATATTTATCAATTCCATGGCTATCCGTTTACCTTCCTAAATTATCAGCCAATATCATACGAGAGAGAAGGACACGTACAAGTAATAAAGGTCGTATTCTATCTAAATCAAGACCGGTCGTGCCTTCTGTACGCATACCACATAATTTGCCAGAACGTCTGAAGTATAGTAACAGACGATCTGGACATGCGGCTTCTTCTTGAGGAGTAGCATCGAGGAAGAGTCCTTGAGAGTTTGGAATCTGATCATGAGCTCTCGTTCCTATGGCTTACGTTGCATAGCGGCGCTGAAATACACAATCTCGTCCATTCAAATCTCACGGGTAATGATCATGTTTCGCATCTCTAATCCGTACGATTCAAGTCGACGATATCCTCAAGAGTCCTCTCCACTACCCCGGTGTCCCGAGAACAGGGTTTTTGGGTAAAAGTTTGTGAAGAGTTCAGAGGGAGGTACAGAAAGGCGCATGAGAAACGACCTACCAGATTTAAAACAACCAACACCGGTAAATCTTCTCTACCTTCCAGAAAAATCTCCCCTCCTGCTAAATCCCACTCTTCCCCTCCCCGTCCCACAGCCCTACTCTTGCCTTTCCCTCCCCTCCCCGCTCTCACGGCAGCTTTGATACCGGATAAATCCTTTTCCACCTCCGCTCCAACATCGCCTTCTACGCCTTCCCAACCTATCCTCTTGGTGATTGGTATTCGTAGATCGCAGAACGCAGCTCGGGCGGCTGAAATGAGTGCGGTGGGGATGCATGCTGAGGATGAAGAGAGGAGGGTGAGATGAAGGTAGGGTATGAAGTATCTATCTATGAGCTCTTCCTTTCTTTTTCATGCTTCCTCGATACTTCCCTACAAGTGATCATACCAGATATGTCTCCAAGGTATCTTAAACTGCAATCGACATATGCGATGCCACAACCGCAATTGATACATTAAGGAGGGGGTTGATATAGGGGATGAATTAAGTGCAAGTGGACTCACTTGGTAGGTGGTAATATAGGTAAAGCTTTCACACTCGGCATAAAATGATCCGATATCAAAGCAGCATACGAATTAGCCAGCCTACTCAGATCTGAAGTCCCAAGATTAGGATAAGCTTGTGGTGTTCTTCTCTTTTCAGCTATTTTTCAATGAAGGAGGAGATGACTCACACATCCACTTCTACCCTCCCTCTCCATGCATCTTTCTTACTTTCCAGAGGGATATCCTCCACTTCTAACCTTATACCAGCTAAGACCTCTGTGGAGCCAATACATACTCTGGCAGAACCGGAAGCTTGGGGGGCCTCACCATAAGAGATTTGAATTGGGAGGGGAGAGAGGAGTTGTCGACCGTCAGACCGTGTGGGATGTGTAGGGTGAGAAAGACCTGTAAGGATGAAAGAACGTTCTGCGGCTGATATGGGAGCTATGGGAAGAGACATTCTGACCTGGGCTTGTTCGTTCTAGTACTGGATCTTGCTCTTGGATCATAGAGTATATATAGATCGTTCACACTCAGTCTGACGTCTTCGAACTTTTCGATGCCCGAGTGAATTTTGATAGCCGTGGGAAAGTTGAGTCACCCTATAAGACGCGTCTTTTCCCATCGTCTGGCAACTTTAGCTTCAGACAATATGCCCCCCAAAAGAACAGCTGCTGGTTCGTCGACACAAGCTACTCAGAAACGTAGGAAAGAATCCACTTCTTCCGAATCTGAAGGAGATGCGGCGCCTAGTACCAGTACTCAGACCGGAAAGTCCGGTACTTCCTCAAATGTTAGTGACACCCCCATATCACCTCACTAGAGTAATGGTTATATGGTGAACAACAACAGTCGTTTCGCTTATTCTCAGACATTGAAAATTGCAGCTGCTAAGTTGGTACGGATGGCGTTGTTTGCAGAGTATCGGACTCTTCCTTTGCGTCGCGAGCAGACGGCGAGGAGCGGTGAGCTTTTCGTTGTCATTTCCATTCCATCCACCTATACTCCCACGATCCTCTATTTCCTCATTTTGTGGATCTACCGGGGTAAGAAGTGTGGGGAAAGGTCCGAGTGGGGGGTGGAGAGGGGATGCGACTGCAGAGTAGACTGATGATAAGTTATACCGTCCGATGTCAGAGCCTTTCCAGCCGTCCTCGACCGGGCGCAAATCATTCTCCGTACGAAATTCGGTATGGAGCTAGTCGAACTTCGGTCTCGACACAAAGGCAATATGTTCGTCAGTGGGGATACTCAATCTCTTCAAACCCAAACCCAAACTCAGATCGCGAAAAAGAAAGGCAGACCTTCTCTGGCGGCGATACAGGAAGAGTCGGAAGATGAAGGGGAGGGAGAGCAACCTCAGACCCAAGCGGCTACCCAGGCGAAAAAGACGAGTAAGTCATCGTTGTCTTCCATGCTCTCATCACAATGTCTCTCATGACTGTGATTGAGTTGAATAGCATGTCGGACAGATGCGAAGGCTGGCGAGATGCATGGAAAGAACGAGTGGTGGATGGTTGAAGTCCGGGTTGGATGTTCTGGCAGTATGGGAAACTGATGAGATAGCGACTGGAACCAAAACATATGTTCTTCGATCTGTCCTTCCAGCAGAACTATTGGCACATATGTCAATCCCTGATCCTCTGCCATTGAGAGATGACGACGAGAGAGTAGAGAATGAAAAACCGGATAGTGGTGCGTTACTGAGATGGGAAAAGGCGGCAGGGACAGTGAGTGCCCATCCGGCGTTGTTAGGAGTGAGAACCGTGGTTTTGTGTTTGGTTCTGTGCTTGGGAAGGGTGGTAGGGGATGGTGAGTGATAGCATCTATATCAATCTCATGCGCCAAACCAAAACTGTCAAATTCATTTGGACTCCGTGTGCTTCCACAACTGCTGTTGTGTCTATTTCCCGTTACCTCGAGTCCTGGAACGTCCGAGCCGAGACACATTCGCCTGTCAATGGCATAGGAATTCATCGATTTTTCACACCACCCCGATGCCCACATTGTGTCACTATGATCTCGCAAACGAAGTAGGTACAAGTGTAAAGGTAAAGTCGGTCTAGGTGGTAGGAGTAAGAAAAGACGAATGGTTCGGTGCTGATCATCAAGACCACCTTCATGCCCTTCTTCGTAGACTGAACCTCCAACGAGACACACTCTTACCCTTTACTTCGCCCGATTCCAAAGAATCTTATCTCACTCTGGACAAATATCTCGATCTACTCTCTAAACAGAATTACCTCGAGAAGATCAAGTTGCCATCAACCGGTGGACCCTCTGAACAGACTTATGAATGGAGATGGGGTTCTAGAGAATCGGAGTTTTCAGAAAAAGACGCAGCGAAGTTCATTGCGGATATGTGAGTATCATCATTTTTCTCCTCTCACCCTCATCTGAACCCCACCTCCCCTGTCCCGCTTCCTCCGTCACACACTCTGTTCTCCATCATCCTTTTCCCTCAATTTTCATCGTCATCATCTCTCTCTTGAGTATTAATGTGCTCAATAGACCTGAAGCGATCGACTACGTTAAGAAGTCAAAGAAAGTAACAGAATCTGACCCCCAGTCTGATAGATGAGAACCAAGATGACGATGATGAACCAAGACGTACGAGAAACGCCACTCGAGGTGAGGAGAGACCAAGTGTCGTTGATCAAAGAAAACGTCTTCGGACGGATATCGAACGTTCTGCTGGTGGACCTTTGATGGGGGATGATTGGTAGTGATCTAAGAGAATTATGTTATGCAACAACTGGGAACTGTGAGCTTGTCGTTGCAAAACCAATGCATGTCAGTACCACACACAACTAAAGTCTTCAAGTTGACTTTGGCTCGACCCTAATTTTTATCGACAACACCAGACTATGAAGCTTTGTCGGTTTCATACTGTTCTCTATGTATTGTAGCTGAAGATGATCTTACTCCCTCACTCGTTACAGAGTCCAAAGTGTGCAGGGGACGTAAGAACCAAGACTACATATTCATATTGACAGTACTCGTATTCACAACAATATATATATTAAATATCTCCATCACTTTTCTTTTCATCTCAATCAAATGGTGTAACAAAAGGATTCCCTCTTTCTTCCCTTACCCCTTCTCGTTCTTTATCAGCTTGACGTCTTTGTAAACCAGCAAAAACAGCTGCTAATGCCGCAGTACCAGTTTGTACCCTACTAGCATTTTCGACAGTAGGTTCTGAAAACCAACTTTTATCACTCGAAGTTGGTGATACCACAGTCTCCCTTGACCTTACCCTTTCTCTCTCTCTTTCCTTTTCTCCTACTTTTCCGAGATATACATTCTTTCCATCTTGTGGATATCGATGTTCTTGATTTTGAGGTAAGTTAGAAGAATGAGAATGAGAAGAATGATCTTCTTCCCAACTTCTATATAATTCTTCTTCAGCTTCCCAATCTAATTCAGGTGAATCAAGTTGATCTATTGAATCATGTTTCCCTTCAAAACCTTTACTCCCTTTACTCCCACCGTCTATCCTGTCGAACGTTCTGGGTTGGTCGTATCTGGATTGAGAATGTTGAGTAATGGAAAAATTTGGAACATCTTTTTCTGGTAATGGTGGTAAATCGTATGCACCAGGTATTATCGTACGTGGTATTGACATACCTTCGTATAAAGTTGGAGCTCTTGACATTGGTCGAGGATATACTGATTTTGATTTTGTATTCTGTTGTTGTTGTTGTTGGAGAGATTGAGGATTTGATGAAATGAATGGATTTGAAAGATTTGGTCGAGCATCTAAAGGATATCTAGAATCGGAATGATTACCAGAAGAAGTTTCCGATTCTATCTTTCTTATTGATATAGGATCAATCATACTCCATCTACCATATTCTTCATCTGCAAATGGACCTTCTCCTTCTCCTACTCCTTCTTCTCCATTTCCTTGATAATCATGATGCTCTCGAGGAGTTACAGGATTAATACCGAATGATCTCTCAGTTCTTTGACTAACATTACGATCCAAAGCTGCTCCATGTTTCATACCCCTTGTTGGAAACATACTTTTAGCAGTTTCTACAGCTCGATAAAATTTGTTTACCCAAAATGGTGGAGGTGATTCCAAATCATCTTGTCTCATCATATTACTTGTTTGAATAGGGTTTGATGATGAATTATATATTTCACTACTACCATGTTGTAAACGTATTTTATCATCGTTAAACTCTCTAGGTATATTTGAAGAATTACGCCATCCTGTCATTTTGAGAAAAGCTTGACCAGGAGCAGCTAAAGAAGTTATAGAGCCAAATGTCGTTTTACGTCCTTGTGCAGGTCTTCTAGATCCAGATGGATCAATCTCCATGATTTGAGGTATAGGTGGTGTATTTCCTCTAAATATCTTATCTTCGTTATATTGTTCAGCTATTGGATTACCTCCCGTCCAACGCCATTGACTTTTGTTCACTTCCGAAGTCTGTTCTTTTCCTCTCCAAGAAGCATAACGATCTTGTAATCCAGAATGCCACAAAACGACAAAGAGACCGATTAGGAATAGAGCGACATAAACCCCCAATAGGATGGCGTAGAAATTACGTTCGACTCGTAAGGCTGATTCGAAGTGATCGATGAGACTGCCGACAGCTCCGGTATTGGAAGAATTCGATGAACTAGGAGAAGAGGATCCCACTGCGGCGGAGGTGATAGGAGAGACCAGTTCGTTCATGCTGCTGTTGGAAACCATCAGGACGTTGGTGGGAAGGGTCGGGAGGACCACTTGAGCATGTTGAGAAACCCAGGTAAGACCTTGTTCGAGGTTAGTGATTTTAGATCCTAGAATACAATAGACGAAGGTGTTGATGGGGTTGTATAAGATTGTGCCTCCAAAAGTGGAGTTGAGAACTGGAAGGTCAGCAAGCGATCTCCTGGTCACTTTTTCGAAGATGAGTTCAGAGCTATGGCCAGCAGGACGATTTGTAGAGGAGGGAGGTGAGAATGGGTGCAAAACTCACTCGACTCGATCTCATTGTAAAACTCCACCAAGGTGCTGTTTAAAGTCACAGCAGTCGTATTGATCCAGCTGCCGAATAACTCTTCATTGATCCGAGCCTCATACACATTAACAGCGGTGTTGAATTGATTGGCGTAGCCCAAACTCGAGTTCTGTGCGGCTGCGTTGAGCTTCGTGATCAGAGCATTTGTGGAAGCTGTGACGGTCGCGTTGGCATTTTCCTGAGCGTGGGTCTTGATTGCGTCCAAGGCTAGCAGCTGGAAAGACAATGCGATGAGTCCAAGAAGAGAGATGAACAAGAGAGTTAAATTCGTCGGATGGGCGAGGTAAGATGCTACGAAATTAGCGGCACATCTCATGACGACTAGCAGAACTCACCGAACCACCTGAGATTATTCTTCGTTCGCTCCGTATGGAAGAATCTGTCCAATACTCTAGACGAATATTTATCCAAAACAGGATGCTCAACAACAGCCACCATCCTCCAAGCATTCCTTTGACCTCTGTCCCACTGCTGCTGAACAGCGTCCACTGTGTCCTTCATCACTTTCCACCTGTGCCATTCCCACACGCATAGAGCCGCCCAGGCCAGGAAAAGCAGAAGGAACATGAGTCCTATAGCTACACTACTGAGCTTATGCAACGCATTGGCGGTATCGTCAATAAGGCTCGTGTCCAGTCCATTGCATAACGAGTCGCTGAGACTTTTGGAGTCTTGTGCTGACAAAGATTGTAATGAGGGAACGGGAAGGATGGAAGAGTTGAACGATGCAGCCATCTCGATCCGTGATGCGTTGATAGATGTCTTTAAAGCTTCGAAAGGTGTGTCGAGCAAAGCGGTCATTTTGTCCCGGAGTGTATCGAGAGAGGGGATGGAGGAGTTGAGTTTGATCAATGAATCTTCGAAAGATGTAGGGATGGTCACATTTTCCAGAGCAGATAAGGAGGGTATGGAGAATTCGGGAACGGAAATGGTGACACCGAGATACGAGGAGACAGACTGCGAGTTAGCAGTCATGGTCATATCACGATAGCTGATCTGTGCATTGGATACGGGGGATAGCTGAGGCCACACAAAGATGTGACAGAGTGGGTAGAGGGACTCACGTTCAGTTTGGTGACGGCTGTTTGTATGGCAGAGTTTGCTGAGGCTATATCATTCTGGATGCCTGTTCGGACGCTGTTCATCGTTGAAGTGATATTATCAGATATCTGCGGTCAGCGTGATTCTCTGTCTCTCGGCTGTCCGTATATAGTCTCTCGAACCACCTTTCGATATAAGGGTGTTGGGAATCGAGAGGTGTGTGTGTGACTTACCACTTGTACCGCGCCGATGACCACCTCCAATGTCCCCTGTATGGCAAGCTGAATGGTACAGAGCAACATGCTTCTGTACGTATCCACGATGAAGCCCACCACAGTCTCGATGATAGTCACACAGTCAATCAGCCCTGCACCTATCGCTAGGATGCTCGCCTGGGTAGCTCGAACCACCTCATCATTCGTCTGCATCGCGAGATATCGAGGTAACATCTGGATACTTGCTGCCCCTTGTGCCAATCCATCGCAAGCGGAGAGTATCGACGATTTCAATGAAGCTGCAAGGGATGCCGTCGAAGAGCGAGTCTGGATCAGGTGGGCGATGGTGAGGATGAGAGGGAGCAAAGCAGGTGATAGTGTGGCAAGGATTAGACGAGGCGAGAGACCGAGAAAAGGAGTAAGACCTGTCGACTCGGACGGCGGAGGCGGAGGGGGTGTCTTTTCTGATGGAGGGAATGGTGTATGTGGAGTAGACGGAAGTGTTGAAGCTGTGTGGTAGCGAGCGAAGGGAGGACGAGGAGGAGGTGAGAGTGGTATGACATGATCTGGATTGACAAAGTTTGGTCGTGGCGGTCGCAGATAAGTATCGTCGGACATCTTGTCGAATGGTGGGGGAAGGGTGTAGATCTAGGCTCAGCCAGTGAGTGAATGAGGATGATAGAGTAACAGGAAGGGAGATGGTGGCGACGAGTAATAGATATTCATCGCTATCATCGGGTCAGTACAAAATTGTGAGCACACCGACCAGAGTCGCTCATTGTCATCCACAGGCGTGTCGCCAGCTAAAGTGAGAAGAAAGAGCCATATGGCTCGTAATCCCCTTGACCCCTTGTGATGGGACAGTTTCGACTGTGAACAGCTTCATTGTTCCTGTGGTGTCAGATGTGCGGCCAGTCAGTGAAGGAGTAGAGATCAATAGGTCAATGTTGGATGTAAGGGCGACAATAAGGTCGTTGGGTGAAACTGAAAGGAGGGGGTACAACGGCCACGTGGGGCTAGCGGCGGTCGCCGCTTCAAGGAGCGGGATCAAAAATGCCACTGACTTGCTTCTAGGCCGCGCGTTCATTCAGCGCTCACAGCTGTCTATCCATTCCACCTTCGTTCATTTCCTACTTTGCACTCTACGGTCCGTCCATCTACAGAGCGTAATGACTCTCCTCGCTCAATCTCCCATGTCCCTGCATGACACCTATGCCGCTCCCGTAGAACAGTGAGTCAGCTAACTGTCCAAAAGCAGATGACTGAGCTGACGGCTCAGCCGATTCAACCCTTACTCCGAGAACGGGGGTACCATCCTCGCCATTGCCGGCGCGGACTTTTCAGTCATTGCTGGTGATACTCGACAATCTGAGGGATATAGCATTCAAACCAGATATGCTCGTAAAGTATTTCAACTGTGAGCTCCCTCGAAATCTATGTCAACCAGCTGATGTGAAGGACTGATAATGCCGTTTTGGCAACGAATGGCTTTGCAGCCGACGGAAAGAACTTTGTGCGTCGACTCAAGCAGAGTTTAGAGGTGAGTGATCTCTCGCGTCCATTCTACACTCTCTCAGCGTCTTTGCTGGTCTGCGCGATGGTGAAGTATTCCGTAGCTGACCGCCTCAGTGGTATCAACACAACCATCACAAACAAATGGGGCTTAAAGCCATTGCTCGCCTTATACAGACCATGTTGTATGGCAGACGATTCTTCCCATACTACGTGTACAACATTCTAGGCGGGATTGAGGAAGATGGTCAGTCTGTCATTTGCTTCTCGTGTGCCAAGCTGACTTGTAGGCTCAGGTGCTGTGTACTCCTTCGACCCGGTAGGAAGTTATGAAAGAGAGGCTTGTCGTGCAGCTGGTGCGGCTCAGGCTTTGGTGCAGCCATTCTTGGACAATCAAGTGAGTTTGAATCCTGACTCCTCGGTTCTATCCTGTCAACTCTTGCTCGACTCAATCGTCCCTGGTAACCTTTCGCCGAATTCTTCTTCACCTCTCACTAATATCCAAACTCGCTCTGTTTCATGTGACATATCCCAGCTATGTAGCAATTGAATCGCTATGCTGACCTTCAGATCTATTTCAAGAATCAACAACCTGAACCCGGTGCCGAACCTTTCGTCCCTGGTCGTCTCCCCCTCTCCACTGTCCTCGGTCTCGTAGTGGACTCATTCACCTCGGCGACTGAACGACACATAGAAGTCGGTGATGGTATCGAGATCTTCATCGTCATGGCCAAAGGTCGGAGCCCGGAGAGCTTACTCGATGAAAAGCTTGGGGAAGGGATGACTATCGAAGAAGTTCCTCCGGTGGGTGAAGGTGGTGAGGAGAGGACGTTCTTGCTCAGTGGGCCCCTCAAGAGGGACTAGAAGTTCACCGTATGTACTCCACGATTTTGACTGATGCATGTAGATACTCAATTCTTCTCAGTCCCACCACGACTAGCCAATCACACTTGCATAAGACGGCATGCGCATTAACGCGCGAGGACGACGTGATTATAAGCAAAAAGCTGCTGTTCAGTGCTGAAGATTATAGGGAATCGTCACTCACAATAATCTGACGGTAAGCTTTATGGCGCCTGATGTACTGACTGCGTGGTCGACTCACCTTGTGATTGACGGGCCCAGACAGACCAGAAACGACGACATATCCACTGGACTCGGTTGCGCCCTACGACATCAGGATAGTCTCCTCAGCCCTAGAACTCACCTTTAACCAAATTGGAATGGCTGACTGTCAGCTTACCTCCCTGCTTTAGATGATCGATCGAATTCACCGCCGCCGCTGTTGGCGTATTTAGGGAAAGCTGTTGTATCGTGTCCGTTGCTGATTGCGTGGGTAATGATACCGAGCGAGTATACCCGCCAGCTGACCTCGTTGCACCCAATGATGGTTTGCCGGTGAGTTTAAGTGTGTTCAAATTGGCCTGAGCCCATTGCCTACGTGCCGTCAGCCACGTATGATACCCTTGGTGGTGTTAATGGGTCATCAGACTAGATGCTACTGATGAACGTACCAATCTCCTTCAGTAGCAGCACCGACCGCACAGCTGAACATGGGCTCCTGATCCCACATACCAATCTTGACCACTAAGCCTCGGTGATCCCATGGACGAGCATACCAATTAGGAAACTCCTCAGAATGATCGTTGAAAAAACTCCTGATCATCCTACCCATCTCCAAAGCCCACTCAGTGCTTAGGTGCGAGAGAACGATTGGTTTCTCTTCGTTTTCGCTCATTTTCGAAACGTCGGTTAGGTTGCGAGATGGACGGATGGTCCAAAGTAGAAGGTAAGTACAGTAAGAATTTGTGGAGGCAAGTCGATCCCGACGTCTGAGTGCAGTCATAACTCTGTCAGTTCTGAAACGCCAGTGAATCCGTCATCAACCCCTGATTCCTGATTCCTGATTCTTGAGTCGGGCGTGAGTCATCAGTCCTGAGCTAATTCTACACGGCTTGAACACATGTACAGAAAAGGAAGGTTGCATGGGCGAAAAGGATGAACTACAATACGGGGGATGAAAAACCCTGGAAGGCAATTGACGACCGACCAGGTAAAAACCCTACCGCCTACCTACTTATCTACTCGCGGTGGGGTATCCGCGCTATCTACAGGGGTAATGAGGGAGGGGTACATGATTGGGGATTAGATCTTGGGGTTGGAGTCCGAAGCCCTCCTATCTTGAGTTCTAGGAATTTGAATATCCACGGGTACGACCTTAGTGGGTGACTTGTCTCCATCCAGGTTTGTGTAGGTTCTGATGGTCAGGACAGTGAAACCGATTTAAGTCTCCATGGAAAGGATGTCATAAGGGTATCATGTGGATTAGGTCGAGGATGTGTGAGACAGCTAGTGGGAATGTGGGCGGATGGATCACGAGGGATGAAAATTATCGAACAGGGTTTAAGAGCGTATATGGTGAGACAGGATAGGGACAGAGTTGATGGATGAATTCCGATTCTAAATGGAGGTGTCACGGATGGGGCGTGATCGGGGACTGATGTCTTTGATGCTGAACGACAGCCGGAGTAAGATGATGAAAGTGAGAGAGGATCGAAAACCAGAATGAGGGAAGAAATGGAGGAACGACTCACTAATCCATTTTCAAAGAAGGCCACGGTGTCCATGTGGAAGGGTCCAAGTGAGAACAAGATTCTTCCTTGATTGTGAAAGACTCGCCAGTCAAAGAGTGTCATTCTTCCTGGAGGGATCCGAAGAGATGATGACAGGGTGGTCACCCTACCCCTGACATCACCACCACCTCCCCACAGGTCTCGATTGGTTGTTTCTTCCTTTTATCGGAAGCTTGGCACATTAGTGAGGGATGTCATAAAACTCTTGGGGACGAAGACTATCGCCAAACGGGAATGGATAGGAGATGGAAGTGTGGATATGAGAGTAAACATGGATTAGGATATTGGAGGAATAATTTGACATCGACGAACAACCCAGGACTGGAACGTGATGATGGAGGTAGGGGAAGATATCGACCGGCGGGATGTGAGGGATCACAGACATGATGAATACTAGACGTGTGGGTTGAGTACACGAGAGTCATAGTAAACGGGTGAGAAGGAAGTGGAAAGAAGAGTTGGGATTGCTCACCATCACCGGCCCTCTTGGCCACTTTCCCCAAACTGAATCTGGTCGTTGAGCAGTATCCAAGCAACTCCTAATCACTTGTCGACGATCCGTTCCCCTGAGGATCCAGAGTGACAGGAGAATTTGGAAGGTTAACAATTGGAGATCCTCAAATTGGCCTCATTGAATTGCGATATGCAGCATGTGTGACGGTCTCGGCGGATCAAAAACCTAGTCTGTTTCGGGCCCGTAGGAGGTACTTCAGACATCATCGGTTTTCAGCTCCATTGGAAGCTGCCCTTGCATCTCTACAGGAAAGGGGCCGCCGAGACCTTGTCAGTAAAAAAAACACCTTTGGATGACAGGAGGATTGAAGTCCGATATCGAGATTGTCCCCGGGAATACGAACATTGTTATGGGGGAGAGGGAACGGGGACAAACTCTCAACTACGGGAAGAATAAGGTAAGGGGTTATAATGGAGGGGAAAGGAAGACTCACAATTTGATACTGCTTCTCACTGGCAGGTTTCTATTTCTTGAGGGCCCTATATGTTGATGGATCTATGTGGGGTGTATCGGATTCGACTCGATGGCGTTCGTGAATTGACAGGTAAGTTGAAGAGTTAAGTCAAGAGTCTGATATGAAAAGTCAAGTCAAGTCGATGGAATGAAAGTGCCGTTCGTACCGGTATATATGTCTTTCATGAGGTTCAAAGAGTCAACGGAGAACAATGAAGAAGTGAGGAGAAGAAGTCAAGCGAGAGAAGTTACCCCGCCTCGTTTTCCGATTGACGGAACCCCAAGATGACTAGATTATCTTCGGCGGAACTTGTACACGTCGGGCTAGGGTCAATCATGGCGCACGGTTCTTATTCTTCCGCTTTCCCCGGAGTCGTACTTTCTTCAACACGTACAGTATGTATGTATGTATGTTCATTGGGGGAAAGGGAAAAAACGAGGGGTGGTGAAGTCGTCGAAGTATGTATCATCCACTACACACACACACATCCGTGTCTTCATATACTGTATCAGTCGATGAGAAGTAAGAGGGGGAAGCAGTCATCTTGTCGGACATGTGTCGGGTTGATTTCGGGTTAGATTTGTACGTCGGCAAACTTGAACGCCACCATGTCAATGTTTGACTTCTACAAGAACGAACAATACTACAGGAGGCAATCGTGAAGCTTGACCATGCAGGCTTAGTCATAGCCGAGGCCCGATGCACTAAACTTGCTGCACAATCAGATGTGGCACTCCCCCTTTGGGTGAAGTACTTGTAGATTGATCGTGCACAACTGTCAAAGTGCCACTCTGGGAATGCGCCACATGACTTTTTGCATCTACGAGGATGGCAAGAACGACGTTGATGCACGGCATGACATGGCAATCTACCGGTGACTCTGACGGCTCATATCGTATCTCTGCAGACTGTCTCAATCATCCGTGTATGATCTCCAGGTGGCATGAGACTTCCCTCATGAAATCACAAGTCGTTATCCTCTCCCCAAGACAAATATCGTCGTCGGGTGGCGTAATACATGACCACATCCATCGAAATTGTTTCACGAACATGGTCGAGTAGCATCTGGATTATTTGCTTCCGTCTACGGACCTCCTCAGGGGGTGGAGCTCCCAAGATAGGAAGGTGAGAGACGGGTGTACCGTCTAAAGGTATATGGGGGATGATTTCTTGCATGGATTTAGAAGCTCTGAATATCAGCTTGTTTATACCAAATGAAATAGTATGAGTTTGACCCACTTTTGACAGGGTTCCAGAAAAGGTTGACAGTCCAAATGTTTCAACATGTTGTCTGTCAGATGCACTTGACAATTTCCGTTCATGAAAGAAGAGACTATCCAAGCCATCCCCAGTATACGTTCAACCATTCTCTCCAACCGTCCTGGCATTTCTAAATCTTCCGCCGTTGGTGCGTGCGTGACGCTCACTCGGAATTCTTCTAATGACAGGGAGATAGTATTTGGGTTTCTCCAAATCAAGGGCCAAGATTCAATCTCGGGGTCGACTTCAGTGGTGAATCTGAGACGAAACTCTTTCAAACTCCTCAAGTAGGTTGGAACGGCTTTCACTATCACCAAGATCAACTGGGGGGAGATTTCCTCTTGAAGATCAAGGAGGAGTTTTTTCAGGTGACTTCCATTCGAAAGGAATTGATCAAGTCCAATAGCATCGTTGTGGCGTAGCCGAGCTTCGAGTGATGTGATATGAAAATCCTGTCGAGGAGAAAGAATGGTGGCGCAATCGGAGAAATCGATGTCATTGGCATGAACAACAATATCATAGAAATGAAGAGTCTTGCTTGTAGTCTCAAGCATCCATTGTTGTTTAGATCTTGCCACGACACCTGGAGCCGCCAAAATAAACAATTTTGTCTCATATTCGAAGGTCATGTTTGAAGGGAGTTGAATGGGGTGTAGATCGGGAAGGATTTGAAGACCCCACGCAGTCCAGAAGAACGAGTACACCATATGAGCCACTCGATGACATCAGGAAGATATCAATCCACCAACGCGCTTGTCTGACCTCATCGCA